TAGTCTGAATATTTTTAAAAGTAAACTGCCGGGATCTGTTTAGTTGTGATATGTTTTGTTGTTTGATTTTTTTCTATAATAATTTACTTTATTGACATTTATAATTTTGAATTCTGACATCTAATGTTATTATGTAATTGTTATGTCTCATGGCTGGACATAGCTGAATTTTATGCATTGATGTAACACCCTGTTATTGTACCCATGCTCCACAATAAATGAATTATTGACGACCTCCGTGTTCGAGTGGTTTGTACGCCGGGTTTCACGGTGTCGCCGACTCGAGAGGTCGGGTTCAAATCCCGGTGGGGGCAGATGTTTGTGTGATGAATACGAGCATTTGTATTCCAGTCATGGATGTTTAATATGTATATCTTTAAAAATATACTTTTATATGTACAGTATATGTATTCTATCCGTTACCCTAGTATCCAATAACACAAGCCTTATAGTGCTTACTTTGGGGCTGGGCTAATTGGTGCGAGTGTTAGAAATATTAATTTATTATTATTAGTTCAACGTTCCGCGGTGTGTGTGAGGTTTGTTCGAGAATTCCTTCGACACCCTCTGACTCCTTTAACCACTTTGACCCCCGATAAAATACTTTGTTCAAGTATTCAATCAAATAGTTTACCTAAAATATTTATCTTGATTTGCCTGTGTACTTAAACAGTATATGTATAAAATGCGTTAAGTTGAAGTTAAGCAACTTTCGCAGTGGTCGGTCATTGGATGGTTACCAAAAATCTTCTATTTCGAGTTCCTCCGTGCTTCGGGAGGCACGTTAAACCGTTGGTCCCGGCTGCATCTGCAGTCGTTAGCACCCGCCAATCCGCACTGGGCCCGCGTGGCGGGTCAAGGCCCAATCTCCCTATTCCGTCCATAGGGAAGGCCTGTGCCCCAGAAGTGGGGACATTAATAGGCTGATGATGATGATGATGATAATGATAAAATGCGTGTAACTGATTTTATATTCTTTACATTCGGATTTTAAACAGGCTCCATAGTCAAAAGACTAAATAAATTCATCAAAGTTGTTTCAGCGCGATTCGTTAAACGAAAAATCGCAATGCACCTTATTATAATTAGATAGGACGGAAATATCTTCACTGGAATATGAATTATTCATCTGGTGTAGTCTTTTAAATAGCACTTCAAAGGAGAGTTTTTCTTGCGCGGCGCGTCGGCCGCCTCGGAGCATTGCTTCGATTAAAAGTTTTGTGTCGGTCGGAAATTAGTTTCACTAAATCGGCTTCCGTTCTACCTTTTGTTTTTTGTGGGTATATTTTCGGTGAATTCATTTGGCGACATTTTTTTCCAGGTTTTCGTTTTGCTATTGAAAACCCTATATCATAACAAGGTTAAGGTACTCGAACCCGCATCCTTCGCTATCCGGGCGAATGCACTGACCATTATGCTACCACGGCCCTATTAGCCGCGTCGAAATTTTCCTAGCCTTAAGCTGCAAGGCAGCGCCATCTCTTCGCATTGTAGGTAACCCACAATGTCAAATGAATACTTTTTCAAGTATTAAACATTTGAAAGAAGAAATAGCAATTATAGTTATGATTTTATATATTTTTTAAGCATTTAACTGCTAGATGTTTAAATCTAAAGAAAAGTTTACTAGAAAAAAATCACGCGGACCAGGCAGCGGACGGGACTCGAACCCGCATCCTTCGCTATCCGGGCGAATGCACTGACCATTATGCTACCGCGGCCCTATTAGCCGCGTCGAAATTTTTTCTAGTAAACTTTTCTTTAGATTTAAACATCTAGCAGTTAAATGCTTAAAAAATAAATAAAATCAAGGTTAAGGTAGTAAGGTTCCAGGTCTCCAGGTGGTAGGGGATTGGTCAGGGTAAGCAACGGTGCGAGTGATATTTTTGGTATCACAAGTGTCTATAGTTCATATGGCTTACCATCAGTACCCTTAGTACAAGTTTTACAATTAGGAAAACTATGATAGTTTTCGTGAGCTCGCACTCGTACTAAGGGGCCGTTCAAGTATTACGTAAGCAGATTTATTACAATTATTTACCCCCTCCTCCCCCTTGTCCGCAAAAGTAAGTAAAGCCCTTACTCCCCCCCTCACGTGCTTACGTAAACATTGGTACCTACATGCATTTTTCCTTTAATGTATTCTGTTTTTTTTATTGATTCATGAGCTTTCATGAGCAGCAGTACTTAAATAGGCTAAGGATAGAGGACTTTAACGCACTTAAGTATTATTCATTTAAACAAACTTTATTGACACAGTATTCAACATAGAGTAAGGTACTATTACGAACAAATTTCTTTCGAATTTTTGGTATATTTATTATAGTCTTCAGTCCATGACACCCGAATCCATGATGCTGATGTAATCACAATCTCGACCCCCCCCCCCCCCATGTCATCAAAAATAAGCAATGCAAAGACCCCCCTGGCCCCCTATAGTACTTACGTAATACTTGAATGGCCCCTAAGGGTACTGATTTTATTGTTTTCGTTTCAATACAAATAAACTTTGTTTAAATTCTATCATGAAATCGTTTGCGTCTTCTTAAATTTTAAAAATATTTGGTTACTTTTCACCGAAATGGACATAGAAACATAATTTACAATTACGAAAACTATGATACACACATCAAAAGTGTCTAGGGATCAAGCATTTTTATGCGGATTTCTTGAGATTGAGATGTGGCTTTGTAATAAATTTATGATTTTATAAATTTATATGGATCCTTTTTGGTGCATTTCATAATTTGAATCAGGAACTGTGAATCAAATTCGAGTAAAAGATGAAAATCAGCTGTCAATATTTTCCCTATAAAAACATACAACGCATTGAAGACATTATTAGTGCTACTGTTTCCCTACTACTGATTAAAACCAACGTTATTATGGAGCGGCGACGTCATTTAAGCAGGGAAGAAATGCTCAGAGCCGTGGGAATGATAGAAGCTGGTTCCCGGCAACGTACTGTGGCTTTAGCTCTGAATACAAGTCAGAGTGTTATCAGTCGACTTTGGACACGATACCGAAGCACTGGTACCGTGGCTGAGCGCCATGGAGGACGGTATCGCTGCACCACACGGAGACAAGACCGATACATTCAAATCTTAACTCGAAGAGCTCCAACAATAACCGCCATGATGTTAGCCGTGAGGCTTCATCACTCTTCAGGGAACTTAATTAGCGACCAAACAGTCAGAAACCGCTTGCATGAAGTGAACCTTCATTCCCGAAGACCGCTACGGGTACCACCTATAGCAATGCACAATCGTAGGATTCGATATCAATGGGCTCTTGAACACAGAAATTGGGCAGAAGAACAATGGCGTTTCGTGTGCTTTTCTGATGAGTCTCGTTTTGGTATGAGACCGGATACAAGACGTATACGACACTGGAGAACCCCTGGACGCCAACAGCGATTAAAATCCTGCCAGGAAGTCCATCCTTATAGTGGTGGAACCATCATGGTATGGGCGGGTATTTGGATCGGCGGAAGAACTGAGTTGATTTGGATCAGAGGCAACCTCAACGCTCAAATTTATGCTGAGACGATTGTATCAGACGTCATCGTTCCTCTACAAGTGCAAATCGGTCCCTTATTTCAGTTAATGCATGATAATGCACGACCGCACACCGCAAGAGTTGTAAGACAGACTCTCGCCGCAGCTAACATCAATGTCCTGCCCTGGCCTGCTCAGTCGCCAGACTTGAACCCGATTGAGCATGCATGGGATATGTAACAGAGAAGAGCTCTGCCGAATATGGAGGGTATCCAGTCGCAAGAAGACCTTTTTTTGTTGTTGCAACGAACATGGGCGGCCATTCCACAGCGTGATTTGGATGAACTCATTTTGAGTATGCCAAACCGATGTTCTTGTGTTGTTAGTGTTCGCGGTAGAAAAACGGATTATTAATTGTTTAAGTTACCCAATAAAATTTTAGAGAAAACTGTTATTTCAGTCTTTTTTTCGAACTTTTGTGTTAGTGGTTCAAATGTCAAAAATCCCTTTATTAGGAAAATGGCAAATTTCTTTATTAATGCAAAGGTGACTTGGTTTATCGTTACTGTGACAAACGAAAACACTTTATTTGATGAATCCTTAAAGAAAATTTTAATTAATATCAATCAGGAGAAAAGTTATTGCAAAAATATATGTTGATCCCTAGACACTTTTGATGTGTGTAGTTTTTGTGAGCTCAAACTCGTACTAAGGGTACAGGCAGGACATACGATTGCTTGCCACCCTTTTAACATAAAAAAAGGTATTCAGGTGCATTGTATGAAGTAAGTTTATATGTAGTGACAAAAACGAGACTAGGAAATACGGTCGTTAGTTAGTTAGTTAGCCCAAAGACGAGTGCCAATGGAATTCGGGTAAACGACTAAGTGTAAGTGAACGGAGTCTAGTACCCTACCCGTATACGGGCAGTTTTCGTTTTGGGTACCTGAGACCGTCTTCCAGTCCGTATTCCAATGTATATAATATCTGGGCCCATAACCTAATAGAAACACGATAGTTGTTGCCATAGACTAACTTTATTACGAAGTTAAATTACACAGATATAATACATAGACAACAAACATAGAGCAAACTGCATTATGATACTGGCGCTAGTAGTATCAAATATATTTTAACAAATATTCATTCGGGTGCGAAATTTGGTTAATGTATTTCGTGCACCCGAATACAGGCTAACGACCAAGTGTAATTGAGCCATAATGAAACTATGAAAGACTTAACACTCCACCACAACAGAGAGCGGCGGCGTAAGGCGTGGGCGACGTGGGCCACCGCCTACGGCCCCGCGCTTCAAAAAATTTTATGCGTTGCTTAAAAGCGATTCTTTTTATAAAATCCGTCTTCAGGTCGTCACAGAACAGGGCCTCGCGAAATCTGTCTTGCCCACATTTAGGTCTTGCCCACATTTAGGTCTTGCCCCGCCATTGACAACAGATGGCGCTATTGGCCGTATCTATTCTAATGCTTTATCTCTTTTCGCAGCATGCAGCGGAAATCGAAAAGAAACAGAATGACTTAGAAAACAAGAAGCTATTGGGCACAGTCGTCCAATATGGCAGCGTTATACAACTGTTGCATGTCAAGTCCAATAAATACCTTACTGTAAGTTAATGCAAGTTTTTTTTTCTAAATGGCTTCGCACGGCTTGTGCATTTAGCCAATGTCAAGTGTTAAAATGTTTACAAATTCTATAGAACTCGTGGCCAAAGTAATAAATCAAGTCTCCCCGTGGACTTCTTGACGGAACGTCGAAAGACACTTATTTTGTTTCACTTGCCAACACTTGTGCATGTTCCCGAACACTTAGTGGTTAAAATCCACCATTATTAGACACTAACATCCGCCACAACACAATTTTTAACAAGAAAAACAAAACTGCTAAAGTGGCGCTTCCCGATCCCGCCAAAAAGTCCTTAAACAAGGTTTCAAATTATTAAAAACATTTTTTTTTCATATTTTTCTATGGGGAGGGCAAAGGCCGTACAGCCTCGTATTCAGTATATTCTCTTCGTTGTTCATTTAAAAACTATATCAAAGTTTGCACATTCGCACGTAAAAAAAATATCTTAGTGTAATTTCAATAAAATCAGTAAAAAAAATAGTTTTAGTTAGGTGCAAAGAGTCATGTCAAAATTATTTTTTGCCTGCCAATATAGACTGCTTTATTACAATACATAGACTACTGTTAAACCTGGTTTAAAACAGATGCTGTCAATTTTATTTGCTAAAAGAGGATAGAGAAAACATTAGGTTTAAAGTATGACTAACTTTAGTCCGCGTTTTGGAATAAGACGGAGAAATACTAACTCAGCTGAGTAATTGCTTATTTCAGAAGGACATTTACGCCAAAATCTAACGCTCAAGCAAAGATTTGATCTTTGTTTATATAAGTATGGTCGACACCATTCTCAAGAAGAGAATACGTATTATAGTCCCAAATAAAGTTGTAACGCAAGTTAATGAAGTTTGACATACCGCTATGTTGTTTATTTTCTAAGTGTAATTGAAAATATACTTAGCCCATAGACAAATTTGATCGGAGTTCAAAACGATTTTTCAGCTGATTTGCTCTTTAAACGCGACTTGTTATATTCTGAGCAATTAAGTAGTGATCTACACTTAAAACTAGCTTTGCTTGATTCGAGTTTAAATGCTCCTTGTGCCACGTTCTAAAATACGGGCTTCAATAAAACCAATATAAACTTAATTATAATTTTAATTTTTTAAGCATGTAACTGCTCGATGTTTAAATTTGAAGAAAATATAACTAGAAATAATTTCACGCGGACCAGGCAGCAGACGGGAATCGATCCCGCACCCAACGCGAAGAGATGGCGCTGCCTTGTAGCTTTAGAAAGGCTAGAAAAAGTTCGACACGGCCATCAGGGCTGCGGTACCATAATGGTCATTGCATTCGTCCGGATAGCGAAGGGTGCGGGTACGAGTCCCGTCTGCTGCCTGGTCCGCGTGGATTTATTTCTAGTTATATTTTCGTCAATATAAATTTTTTTGGATTGTGTTCCCAGGTAAATAAAAGATTACCCGCTTTATTGGAGAAGAACGCGATGCGTGTGCATCTAGATGCCAATGGTAATGAGGGTTCGTGGTTTTACGTAATGCCTTTTTATAAACTCCGGTCGACTGGTGAGTACCTATCGTTTTATTTAAACCTAATTATTAAATAAAAAACCCCCATCACCCATCTTTCCCCCTTATATTTGGCGAAAATGCTTGGATTAGTTACTCCATGTTTTGTCTCTGCTCATTGAATTTCAAATGACATTTGAGTGATATGAACAAAACACGTCGTAACTAGTCTTACCTTCATCATAATCCTATTAATGTCCCCACTGCTGGGGCACAGGCCTTCCCTATGGATGGATTAGGGAGATTGGGCCATGACCCACCACGCGAGCCCAATGCGGATTTGCAGGTGCTAACGACTGCAGATGCAGCCGGAGTCTTCTGAAGCACGGAAGAACTCGAGATACAAGATTTTTGGTCACCCATCCAATGATCGACCACTGTGAAAGTTGCTTGGCTTCAACGATTGCAGCCGATCGCGTTAAGTAACCGCGCCATCGAGGTTCTCAAAATGTAACCTTATTCCTCGTTTATTAATAAGACGGTTTAAGTTTGACGACCTCCATAGTGTGAGTATGTATGCACACCGGGTCAAGGTGTCGCCTACTCACGAGGGCTTGGGTTCGAATCCCGGTGGTACAAATGTTTGTATTATAAATACGAGCATTTGTACCAAAGTCATGGATTTTTGTATGTATTTATAGATAAATACGGTTTATTAGGGATATTTTCCCGAAGTAAAACGTAGCCTATGTGTTAATCCAGGGTGTCAGTTAACTCCATATCAAATTTGATTAAAATCGCTCCAGCCGTTAAAACGTTAAGATAAGAAGTAACAAACATACACACTCACAATTTTTTGCCTTTATAATATTAGTGTGATATACTTAAAGGTGAATCAGTATATGTATTCTATCCGTAACTCTAGTATCCCATAACACAAGCCTTATACTGCTGACATTACAAGTTGGCTAATTGGCGTGAGTGTTGTGTTTACGCCACATAGAATAACACTAATATTATAAAGGTGAAAGTTTGTGAGTGTGTATGTTTGTTACTTCTTCACGTCTAAACGGCTGGAGTGATTTTAATATAATTTGGTACGAAGTCAACTGACACTCTGGATTAACACATAGGCTACGTTTTACTGCGGAAAAATATCCCGAATAAACCGCGGATAACACCGCGGGGCACAGCTAGTAAAATATAAAAATGAAATAAGAAAGTGAAACTGCTTAGTAGCAATATTAATTATAATAATTAAAACCTAAGTAGTGGAATTATCTTTATTGCGCGATGGTTTTTTTTTCATATTCCGTCCCTTTTCCTCGCACCGCTGCTACGACCTGATTGGTGAAGCTGCAATCGGAACGCAGTAACGTTCATAGAGAACTTAATATGTGTCGTTCGCTAATGCTTCCTTGATAATATATATTTATGCATACATACATCTAGCAGTAAATGCTTAAAGAATAAAAACTATAATTGCTATTTCTTCCTTCAAATGTTTAATACTTGTAAAGGTATTCATTTGACATTGTGGGTTACCTACAATTCGAAGAGAAGGCGCTGCCTTGCAGCCTAAGGCTAGCGAAAATTCGACACGGCCATCAGGTCCGCGGTAGCATTATGGTCAGTTCATTCGCCAGGGTAGCAAAGGGTGCGGGTTCTAGTTCCGTCTGCTGCCTGGTCCGCGTGTTTTTTTTTCTATATATATATATTATGTTCTGCATTAAGTTTAATTTAATTATATATTTCCGTAGGGGACAATGTGGTAGTGGGCGACAAGGTGATAATGAACCCCGTGAATGCAGGTCAACAAGTCTTACACGTATCACCGAATCACGAACTGCCTGACAATGTTGGTTGTATGGAGGTTGGTACTCAATTTTATATCCAAAGTTTCACTCTCTCTATTTTAATCGTCTGTGAACGATAATAAAAGACGATAGACGAAAAGACGATACTAAAAGACAGTTTGATTTAAATAGAAGTATAATTATGATCCCCATAGTCGCCCTTGCTGTATAATCTGGCAATGGATTGAATTACATCTTTCGCTTCAATTTGAGTAGGAGATTTTTAAATGAATTCATAATATTTGTATATAATTTGTATACAACACACGAAAATGTAATGATTTCTGTAATAGATTTACCAATAAATATATATTACACATTCCTAGTTTTACTTTCGCATCCAAACCGGAGTGCTTTGATATTAAAATACATATTTATATTCCATCCACCAGGTGAATGTAGTCAACTCGTCGACGTCATGGAAGGTCACATTATTCCTGGAGCACAAAGAGAACCAGGAGGAAATCCTGAAGGGTGGTGATGTGGTGAGATTGTTCCACGCGGAACAAGAGAAGTTCCTCACCATGGACGAATACAGGAAGCGGCATCATGTCTTCTTGAGGACTACCGGCCGATCTAGTGCCACAGCTGCCACCAGCAGCAAGGCGCTGTGGGAGATCGAGGTAGGTGCTATATAAAGAAGATTAGTTCCTAAGTAAAATACTTTTCTATTAGAAGCAGAAGATGTTCCTAATAAAAATGGCAATACGTGCTCTTGAGTTTTCCAAGAGCAGATCTAGCTCCCTCTATAGCTGAAATCAGCAGTGAGGTGATGTCAGTGATCGAGATGTATAATGTGTTTAGTAGATCCTGAAGTTATATTAAGTCGAAGTTTTTCAAAATGGAGGAATACAGGAAGAGGTATCATGTGTTCTAAAGGACAACCGGCAGATCTAGTACCACAGGTGCCACCAGCAGTAAGGCACTGTGGGAGATCGAGTTAGGTGTTATATATAGAAGACTAGTTTCTTAGTAAAATACTTTTCTATTAGAAGCAGAAGATATTTCTGTAGATTTTATAGGTCAGAGGAGCTGAATAAAATACGGAATCACAGTGACGAATGATACTTTTATTCTGTGAAATATATTTTTACTAGGAAGCTGATACGACTGACTCCTATAGCACAGCAAAATACAAAGTGAACCTGTGAACCTCGTTTATAAGTGAACTGAATGCGTGTATGATCGAATGAGTGGGGGTTGAACGAACGAATGAAGTATATGAGTTAAGACTGAATGAACAAGTATACTTTGGCGTTACCTAGTCATGTTACTTTCTTTTTATTACAAAAGGAATACAAATTATAATATATATAGATTATTTTTTGCCAATTTAAATTCAATATTAATTCAACAATTCCCAATAAAAATGGCACAACGTTCTCTTTAGTTTTCCAAGAGCAGATCTAGCTCCTTCCACAGCTGCAAGCAGCAGTGAGATGATGTCAGTGATCGAGGTTAGTTCTATATCTATAATGTGTTTAGTAGATCCTGAAGTTATATTAAGGCGAAGTTTTTCACCATGGGGGAATACAGGAAGCGATCCCGCTTGTTTTCTTGAGGACTACCGGCAGAACTAGTGCCACAGCTGCCACCTGCAGCAAGGTGCAGTGGCAGATCGAGTTAAGTTCTATATCCAGGAGACGTATTTAGTAAAAAGATACTGAAGGAGAAGCTATTTTGTCAGGAGTGGATCCCTGGCGCTGTGGAAGATCTAGGTAATTTCCGTTTTTACGAGATTTTGTTAGGAGATCCTGAAAGACAGATTTTTTGTTGTTTGCTAGAGTGAAGACAACGAAGAGCTTTGAAAGGTATGTTAATTATTTTGTCCAGTTATATCGGCAGTGTTCTAAGGAGTTATTCTTTTCATTCCACCTTCCCCTTTTCTTTAGAGGACCACGCGCGCTGGTCTACGCAGTCACCGGTTTTCTGTGGGTGGCCACAGTATTATGTCACAAACGAAGAATTTTGGTGATACAATTCTTCGCCGTATTATTCGCAAGTGGAATTCTTTGCTCGCGCACGTGTTTCCTCTCATTTTTACAATCTGAGATCCTTTAAGAGAAGCATTTCTGCAGGCCAAAAAGGTGAGGATGACTGTTGTGGCAGTCTATAACTGCTGCACCAGCTATCTTCACGTCTGGACTTTACCACCATTTAATATTAGGCGGGATAGTAATTTGCGTACCTAATACAAAAAAAGGTAGTAAATTTTTGGTCACCCATCCAATGACCGACCACTGCAAAAGTTGCTTAACTTCAACGATCGCAGCTGAAAGCGCTAACCACCTGCGCCATCGAGTACAAAAATACAACCTATTAATGCCCCCATTGCTGGAGAACAGGCTATCCCTATGGATGGAATAGGGATATTGGGACATGACTAGGTCTCAGTGCGGATCGGTGGCTACTATATGTGTGCCAAATTTCAACCAAATCCGTTCAGCCGTTTTTTCTTGATTGTGTGGCAAACATACAAACTTAAAAATCAACGATGTAAGTAATATGAAGTCGTTAAATACAGGTGGTTCAACACGACCCGTGTCGCGGCGGCGCCGGCCACTGGAACTCAATATTTCGGTTCAAGCATCTCGCCACCGGACACTACCTGGCTGCCGAAGCGTGCAATCGCCCACCGTGAGTATATAATAATAAATATATCCTACACTCAAACCAATTATTCCGACTCCTCCCACACAGGCCACAAACACCAACTCTACACATCTAGCTTACTTGCACACTAGCTTAGCATTAGGCAGACATCGCACCCGTAGGATAACATATGGGGGGGGGGGGGGGTCGATTGAGCCGTGGTCCGAGTCTCAGAGACGGAACCAAGTTCGAACGGGATTCGAACTTGGTACCTCACGAGTAGAAGACACCTTAAAACCCCGCGTACATACTACTCTGCTGCGTAGGTCGTCATATTAATAGATAAATTAAATAGCGTAAACTTTGAATGCAGTCTGTTAATTTTGTTTTATAAAAAAATGTTTGGAACGTGGCGTTTAAAGAATATTCTTTAATTTTAAAAGTAGCAAATAAGAATGCTAGATTTATAAAGTTAAAGAAAATTTATGCTATAAAATATATTCACTCGGGTCCAGGTTTCAGAGTAGTTACTGTCGGTGAGTACCTTACGTCAGGGCTCCATGGGGTAGATGATTGGGTCAGTTTAACAACGGCACGATTGATATTTTTGGTATCGCAAGCGTCTTTAGGCATAGCCACTTACCATCAGGCGGGTCATAAAAGAAAATGGAAAGCGAGCATGTTTTAAACACACATGTAACCTAGTGAATCATCATCAGCCTATTAATGTCCCCAATGCTGGGGCACAGGCCTTCCCTATGGATGGAATAGGGAGATTGGGCCATGACCCACCACGCGGACCCAGTGCGGATTAGTGGGTGCTAACGACTGCAGATGCAGCTGGGACCAACCTAGTAAATGCAATATATATATATATATATATCTTTAAGACCGATAGCTTCATATTTCTAGATTTAAGGGCCACCACAAACTAGATATATGACAAAGCAAAATGTCAAACTAACATTTTGGTAGATCTAGTTTTGGTTTATTCGAGATTTAACAAATCTGCCGCAAGTATGTGTAAAAGATTTTATTTTGTCTAGTGATAAGTTTTATTGTTTCCGATTTTATTAAAAAAAAATCTTTGTTTTTTCCATACAGCGACGCTCCGGTAGAATTGGGCGAGCCGGCTTACCAACTGGTGTCGGTGCCGCATTCGTCCGAAATAGCCACCCTGTTCGAGCTGGACCCCACCACTATGACGCACTCCGACACACCTGTACCACAGAGCAGCTATGTCAGGTGTGTGTGATATTTTTAGTGTATTTTTTTTGCTAGTTATATTTTCATTAGATCTAAACATGAAACAGTTACAAGCTTAAAAAAATAAAAATTATAACTGTAGTATTTTTTTTTATTTGGCCAGGTAGGCAAAGGCTACCCCACCTGACGTTAAGTGGTGATAAACTCCAAAAGGTACTAAAAAGGAAAGCACATCCCACAGTTATTAGTTGGCAAGGCTCCCCCATCTACATGCTAAAAAAAATAAAAATTATAACTGTAGTATTTTTTTAATGGCCAGGTAGGCAAAGGCTACCCCACCTGACGTTAAGTGGTGATAAAGTACAAAAGGTACTAAAAAGGAAAGCACATCCCACAGTTCTTAGTTGGCAAGGCTCCCCCATCCCGTATGACCCTCGCTCTCCCCCTTACCTTAAGAAACGTTAAATATTCTTGGTATGGATCACAACCAAAGTATAGTTATTATTATTATTCCGGGCAGCCGTTGAGCTGGTTTAGGGATTGAAAGGGATGAGACGGTACAGGGGATAAGAGGAGAGGAGTCTACATAACTCCGTCGTCATACTCAGCGGCATGCGATAAACAATTTCTAGAAACCTTCAAACTTTCAGCTTTGCTAAAATGACGTAGGTTTGGGGTCACTGGGATCTTGGATATAAAAAGACAACAGCACTTTGGTCAGGTACGATTAATATTCGAAAGTGCAACTTTCGACAATTACTAAACAACAACAGCAAAGCCACTTTTACATGCTGGCACTTCAGTCTGTCCTTATCATGCTCTAAAAGGAATAAAAGGGAAAGACTGCTGTCATGTTTACAAATAGCAAACTCAAACAGCCAAGAGAAGTGCCGGCAACTTTAAAAACAAAGCGTTTGAATTTATTCGAAAATATTATAATCGTTTTAGATTTTTTTTAAGTTTTTAAAATTATATTTTTATATATAAATATATTTTCAATTTTGTAACATCATTCTGAAGTTCTTTAAAATAATCTTAAGTTTCTGTTACCATTTAAATCCTTGGGACTATAATAATATCTCTTTCAGAAACTTGATGTATTCTTGACTTAAAACGTCGACATTGGGATCTTTTATTTTTTCTCTCTCTGCCACTATCACAGTAAATTTTATAGAGAACTTTAACAGTTTCCGATGATTTCAGATTACAGCACCTCTGCACGCATACTTGGGTCCATTCGACATCGATACCTATAGACAAAGAAGAAGAAAAGCCTGTCATGTCTAAGGTAAATAACATAAGATAAATGAGAAGATTTGCAAACTTAATATTACCCTACCAAATTCGTGAATAAACCAATTAGGGGCGTGTTGGCTGATGCATTTGACATTAAATTGCTTTTTAATTCGGTATCATAAAGGTAAAAATGGTATCCAAAAGGCATACAGAGGTATCTGATTTGACGTTTGTATATGGTTGTGGTAGAGGAGCTCGATCGTGCAGGTGGCTAGCGCGTTCGGCTGCGATCGTTGAAGTTAAGCAACTTTCGCTGTGGTCGGTAATGTGGTTGGGTGACCAAAAATATTCTATCTCGATCTCCGTGCTTCGGAAGGCACGTTAAGCCATTGGTCCCGGCTGCATCTGCAGTCGTTAACACCGCGCAGTTGGCCCGCGTGGTGGGTCATGGCCCAATCTCCCTATTGCATCCATAGCGAAGGCCTGTGCCCCAGAAGTTGGGACATTTATAGGATGATGATGATAGTGGTACCGTTAGCATAGCATCATATATTCGGCTCTTTTTTGATCTACTTGTAAAAATAAGTCATTATGTGTTGAATTTAAACTCTTTTCTATGCTTTAGTTCTTGTTCTGAGCTTACATCATTAAAAATATACCAATATATTTTCAATACAGGTGGGTTGCTCAATAATAAAAGAAGATAAGGAAGCATTCGCCCTGATATCGGTGTCGCCCAGTGAGGTCCGAGATCTGGACTTCGCCAACGACGCGTGCAAGGTACTTTCGGCCTTGTCGACCAAACTGCATCACGGAAACATCGAACACAACGAGAGGAAGTAAGTGCTAGATTCCTTTGAACATTCCTGCCTTGTTTAGAATGCAATTTACAAAGGAAATGTGTCTTTAACTCGTGAAAGGTACTATAGCCCTTCAGCAAACTGCATCACGGAAACAACCAACATAATGAGCGGAAATAAGTGCTAGTTTCCTTTGAACATTTCTGTTTGTCTAGTTAAGAATGATGCTTATGAAGGAAATTTGTCTTTATCGCGTGCAAAGAACTAGCAGCAAACTACATCAAGGAAACATCGAACATAACGACAGGAAGTAAGTGCTACATTCCCTCGAACATTACTGTTTAGCTGAGAATGTAGTTTACGAAGGGAATATTATGTCTTACGGTATTATCGGCCTTGTCGACCAAACTGTGTCACGGAAACATCGACCACAACGACAGTCAGTAAGTGTTAGATTCCTTTGAACATGTCCGTCTAGTTAAGGATGTAACATAAGAATATGAAATAAAATATCTCAAGGGGGGATCGTCAGGGGACATGGACCTACCCTTGTCCCGTTATAAATTGCAAACATCAATAAATTTTTCCCTAACATCCCAATAATATTAAGTTTTAAATAATGTTAAGGTACTGTTTGAAAAATAAATAAAACGGAGCGTGAAGCGAAATCGATTATCAAAATGCCGCATCCACCGTCGCTAAGATTTGTCATTATCGGAAGGGACATCTTCATAGTAAATAAATAAATATTTCCAACACTCACACCAATTATCCTAGCCCCAAAGTAAGCACTGTTTTTGCTTATGTTATGGGATACCAGAGTAACGGATAGAATACAAATACTGTACATATATAAGTATATTTTTATAGAAATACATATTAAACATCCATGACTGGAGTACAAATGCTCGTATTCATCACACAAACATCTGCCCCCACCGGGATTTAAACCCGGGACCTCTCGAGTCGGCGACACCATGAGACCCGGCGTACAGACCACTCGGCTACGGAGGTCGTCAAATAGTCGTCGTCAAAATAATTTTGACAACAATTTGTCATTATCGGAAGGAAGGGACTCCTTCCGATAATGACAATGACCTTCTCAAATTGGTTTGACATATTGATAAAACAAGGAATGTGGTACAATTTTTATATGATGTATAAGTAAAACTAGGTGTAAATAAACCAATTTTATTATTTTATGAGGCTAAATCTAAAATAAAAAAAAACGCCCTAATTAGCCTAGCCTCAAAGTAAGCACTGTACGGCTTGTGTTATGGGATACTAGAGTAACGGATAGAATACATATATGGTACACATATATACGTGTAATTATATAGAAATACATATTAAACATCCATGACTGGAGTGCAAATGCTCGTATTCATCACACAAAGATCTGCCCTCACCGGGATTCGAACCCGGCACCTCTCGAGTAGGCGACACCTTGAAACCCATCGTACGAACCACTTGGCCACAGAGGTCATCAAAAGAAGTAAGTAAGAGTGCTACAACTATAAAAAACGAGCGAGCCTTACAGTAGTCGCGTATGATGTGTAACATTTCAAACCTCACCTTATATTAGTAAAAAATGAAATAAAACCTACTACAAGAGGAATAAGCCATTCGAACATTATGTTATAAAATCAAATCAAATAACGATCGCTTCCCAAACTTCCTGTTACACACTTCCGCCCCATTTCACGTAATCACTCCCACAAATTGCACGAAAGCGAGAGGAAAGATGATACACATCAATAATAAAATAATGTATTTTACTTTGTCACCAGGGCGCTAACGTGCCTCCTCCAAGACATAGTGTACTTCATAGCGGGCTTCGAGAACGAGCCCAACAAGTCTGAAGCCCTTGAATTGGTGGTGGAGAACCCTAACCGTGACCGCCAAAAACTTCTGCGCGAGCAATATATACTGCGGCAGCTGTTTAAGATATTACAAGTGCGTTTCATTGCTACATTTTACTAGTACTTAGTATGCATGGAAAAAAATGTTTATCATTAGACTTGCAGCGAATAGTATATTCCGCAGTATACCGAATACCGAATATTCGGCGAGGCCCCTGACCGAATAGCCGAATATTAGGCAAAAGTATTCGGCTGGATTTTAACGCCAAAAACTTGTACAGACGTGATTGTTTCGCGCTCTTTTGTTTTGTTCTAATCAGCCGTCCTTAAGCTAAAATGCGGCTAAATGACAAAACCAACTTTTGAGATATGGCCAAAAACGGCGTGTAATCTTTAAATTATTGCTATTATGTAACCATTCATCACATGACTGAATGAATTAAAAACTGTTAACTTACAGAAAATGATTAAATTATGTACCTGTTTTATGTACCAATGACTACTTAATAAATGATTATAAAAGAAATGAGAACCTTACCCTTCTAAATTTTGATTACCACAATAATTCAAATATCTACCTACATAGAATCCTCCATTTTTCCAATTTAGAAGATGATTATGTACCTGTATTATGTACCAATGACTACTTAAATGATTATATAACAGAAATGAAAATATGAATATATATGTAATCAATCGATTTTAATTTTTCATTTTACCAATTATTTCTCTATGACAAAATATATTATTTAAGTATTCAGTATTCGGCCGAATAATATGTAGATATTCGGTATTCGGCCGAATATAATAAAAGCAGCCGAATAGGCCGAATACCGAATAGTAACCGAATATTCGTTGCAAGTCTATTTATCATACAAAATTCGAACCCCTTGTTAGAAGGCCGAAGGGGAAGATCTTCCACCGAGCTGGGTGATGTTAGCTCAATTATCATTTAAAAGAATACTTATTTTATACAGGAAAGCTTTTATATTATAGCTTTAACCCTATCATAAACCGCCTCATTCCAAAACGCGGACGAAAGTATTCGTTTAAACGTAATGTTGTCTGTCTTCTTTTTAACAAAAATAACAGCATCAGTTTTAGTCAAGTTTTAACTTAAGTCTACGTTTTGTAATAAGGCTTACCGCCTTTATTTATTAAATTGTACTTTCCTATTTGTTTCTTAAGTTTTCACGCACACCACTCATTAAATAAAACAAGTTTTAAGGGTATTGATGCACTGATTTTATTTATTTTGTCGACCTACCTTCGAAAGACTTTTATTAAGCGTTCGGATATTTTATTAGAAGATTTTTAAAACTTTTTTGGTCTATGTATGAATTTATTAACTAATTTAATTAATAAAGTACTTTATTTAATTCTATTTTATAATTTTGAGTTTATTTATTTGACCCTAACTATCCTGTCAAACAGGGCCCATTCCAAGAGACTTCGGAAGGCGAAACGTTCTTGAAGATCGAAGAATTGTATGACCCTCGCTACGCCCCCTATAAGTACATCTTTCGCCTCTGCTATAGAATACTGAGGCTCAGCCAACAAGACTACAGGAAGAACCAAGTGAGTTGCTTCAATAAAATTGTGTTAAAATAAAATTACAGTATTCAGTTATATTTTAAAAGTTAATATAGTTAATATTAATAAAAGAAAATTTATTAATTTTTATATTTATGAAATTTATAATGTGAATCCTAATGAAGCGAAATCACAATTACACCGTGACATATCATTATTCAAATATGAAGTTAATTACATCGAAAGTTTAAAAGTTCATATCTGAACTAGGCGTGGAAAAAAAACATATTTCTCTCTTATATTATTTTGTGAGGTTCCCAACAGTATGTAAAAATGTTCATTGATTTTTTTTGTTCGTAGTAGAATTTTGTTTAAATAACAGACGGAGTGAAGTTCACTTTACGCTAAGTCGTCGTTAAGAACCAACGGCTTGGCAAACCAAGCTCGATTTAATAAGCACGAATGAGGAGGAAGGAGCTCGAGGTAGTAAAATTTTGGTCACCCATCCAACTACTGACCATTGCGAAAGTAGCTTAACTTTAACGATCGTAGCTCAACGCGCCATCCACTTGCGCCATCTTGCTCCTCCTTATTTTATCCTTAGGGAAGGCCTGTGCCCGGTGGGGCAGCCCATCATCATCAGCCTTTTGATTTCCCCACTCACCAGGCTGATGATGATATTACTACCTATATTTAAGAGAGGTGGGGCGGGATAGCAGATTTGCGGCTCGTATTGGAGCGCTCTTTTGGGGAAGTAACCTCCACTTTACAAAAGACCACAGTAAAATAACACTGCCTCTTGGTGGTGTTGTGTTTCTGTCGGTGACTAAGGTTTCAGGGCTCCACGGGGTGGAGGATCGAGTGAGGATAGGTATCAATATTTTTTGTATCGCAAGCGTCTATAGGCTATGGAGGCTGCTTATCATCAGGCGAGCCTTGTTTGTCACATTTTTAACAAAAAGTCACAGATCTCGTGCTCTACACGACTTGAAAGGGCATTGAAAATGAATCTACTTATTATAGATTATTGTTAAAAAAGATTTTTGTTTTCAAAATTAACTTTTCTAAAATTATTTTTACATCGTCTTAAAGCCCTTCGAATACCGGGTATTTTGAGCTCTCATATGTCCTCGTGTCGGGGAAAACGGGGGCCTACTGGAGTGAATTAAAAAACATTTTCAACGTTAAAAAAAAACTACATTTGTATTGTTTTTTTTTTGTGTAGGAATACATAGCAAAGCACTTCGGATTCATGCAGAAGCAGATAGGTTACGACATCCTAGCGGAGGACACGATTACGGCGCTGCTCCACAACAATAGGAAACTACTCGAGAAACACATCACTGCTTCGGAGATAGAAACCTTCGTAGGTCAGACATAGAGTTGTTTTAGGCTTAGCACCTTAGATTAAAACAAAAAGGGAAGATAGGGAACTCGCGGCTCAAAAGTGATCCGCTTATATTGTGGTGCATGAACACAATTCGCTTTAGTCACAATTGGACATTCAAACACGCTGCATGTGCACTCAATACAACAATATTGCGTACATTCTGTGTTATAAAGATAAAACAATACGATAAGATAAACACAAATAGTTCAAAATCAAATAACAAATGCTTGGGTATCACTTTTCATTCGTAAAATCGTAAAAATACTTTTTCCCAAAAATCATGGTTTGTCTTGAATGTTATTTACGTAATCGCCATTTGGTTATCAAGAAAAAGACAACAGTACAGCTCAGCGTGTAAGCGTACAGTTCTGTCTTGCTAGCATCAAATAAAATATGATCCGACTAACTACATAGGCAACTCTCACACACGCACACTGTCTGATTTAATGTCTGTATACAAACATTAAATCAGACAGTGTGCGTGTGTGAGAGTTGCCTATGTAGTTAGTCGGATCATATTTTATTTGATGCTAGTATGAGCGTACCGTATCTTCCCTTTCTGTTTTAATCTAAGCTTAGCACTATGCGCAATGCTACCTCCACAGTGTCGCGCTATTGCGAACATTTTCCGTTTTAACCACAAGTCTGAATACTTTAGAAAATTTTGTATTGAACCAAGAAGTAGCCCTTGTCATTATTACATGGGAGCAATATAAACATTCAACTCAACACATAACAAAGATGCAGTGGGGACAGTAAGCGCATGTAAATTTATTATAACAAGGGAAGTACCCGGTAAGCGAAAATGATTCCATTATGAAAAATTCAGGTAAAGATTTTATATATAAGATGATAATTGGACCTAGCTTCTAAATTCAAGAATATTTTTTGGCAAATAGTTGGAAATTCCAATATGTAGACAACCCAAAGCGAGTTTGGATTTTGATCTAACCCCCCTTGCGATTAATAGTTCAAAGCCCCTCCGGCGAGTCTATTGAGGTAGGTCTGGCGCCCGACTATTTAATTTCATTTCAACCTGTCCATAGTGCTCTAAAACAATTTTTGTTTTGCTCCTTTTATTTTTATGACAACTAGCTGAGCCCCGCGGTTTATTAGGGATATTTTCCCGCAGTAAAACGTAGCCTATGCTTTAATCTAGGGCGTCAGCTAACTCCATACCAAATTTTATTAAAATCGCTCCAGCCGTTTAGACGTGAAGTAACAATCATAAACACTCACACACTCACAAACTTTCACCTTTATAATATTCGTGTGATTAAGCCAAGAAATAGTCATATTTCAGAACACGGTCAGAAATGTGACTATTGCTTGGTTAGATGCGTCGTCAAAACGGCAAATCCCAGATGTGGTTTGTTTGTGAGTTTAATGTGGCCCCAAATTAACACGTTTGTGTATGTTATCCGTTTGAATTGAAGGAATACATTGTTATATTACGTTTTTTTAGTCTTCCTTAAACCATACACCTTAAAGGTTGAGTTGGGTATAAATTATTAATTGTGTATTGATTTTTAGAGGGCCTTTGAACTGAGTAATTGTCGTCATATCTATCAAGAAAATTCAACATTTGTGAGAATACTTTTGATAAGATTTGCTGTGTTGTCAGGCTGGGTAGATTTACAAAAAACTTAACCTGTCTGAGTATATTTCGTAGCTTCCTGATTTGGAATTCTTTAACACACGTTCTTCGTCCATCTTTAGCTCACGCCAATAAAGAAACTAATCTGAAATGGCGACGCAAAGCGTTAAGTCTTATCATGAATAATTTTCATGTCAGTCAGAATATCATGAATGATCCGCGCATTGTGTATGGTGATGGCTTGCCTATAAAAATCGTTTACTCTGACGCCCAAGCACGAATTTTGACAACTCCATAATCGTATCGACATTGTCGAATTTTGTATGGCAGAAACCATTTTGTTCCTAAGTCCGGTAGGGGCGCTGCTTAGTTTTCATAGAAACTTTATGGAGCTTTCAAAATTGGTTCTCAGTACTCCTTACACGAATCAATATCGAATTCGAATAGTTTGCGAGTACGAAATGTCATTGTCAAATTTTGTATTGAAACTTGAACTTCTTGCCACAAAGTACGTAACGAAAACTAAAAATCAGTAAACATTTGACAATGACATTTCGTACTCGCAAACGTTACGAATTTGATATTGGTTCGTGCTAAGGGTACAGGCCTCTTATTTGACAACTAATACCTCTCTCATAACGAATGTTTAGCTTCCATAGTATTGTATACAATTGGTTTACTGGATATGATGGATTTGCCAAGTAAGACTTCTCTCATTTCGAATGTTTAGCTGCAACAGTATTTTCTTTCCTCAGGCTTAGTACGCAAGAATATGAAGACTTGGCAGTCCCGTTTTTTGGACTACCTGAGCGATCTGTGCATCTCCAACAAGAAAGCCATCGCCGTGACCCAAGAACTTATCTGCAAGAGCGTGCTATGCGCTAACAACTCTGACATACTTATTGAGACCAGGTAGGGAAGTGTTATTGATGATTTAATGTACTCGTAATTTTGTTATTCTATAAGCAGCGCAGCATTGAGAAAGAGGAGAGAAAACAGTGGTCATATTAGAAATTTCTATTGAACATATTAATTAGATTACACATGATTCTCACAGCGTCCTCACAAAGTAGTAGAAATTGTGAGTTAAATTATGAATTAACAATTAAATATTAGGAAAAGCAGATAATAGCGAAGGAAAGATTTGTTATATATGTACCTCTTGGTGTGCAGATTGGTTTCTACAAAATATGAGAAGACAAACACACTGGAACCAGACGACAAAGACAAATACAGCATCGAAGACGATGTCATACTTATATGGAACAATAAAAAGGTAATTGCGAAAAACGAAGAAAGACTCGAAATTTTGTATAATTAAGACATTACTCCTTCCTTATTTATAACAAAAGTAACAAATGAGACTGCAGAGTACATTATTGTAAGATGAGTATATAAAAAAAGAACTAAATAGTGGAGACCCTATTGGAGAGCCCTGTGGTACTCCATTGGATATATTAATGAAAAAAATATTTTTCGACTTACGACATACAACTTCCAATCTTTGTCCATCACGAAAAAAGTTACTTTTCAATCCATAACTTGAAGTAAGCAAGAATATTTTTTATAATAATCTTATCTATATTAAAATAATGCTATAATCCAGGCTAGTAATAAAATCTAAACATTTATTATGTGGTCTTTCTAATTTTATGACCGTACTTCACTTGCCTATTCGTGTTTGCTATTTGTTATCCTGACATCGGTCTGTCCTTTTCATTCCTTGTTAAGGATGATAAAAACAGACTGTTGTGAAGTTATAAATGGGTGATTCTCAGTTAAGAGGTATGTTCGACGGCTAAGCCAAAAATATCATTATATTTAGAAATTATGGTCTAAAATCTTAATAATTTCAATTAACTAAATGTGTTCTAAATTGTCACTTAAAATTATATTCTAACTGTGCATAATTTACTTACAATAACAGCACAAAGAGGAAAAACATCTCTCCCCTGGGTTGTCCCCTAACCGTTTTATTTTGGAAATCAGTAATTTTGAGTCCATTGAAATTTAATTATTACTTTTCTATCGGTAATAACATGAACCCTGATAACTTAGTTACAGTATGTAACCATTAAATTCATTTATATTTGCACTTTTTATAAAAAATATTAATCGCAAACTGTGTCCTCCGAGTTTCGTCTCACGCCCCCTGGCCTTAGGTTTAGTTTGAAAATCGTATTTGTTTACTATAGTCTGTGGTAGTTTTGACCTTGAAGACACCGAGTGTCACGTGAAGTTAGCAGCAAGCGCTGCACAAGCCATCCGCGCGGCAATTTTTTTGGCCATTTGCGCAACGGTGCTCGATGAGTGCAGCCGTGTTGAGTGATCGAAGTATTTACCCTGGTTTTTTTTTCGTATTTATGTGTTTAAATACTACAATATCTATATACATTTATTTTAAATAGTGCTGCAAACCTTTTATTTATTTGTAATCTTTGTAAAATTAGTAGTTTTACGGCAATTTTAGATTTTTAACGAAAATGTCTCTCCCCTGCCATATTTCCGCTGGTTGTTATGGTGCCAGGCTACTAACAAAACTATAAAAACGATGCAATAGCTCAATAACAGTAATGATAAGTTATTAGAGAATGTACAATTGCATATAATTTCAGATAATTGTTTAGCTTTATATTGTTATTCCACTAAAATCTGATTGCACGGATAAGTACTTTACATCCTAATATGAGCTCTAAGCGCATTGCAATACAGTTCATCTAGTCTCTACCCTGTACTCAGTATCTCCCCTGGTGCCTCGTAAAACGAGAATAAATTAAAAAAATGACTGATCATCTTAATATCATATTAAAATCATCTGTCTTGATGAAAGTAGTGGTATAGTTGTATAAATATCGACACTTTTTGCTGTGCCACTGCTTCCATACAACCGATTACCTCTTAACTGAGAATCACCCAAATAGCAAATACCAAGTGTTGGAATTATAATACGTTACGTAACAAGTTTTAGAAAACAATCTCACATTATTTATAATGCGATTCAACTAAGAATAGGACCGACTGGGCGCCATATTGTCAATTCAAAACAAATAGGTAGAGTGAGCAGAATAGTTTTTATTTAATAAAACTTATTTACTAAGGTCAAGTGAGAAAAAAACAACCGATTTTTAATAATATATATTTATTATGACTGTAAGAAAAAACATTAATCAGAATCTAGCTCTTCAATTCCGCTCATCTCTGCATTACCGCCGGAGTAGTTATGAATAATCATGCAGTATTACTAAGTCATATACGAATATGCATCCTTTATGTAAACGAAAGTTTTAAATCGAGTTTATGAACGCAACTTAAAGTGACATTCTGTTGACGATTTACGTTATCAACTAGTCATAGCCAAAGCTTAATAAATGAAAAAAAAAAACAATATTAATTATCAATATTTGTTATTGTTTGTTTTTAAAAATGTTTGGTGTTATTCTAGTATTAGCTGATTGCTAAAAAAGGTTTCCAAGTTTTTTTGCAAACCGTACTTTTCAAGCGACATTTGACAGATGGAGGTCATTGGCTTTCTTATTCTTATTTGAATCGCACTATACTAATGTCTATGGAGTCCATAATATACGGTTACGGAGCTGTCTATTATTAAAATGGATATTCATCATTCTGTTGTGTATTTCAGTAAAAAATCTTAATCAAAAATTCTATTTTCAAGTTGCCGCGAAAACGTTTCTCTGTACAATATAGCGTCTTACTAGTATATGACATCACACGACTGTCATTAGAACGTCAAACGATACAGTTAGTTACTATGACCAGAAGTTTACTAGCGCGTGACGTTATTATAATATTCGCCAATCTGAGGCGTTTTCGGTCACGTGATTATATATATAAAAAAAAGTTCATATTTAATGATGTTTTAGAAAAGTTGTTAATATTTTGTTTTCACAGAATAGTAAAATCGTTGCTCAAATTCATATTAAATACAGATGCTAACAATAGGGTATTTGACAGTGTTAAAAATAAAGTGCTAATTGTTGGCATCTGTGTTTAGAATGAATATTGGCAGGGGTTTTTACTATTTTTACAAAAAAAATATTCATAATTTTACTAAAAACTAACGAAACAGATAATAGTTTTTTTATCTATTGTCACGTGATCCAAAACGCTTGGGATTGGCGGAGCCTAAAATGACGTCACACGCAAGTAAACTTCCGGTTAAAGTGACATTACATTGTATCGTTTGACGTTTTAATAACAGTCGTGTGACGTCACACACTAGTAAGACGCCATATTGTCCAGAGAATCGATTTCGGCAACTTAAAAGTGGAGTTTTTGATTTGGTTATTTTTACTGAAATACACAACAGAATGATGAATATTCACTTTTTACGGATTCCATAAACATTAGTCAAAAACGTGAGATCGTTTTCTAAAACTTGTCTAATACCCTATTGGTACTTTATTTTCATACTGTCAAATGGCTTATTGCGTGGATTATTTTCTAGTAACATTTTCTTTAGATTTAAACATCTAGCAGTTCAAGCATTGAACAATTATAACATAATGGTGTCGATTCTAACATGATTGTCTAAACCTTAATTTAAATTTGACAATGATGTCGATTCTGGCATGATTCTCTAAAGCTAAACTTAAATTTGACAACAGTGTATCCTTGTCATTCTCTATACAGAATGAAAAGGAGAGACTGATGTTAAATTTAGTTTTAAGTTTAGAGAATCACGCCAGAATCGACACCAATGTATCCTACTCATTCTTTACACTGAATGAATATGAGAGACTGAAGTTAATAAGTTCAGAGAATCATGCCAGAATCGACACCAATGTTACGTAAACGTTGTTTGCCACACAGAACTCCCGGCTCCTATCAGAATTAGCGGCGGAAGCGCGACTGGACCCTACGTGCGAGTCCGCCGCCATTTTGGACTATTATCGCCATCAGCTCGATCTGTTCTCCAACATGTGCCTCAATCGACAGTACCTCGCGCTCAACAGCCTCAGCCCGCAGCTGCACATTCATCTCATTCTCAAGTAATTTCCCATCAGATTATACTCATCATCATCAGCCTATTAATGTCCCCAATGCTGGGGCATAGGCCTTCCCTATGGATGGAATAGGGAGCTTGGGCCATGACCCACCTCGCGGGCCCATTGCGGATTGGTGGGTGCTAGCGATTGCAAATGCACCCAGGACCAACGGCTTAAGGTGCCTTCTGAAGCGCGGAGGACCGCGAGATAATAAATTTTTGGTCACCCATCCAATGACCGACCACTGCGAAAGTTGCTTAACTTCGCGAACGCGCTAACTACTTGCGCCATCGAGCTCTTCGGGGTCAGGGAACGGTCATTTCATTCTGCGTCTATATTCCATAAATAGGGAAAGCATATGCCCCAATCATAGGCTGATGATGATAATACTGTTGATGACATTAGGTACGGTGCTGTTCCATACGAAGCAACTGCCGGATGGGCTTCGACCCCATACGACGTGACGCACTAACCACTTGCGACATCGAATTCCTCAAATTATTTTATTTCAAAAAAATATTGAAGCGATGGGAATCATGCATATGATCCGCCTGATGGTAAGCGGGCACCATAGAATATAGACGCTTAAGATACAAAAATATCACCCAATCCCCTACCCCATGGAGTGGAGCCCTGGAACTCTCCTCTCCGATAAAAACACCACCACCAAAGGCACGTTAAACCGGTGAATCTGCAGACGTTAGCACCCGCCAATCCGCACTGGGCCCGCATGGTGGGTCATGGCCCAATCTCCCTATTCCATCCATAGGGAAGGCCTTTGCCCTAGCAGTGGGGATATTAATAGGCTGATGATGATGATGATGATGACTATAATGTTAGTGACCATGAAAGTTTAAAACAATATATTGATTGGTGTGGGTGTTGGAAATATTTATTTATTCTTACACTATCAGGTGTATGTCTAACGCTGAGCTGTCGTACGAGTTGCGCGCGTCGTTCTGTCGACTGATGCTGCATCTACACGCCGACCGCGACCCGCAGGAGCCCGTCACGCCCGTCAAATACGCGCGCCTCTGGACCGAGGTCTGCGACCGGATACATATCCACGAGTGAGTACACGGCGCATTACTGCAGCCCGCCAATAGAGGCATTGATGGACCCGCAGGAGCCCGTCACGCCCGTCAAATACGCGCGCCTCTGGACCGAGGTCTGCGACCGGATACATATCCACGAGTGAGTACACGGCGCATTACTGCAGCCCGCCAATAGAGGCATTGATGGACCCGCAGGAGCCCGTCACGCCCGTCAAATACGCGCGCCTCTGGACCGAGGTCTGCGACCGGATACATATCCACGAGTGAGTACACGGCGCATTACTGCAGCCCGCCAATAGAGGCATTGATGGACCCGCAGGAGCCCGTCACGCCCGTCAAGTATGCGCGCCTCTGGACCGAGGTCTGCGACCGGATACATATCCACGAGTGAGTACACGGCGCATTACTGCAGCCCGCCAATAGAGGCATTGATGGACCCGCAGGAGCCCGTCACGCCCGTCAAGTATGCGCGCCTCTGGACCGAGGTCTGCGACCGGATACATATCCACGAGTGAGTACACGGCGCATTACTGCAGCCCGCCAATAGAGGCATTGATGGACCCGCAGGAGCCCGTCACGCCCGTCAAGTATGCGCGCCTCTGGACCGAGGTCTGCGACCGGATACATATCCACGAGTGAGTACACGGCGCATTACTGCAGCCCGCCAATAGAGGCATTGATGGACCCGCAGGAGCCCGTCACGCCCGTCAAGTATGCGCGCCTCTGGACCGAGGTCTGCGACCGGATACATATCCACGAGTGAGTACACGGCGCATTACTGCAGCCCGCCAATAGAGGCATTGATGGACCCGCAGGAGCCCGTCACGCCCGTCAAGTATGCGCGCCTCTGGACCGAGGTCTGCGACCGGATACATATCCACGAGTGAGTACACGGCGCATTACTGCAGCCCGCCAATAGAGGCATTGATGGACCCGCAGGAGCCCGTCACGCCCGTCAAATACGCGCGCCTCTGGACCGAGGTCTGCGACCGGATACATATCCACGAGTGAGTACACGGCGCATTACTGCAGCCCGCCAATAGAGGCATTGATGGACCCGCAGGAGCCCGTCACGCCCGTCAAGTATGCGCGCCTCTGGACCGAGGTCTGCGACCGGATACATATCCACGAGTGAGTACACGGCGCATTACTGCAGCCCGCCAATAGAGGCATTGATGGACCCGCAGGAGCCCGTCACGCCCGTCAAGTATGCGCGCCTCTGGACCGAGGTCTGCGACCGGATACATATCCACGAGTGAGTACACGGCGCATTACTGCAGCCCGCCAATAGAGGCATTGATGGACCCGCAGGAGCCCGTCACGCCCGTCAAATACGCGCGCCTCTGGACCGAGGTCTGCGACCGGATACATATCCACGAGTGAGTACACGGCGCATTACTGCAGCCCGCCAATAGAGGCATTGATGGACCCGCAGGAGCCCGTCACGCCCGTCAAGTATGCGCGCCTCTGGACCGAGGTCTGCGACCGGATACATATCCACGAGTGAGTACACGGCGCATTACTGCAGCCCGCCAATAGAGGCATTGATGGACCCGCAGGAGCCCGTCACGCCCGTCAAGTATGCGCGCCTCTGGACCGAGGTCTGCGACCGGATACATATCCACGAGTGAGTACACGGCGCATTACTGCAGCCCGCCAATAGAGGCATTGATGGACCCGCAGGAGCCCGTCACGCCCGTCAAGTATGCGCGCCTCTGGACCGAGGTCTGCGACCGGATACATATCCACGAGTGAGTACACGGCGCATTACTGCAGGCCACCAATAAAGGCATTGATGGACCCGCAGGAGCACGTCACGCCCGTCAAATACGCGCGCCTCTGGACCGAGGTCTGCGACCGGATACATATCCACGAGTGAGTACACGGCGCATTACTGCAGCCCGCCAATAGAGGCATTGATGGACCCGCAGGAGCCCGTCACGCCCGTCAAGTATGCGCGCCTCTGGACCGAGGTCTGCGACCGGATACATATCCACGAGTGAGTACACGGCGCATTACTGCAGCCCGCCAATAGAGGCATTGATGGACCCGCAGGAGCCCGTCACGCCCGTCAAGTATGCGCGCCTCTGGACCGAGGTCTGCGACCGGATACATATCCACGAGTGAGTACACGGCGCATTACTGCAGGCCACCAATAAAGGCATTGATGGACCCGCAGGAGCACGTCACGCCCGTCAAATACGCGCGCCTCTGGACCGAGGTCTGCGACCGGATACATATCCACGAGTGAGTACACGGCGCATTACTGCAGGCCACCAATAAAGGCATTGATGGACCCGCAGGAGCACGTCACGCCCGTCAAATACGCGCGCCTCTGGACCGAGGTCTGCGACCGGATACATATCCACGAGTGAGTACACGGCGCATTACTGCAGGCCACCAATAAAGGCATTGATGGACCCGCAGGAGCACGTCACGCCCGTCAAATACGCGCGCCTCTGGACCGAGGTCTGCGACCGGATACATATCGACGAGTGAGTACACGGCGCATTACTGCAGCCCGCCAATAGAGGCATTGATGGACCCGCAGGAGCCCGTCACGCCCGTCAAATACGCGCGCCTCTGTAGGCCTTTTGACAGATGGAAGTGATAATCAACGAGCTATTTAGTGATCCACTACTGCTTTATTATAACGCCACTAAGATACTTGTTACTTGGGGGTTCACCTCACACACACACACCGCAGAACGTGATAATTATACGTGCGTGTTTATCGATTTATAAGACGTTATCACCTCAAAATTCAATTTTCAAGTTGCTGCAAAAGCTTTTCTCTCGACATTATGACCGCCCAATAGTGTGTGACGTCACACGACTGCCAATAAAACGTTAAACGATACAGTGTAATGTAACTGGCCGGAAGTTTACTAGCGTGTGACGTCATTTTTGTCTTGGCCAATCCCAGGCGTTTTGGTCACGTGACCATAGAGCAAAAAATCATTTTAGCTATTAACGGGATTGTTACCATGTACCTTGTTTTTTATGAGTCTCCGATATTTCGGCACTGTTGCAAGCGCCATGATCACGGAGTAACTACTCCGGAGTAACTACTCCGTGATCATGGCGCTTGCAACAGTGCCGAAATATCGGAGACTCATAAAAAACAAGGTACATGGTAACAATCCCGTTAATAGCTATAATGTTAGTGACCATGAAAGTTTAAAACAAAAAAAATCATTTCTATTGATTTTATAGATTTATTATTTATTTAATTGTTCTTGCATCAATTCAGAATAGTAAAACAGCTGCTAATATTCATATTAAATACAGATGTCAACTATTGGTACATTATTTTTCATACCGTCAAATAGCCATTGTGACTAAAGCGAATTGTGTTTATGCACCTAATTTGAGCGTTGTACTTTTGAGACACGAGTGCTGTATCTTCCCGCTGTGTCGACTATTATCAGTCGACGTTTTTTCACGATTACAATTTGTATACGAATTCTTGCCCAAACCTGCTGTCCTATAAGCGTTTAATTCCATTCACAGTTACCAATGCGTGAAAGGCGGTCCGGACGCGAACCGTGAAAAAGTGAAAGAGCAATTCGCATCCACCATCCGCTTCGTGGAGAACTACCTTTGCAACGTGGTCACTCGCACCTGGTACTTCAGCGACCACGACCAGAACAAGCTCACCTTTGAAGTGGTCAAACTGGCCAGGGAGCTAATATACTTCGGCTTCTATAGGTATGTGACAATATTTCCAAGTCGGCAGACAATAGATTTCAAATATCAGTAATAATTTATTCAGCCTAGGCTGTTCCAAGCACTTATGAAGGTCTGATATTATTTGATAAATAAACTGGCTGCGCTATCTGGAGACTTAAACTTAATACTTAAGTGACCACGAACAGAACAAGCTCACCTTTGAAGTGGTCAAACTGGCCAGGGAGCTGATATACTTCGGCTTCTATATGTATGTGACAATATTTCCAAGTTGGCAGACAATAGATTTCAAATATCAGTTATAATTTATTCAGCCTAAGCTGTTCCAAGCACTTATGAAGGTCTGTTATATTTGATAAATAAACTGGCTGTGTTATCTGGAGACTTAAACTTAGTACTAAAGTGACCGGTCCAGAACAAGCTCACCTTTGAAGTGGTCAAACTGGCCAGGGAACTGATATAATTCGGCTTCTATAGGTATAAATATATTAAGAAATGAATATAATCACACCAATTAGGCTAACCCTAAAATAAAACTTGTGTTCTGGAATGCTAGGGTAACAGCTAGAAATATAATTATGTTTTTATATAAATTATATCTCGTATTCATCTAACCTTTGTCCCACCGAGCTTAGAACCCCTTCATGATACGAATCTCTGAGTAAGCGACATCTTAAAAACCGGCCTTCATACTACCTTACCACGATGGTCGTCAAAGATAGTTGCCAATATTTCGAAACTAGAAGACAGACCCTAAATAACACTGGATCTTTTAACTACCTTTGAAAGTATTACTCGCACTTAGTTCTTGAGTGATCACTAACAGAACAAGCTCACCTTTAAAGTGGTAAAACTGGTCAGGGAACTGATATACTTCGGCCTCGGTTCGACGACCTCCGTGGCCGAGTGGTTTATACGCCGGGTTTCATGGTGTCGCTCGAATGGCTAGAAGAATTTCGCTTAAGAATGGCTAGAAGAATTTCGGCGCGGCCGTCAGGGCCGCGGTAGCATAATTGGTCAGTGCATTCGCCCGGATTGCGAAGGGTGCGGGTTCGAGTCCCGTCTGCTGCCTGTTCCGCGTGGATTTTTTTCTAGTTATATTTTCTTTAGATTAAAACATCAAGCAGTTACATGCTCAAAAAATTAAAATTAAAAGGATAAGTATAAGTGTGCTTGCAAGTAGGTTCCTATAATGATGAACAATTTGACCTCTTTCTGTAGCTTTAGCGATCTCCTCCGTCTAACCAAGACATTGCTGAGCATCCTCGATTGCGTGACGGCAATGGACTTGCTGAACGAAACCAACGCCCTGTCTGGTGAAGTTGAATGTAAGTGCAATTATTTAACGCTTTTATTAATTGGTTTTATTGTCAAGTATGTTCTACCAGTTCACCTGCAGAGGTGCTAGTCTAATGGTATAGCGATAGAGCAGAGTAAGTGCAAAGAAAAGTTCCATCCATCCAGTACAAGGTTTAACGTTTGATATGCTAAATTTGTCGAATAAAGAAGATAAAAATCAGCTTGGTTGTTAATCTATTACAGTTCATAAAATATAGCCTGCTAGCAGACGAAAGAATGGAAAGCGGAGGCTAAGTAATAAGTACAGTAGTTTTTTTTAATTTAATTATAAATAACTAGCAAACCAGTGAACCAAATGTTCACCAAAACCTGATTTCTCGAAAATCGGAAGGGCTACGTTACTCAAATCCGGTTTGTAGTCTTATCAGACTATTCTTAACTTATAACTTAAATATTCTCTTTATCTATCTCTTACGGTTTGGCCGCTGAAACAGCACAACAGACAGACGGACTTGTCTAATAGATAAGAGATAGTTATTGATATGCCAATCATGTACAAAGACGTTTTATGTAATATTTTACTCAACTTTCAAGCCACTCAAGAAGTAAAGGAAGTGAAACAGAGTAAGTCACATAACTGATTTGTTCATGACTAGATTAGTTTATGACAAGTTTTCTAAAGCGATCGCACATTATGAACTTAATGGAGTTCATCAAAAGTGGAAATACATCATTCTGTTGATATTTCAGTAAAAAAACTAAATCAAAAATTCCATTTTTAAGTTGCCGCTAAAACGTTTATCTTGACAATATGGCGTCGCACTAGTATGTGAGGTCACACGACTGTCATTAAAACGTCAAACGATACAGTGTAATGTCACTTTGACCGGAAGTTAACTAGCGTGTGACGTCATTTTGGTCTTCCCCAATCCCAGGCGTTTACGATCACGTGACCATAGAACAAAAAAAAATAATGATTTTTTAATAAAGTGATTAATTATTTCTTCTCTGAAAATATTTAAATCACAACAACTATTTATATAAAATACAGACGCAACAATTGGTACTTTGTTTTTCTTGCTGTCAAATACACTATAATAGGCTAGTTGACACTTTTTGGAAATATGTTTTAAATGGTTAATAATTGTTCAATTAGACCGTAAAAATGCATTGTATTTTTTTTTACCTAGAAAGCTACAAAACTTTAATTTTTAACTAGATTTTTCATGGACATACAAAAACGTTGTCGGCCATTTTAGTCTATAGATTATCTATGGTATGACGGGAACAAAACAGTAAACAAATACTCGCAAGTACGTAGGATCTGCATTTACCTTACAAAACCATGATTTCTAATAGATTTTATGATAAATATAGTAATTATCATGATTGTATTATACATATATAGAAACACATCGTTAAAGACTCCAGAAATGTGGTTTAAATTTTTAAGGTTATGAATGTACCTGCTAAGTCATAGAGTTGTGTCGTTTCTGCTTTCACAAATCCGGCGTCCAGCATTAATTAAGTCAACAAAACCGATAAACGTAAACTTTTCTTAAAGATATAAGAGTTTTTAGACATATTTTAGATAAGAGTTTTTAGACATATTTTAGTCCAACGAAAGAAACCACAATAACGCGACAATGACGTTTAGTTGTTTGCTATTAAGTTGACGTCACAATCATGGTGGACAGCGTTTTTAGTGTTTAAAAAGCATAGACTAAAAAACTATTTTCAAATTAAATTATTACAACCATCTTCTAATTTTATGAAGTGAAATCGATGTATTTAAGTTCCTCATACCAAAAATTATAAGAAATAAACATTTGTATAGTGCAATTTGACATGAGTCAACTAGCCTATTGTATACGGAATTAGATCAGGGTTTGATTTTAATTTACTTGAAATAATTTTGTATTTTAAAATTATCCGTAACCTTGACTACATCTTCTCTTTTCTCTTCTTTCATAACGCAGAATGCTTGCATGGTGGGTATTGCATGGCCCACCATCCTATGCTATCCATAGGGTACGCCTGTGCCTTAGCAACGGGGACATTAATATGACGATAACAGGAATGCAATACTTTTCTATCATAAATGTCCAATATTTTTGTAGCCGAGGGGGGCGTGCTGCGAAGCATCGGTGATATGGGCGCAGTCATGACCTCCATAACCCTTGGATCAGTAGCCAGAAACGTAAGAATCTACCTTCTGAATTATATTTTATGTTAAAGGCCTTTGTTCCGATTTTGTTATAATTTTTTTGATTCAACTAAATAAGAACGAAATATTACCATGTTATATTAAAATGATATAACTACACGATATGATGCCCTTCAAGAGTAAGAGAGTATCAAGAATGCTTGAATGATGCTGTTACGTTTTATTTTTTGTGTTTTTTGTAGGAACAATTAAAGACAGAATTATCAGATATTCGGGCCTCAGAACCAACGCGTCACAACATGTCACGTTTCGAGATTAGATTTGAAAATCAAATTACAAAAGGGTCGGGCAGTTTCTTAAGGAATATAACTTTCTAGTTATAATTTTATTTTTTAAGCATTTAACTGCTATTTGTTATAATCTAAAGAAAATTTTACTTGAAAATATTCCACGCCAGTCAGGAGACGGGACTCGACCCAGCGCCCTCCGCTATCCGGGCGGATGGACTGACCTTTTTGTCCGTGTTGAGTTTTCTCTAGCTAGCATTTCTTAGGCTTTAAGGCAGCGCCATCTTTTCGCATTGAAGGTAACCCACATTTTTTTAGTAACATTTTCTTTAGATATAACTTTGTATTTTCATTAATCAAATAATATAATATTCAGCTAAAATGATGGAATAATGTTGATATTAATATATTTTTATTTGTAAGGTAAAAAAAATATCGTATTTAGCTGATAAATTATATGCATATAAACTAAATTACAATTAAATAAAACTGGTTTTTACGGGTTAATGCACGAAACTTTATTTATTTATTGACGTTTCGCAGCCTTTTCAGGTCTGCATCGTCAGAATAATGATTTTTTATTTAAAATTGTCGAGCTACCTTCGAAAGACTTATATTGAGCGTTCGGTTATTTCATTGGAAGATTTTTAAAATTTTATTGTCTATGTATGAATTTATTATTTAATTTACTTAATAAAGTATTTTATTTAAAATTCTTGTTTGTAATTTTGAGTTTATTTATTTGACCCTAACTACCGTAAACTACCACCGGTTCCAAAATTGGGAGACCTTCCTGAGAAGAACCGGCGAAACAAACTCAAGAGAGGCTTTCTATCTCCTTCTTATGTTAAATTATGCAAACAAAAAGAACTAATAGTATCTGATGGTCTTGCAGTGTGTGCTCGGGGTTGGGATTTTATCTCCTGTATAATAGGTTCCCAAGCTGATGGTATATACCAACCATCTTCACTATTGAAATTTGGATATTTTTTAATCTCAATAGCCTCGCGCATCATTCGAGGAACGAACCGCCGCTCAGCTGCAAGGCTCTGTGGTCTATCAAATCTAATGTAGTGGTTTGGTCCCCCTAATGCATGTTCACACACTGCAGATTTATTTTCGCGCCTATGTTTCATATCTGCCATATAACTTTCTAAAATCATTGTAGAACTCAATAAAGTATTGATTGATATACGGTGGTATAGGCCGGGGGAGGGGGCGTCGGCGTATCAGTGGGGGGCGGAGGCCCGGGGCTCCAGCGCAGTGCTTCGGCGCTAGTGCTGGCCCGCGAGCACCCGCTCGTCATGGACACCAAGCTGAAGATCATCGAGATTCTGCAGGTATCATCATCAGCCTATCAATGTCTCCACTGCTGGGGCACATGCCTTCCGTATGGCTGGTATAGGGGGATTGGGCCATGACCCACCAAGCCCACCCAGTGCAGATAGGTGGGTGCTAACGACTGTAAATGCAGCCTTCCGAAGCACAGGGTAGCCCGAGATAGTAAATTTTTGGTCACCCATCCAATAACTGACCACTGCGAAAGCTGCTTAACTTCAACGATCGCAGCGCAAAGCGTTTACCATTGTTGCCATCGAGCTCCCGTGGTATAGTGACCCCCATTTGTGGTGGTATATAAAGAGGAGGGGGAGGACCTGGTCTGCGAGCATCCGCTCATCATTGACACCAAATTGAAGAGCATAGAGCATAGAACCAGATTAAAAATATGCTGCTTATCGATCACATTCGTTATTATCTTAGATTAGAGTTAGTGTAAAATATGAACATATTAACGGTTTTCAAATTTGTTAGTTTAAGTGCTTGTTAATCGATCACATTTATAAGTGCTTGATAATCGATCACATTTAATCTTTTTCGATTTCGACACTTGGAAACTAAATAGCGTTACCGAGAACGTATATATACGCACAAAAAAAAGTATAAAACACTATTGGCTTCCGAGCCGTAAACATCTAAACCTACATATCGAATTGTCTTTTATTTCGGCACCCATTTTACATGGACCTTAATCACCAATTCTTTGTTAATCACCAGCCTATTAATATTCCCACTTCTGGGGCCCAGGCCTTCCCTATGGATGTAATAGGCAGATTGGGCCATGACCCACCACGCGGGCCCAGTGCGGATTGGCGGGTGCTAACGAATGCAGATGCAGCCGGGACTAACGGCTTAACATGCCTTCCGAAGCACGGGAAATCTATATATATAAAAATCAATTGCTGTTCGTTAGTCTCGCTAAAACTCGAGAACGGCTAAACGGATTTATCTTATCTTGGTATTGAAATATTTGTGGAGGTCTAGGAAAGATTTAAAACGTGAGAACATATGGAAAAATTACGAGGAAGATAGTAAAAGCGTTAATTTCATTTTCCCATATAAACTGTTAAATCTTCTTTCCTTTCAAACATTTGACGTTCGTCCCTTTTGGTACGGTAGACTCGGATCCGTCATTTCTGCCAAAATATTTTAACCCGTACGAAGTATAAATTTATCGCTTTGTTATTGTGTGCAGTTTATTCTGGATGTGAGACTGGACTACCGCATCAGTTGCTTGCTGTCGATCTTCAAGAAGGAGTTCGAGCAAGCGGGCGAGCGGAGCGCCGACTCGCTCGCGCGGGCCGATGTGGAGGCGATAGGGCTGCAAGCTGAAGGCATCTTCAGTTGCCGGTGAAATATCACATTTTTTTTATAAAAACAATGCATTACAACTACATTCCAAATATTTTATCGCCAAGATTTTTTTTTGAAGTTATACCTCTTTAGGCGCGTTATGAAAAAATGATGAGAGTGAAATTTTAAGATGCGCGCGCATCACTGAAACACAAAATTTTAACAGCATGAAGTTGGTCGCTTTAACTTCATGCGTTACTTTTGTGTTTACCGCACATTAAGAAAATCTACCAACAAAATAGAAATAGAATCTCTATCTAGTGGGTGCTAACGACTGCATTGTGAAGGCCTATCAAAAGTATTTATTAATCTGGAACAACGGAACCTAAGCGCGATTCAGGAGACTACAGCGCCATCTCTTGACCATTGGTGTAGTAGAACCAAAAACCACATCTTTATTTTTTGTAATAAAGTAACAGTTATAGGTATTCATATTTATAATATCAAAAGTATTTATTAATCTGGAACAACGGAACCAAAGCGCGATTCAGGAGACTACAGCACCATCTCTTGACCATTGGTGTAGTAGAACCAAAAACCAACATCTTTATTTTTATTTGTAATAAAGTAACAGTTAAAGGTATTCATATTTATAATATTTATCCACATGTTTCTAGTTTGTATATTCGGAATACGTGTTTGAGTTTCATACAAGTGCAAATCACATATGTTCTAATAAATTATATTCAGTGCGAGCGATTTTAATTGAATATTTTGATTATTTATTTATTTTTACAAATTAAAACTGAACTTTATTGACTGTGTCCTTTTCCAGACTTTTTTTAATTTATTGTAATTAATTATTTGCATGCAATTAAAAACTAATTTTAAACGATGCCAAAGAAGGATAACTTCTCACGCGCCTACATAAGTACACGCACCCATTTTTTTTCTAACACACACCAATTAGCCTAACCCCAAAGTAAGCACTGTAGGCTTGTGTTATGGGATACTAGGTTAACGGATGGAATACATATACTAATACATATATTTATGTAGAAATACATATTTAACATCCATGACTGAATGTGAACATGTTGGTTACCTATAATGCGAAGAGATGGCGCTGCCTTGCAGCTTAAGAATGGCTAGAGGAATTTCGACGCAGCCGTCAGGGTCGCGGTAGCATAATTGGTCAGTGCATTCGCCCGGATAGCGAAGGGTGTGGGTTCGAGTCCCGTGTGCTGCCTGGTCAGCGTGGAATTTTTTCTAGTTATATTTTCTTTAGATTTAAACATCGAGCAGTTACATGCATAAAAAAGAAATAAAATCCATGACTGAAATACAAATGCTCGTATTCGTCACACAAACATATGCCATGATGAAACCTGGCGTACAATACCAGTCTGCCACGATGGTCGTCAAAAAAATGTCACAGGAAAGCGACAGATTTTACCGCTCCATCTTCCGACCATTTGTCGTTCGGCAGTATTTGCCAATTTTCGACCATTGCGAAAGTTGCGCCATCGAGCTCCTCAGATTATTATTATTATCAGAAGTATGAAAAAGAAATGTTTTTTATATTCTAAATTCCTGTTCTTTCTGCCTACCCCACCAGGGACTCTGCGTGAAGATGTAGATAGACAGATAGATAAAAGCATATGTCCGAGTATTGTTATGATTCTTTTTGAATTGGGAGCAAAGTAGACTAATACAAATCATTAAGTTTCCTTCTTTTAGTTTCCTACGTATAAGATAAGTAATATTGTCATAAAATGTGTAATTTAGTTTATAAGTAGGTCTGTAGACAAAAGTTGTAGTTAGTTGTGACTAACGCATGGTATAAAATGGTGGGAAAATTAATAGATTCGGCCAATTGATTTTTTTTTATCAAAATGAATCTAACACGTTGAGCGATTGGTATGTCGGTTGCTTATAAATCAAAGGATACAATGGCTTGCGCTGGATAGACTTCAAACTAATATTGGCTTAAAAACCAATCCAAATTCTTCGACTACTTTATTACTTTATGATCAAGCTTGTCTTAACTTAAAATTATTGAAGTGAAAACTCCTTTAGCGGCGTTGTACACTTTTTTTGTAATGGGTAAAAAATGTTAAACTCGCGTCATGACACGTGGCCTGATCGCGTCAGGACACGGCTTAATAGAATATTCGTAAGACGAAAACAATAAAATTGGAAAGTTTGTTGACTTTCAATGTATTGGACGAAACGTAGTAATATTTTATTTTATCGTATTATAATAACAAGTTTGTTTCTTAGGTTTTCACGCACATCACTCATTAAATAAAACTAGTTTTTACGGGTTAATGCACGAAAACTTTATTTATTTATTGACGTTTCGCAGCCTTTTCAGGTCTGCATCGTCAGAATAATGATTTTATTTAAAATTGTCGAGCTACCTTCGAAAGAATTATATTGAGCGTTCGGTTATTTCATTGGAAGATTTTTAAAATTTTATTGTCTATGTATGAATTTATTATTTAATTTACTTAATAAAGTATTTTATTTAAAATTCTTGTTTGTAATTTTGAGTTTATTTATTTGACCCTAACTACCGTAAACTACCACCGGTTTCAAATCTCTAACTAGGACCTCCAGGTGGCAGTTTTATTGCGAAGAAAATGCATTTTTTTTTATAATCGATGTCGCTAGGTGCGCTTAGATGTGATTCATGTAATTTGATTTTTCTGAGAGATAAACTTTTTAATGTAATATAAATTGTCATATTTGTGTACGATAGCACAATAAATAAATATTGTAATCTACCACATAAATGATAGTACTTTTATACTGATAATTAAAACAATTCGTGCAAAATTATTCCCAAAATATCAAAAATGCACAACGTAAATATTCAAGTTTTCACTTCTGCCGGCACTCCTGGAGTGCAAACCGTCGTTTTTTTTTATTTATATACTTTATTTGAACACACAAATATAAATATCAGACACAGGAGCAACTTAATTAAAGATAACATGTACAAGGGCACAATTTGTGTCAAGTTTGAAAAAAATAATGACAATGTTAACAGACATTCCAATAATTTATATAGGTACTTTATTCATATCCTTATAGAGACGAATAAAACAGTGTAGTGCGCCAAAAGTTGATTAGGCGAAAAAACTTGTGTTTTATTTTACCTCTTTTATATAGAAGATTGATTATTTATTTACCGTCCTTACCATTTTACAAAGTCAACCCAATCGTAACGGTATCAACGGTCTTCAGGAAAAAACTGCAAACCACCAAGTAGTACAGTGGCCTAGACCATTTCTACCTTACTCGCGACTTTGTCCACGTTAACTTTAATTTTTTAAGGATCCGTCAGGAACCTCACATGTTCGGCATAAAAAGTATCCTATGTTTCAATCCAGGTCATAAACTATATGCATGCCAAATTTTATCCAAATCCATTCAGTAGTTTTTGTGTGATTGAGTAATAACAAACACACAATTTTTCACATATTAGTAGGATAGGATTTTTCCGAGCTTGTGAGTGTACTTTAAACTGAAAAATGAAACTTACCAAGAGCTTTTATCTCAACGTGATAGATACTACAGTTGGCCAAATCGAAAACTAAATTGGGTCACATACAAGTAGTTTGGTCTTAAATGGGTCTAGAAAATCTTGACAGATAACGGTTCTGGATAGTAGAATGAGATTAGTGATATCAACCTTAAATTTCATATTAATATAGGCTCATCAGAAATATTAGTTTTTTTCCAATCATAACCAAAAAAAATAGCAATAAATCAGCTTGTATCATTCTTCTGTTGTTCATGTTACCGTAATTTAACTCTTTCCTTGTGAACAATAAAGTATATATCAGTAATATTATTATAAATATATTTAAAAAAACGTGCCTTCTACTATCCAAAACTGTTATCTGATTAAATAACGTAGATATGTCATATTAACTTGTACTAAACTAATAAAACACATTATTTCAGAGCAATTCAGACTGTGCCTGACAGCTGTCTACCAAAAAATGTAGATTTGTTAGTAAGATGAATTACGCATAGCATGCTTGTGAGATGTGCCCGCTAAAACTAACCCGAGTAAAATTATGGTTTTCTTATCCCAAAAGATGGAATTTCCCAATTTTAATTTTGATAAATACACATGAAAATATTTTATTTTACACTTTCTCATTAAAACAGTCGCAATTCAATATGAAATCTAACTATGGCATTTTTTTAAATATTAAAAATTATAATTGATTATGCGCATGACTTTCGTTTGTAAAATGCGAAATACAATACAAAAACCTTTGCATGAAAGACTTGACATTGTTCTGTATTAAAATAAAATTACGAGCCATATTGTGACGTCCTTATTATGTATTGGTTATATTAAAATAACATTACTTTGTGTGAGTGATCCATCGGTAAATGATAATTATGGGTTTACAATAAAATTGGAAATATGTTGGAATACCAAAAGTGTGCTTTAAACAAATCCTCTGCTTTTTGCATGGGAATCTAACCCTTTTCAAGGAAAATGGCATTTTGAGCAATTAACTGTGAATATAATACGCTAATCCGCTTGCGAGGGCTTTTTAAGCATGTTTTTGGGATGAAATATTAACCCCGAATCCCGAATGAAGGTACTGAGTTGAGTACTGATTATGAAGAATAACATTATGATGTAATAATGAAATTCAGAACGCATCATACTTGTAAGTATATGACATTTTTATTTATTCATTCAAACAAAATATTACATATTTTTGTTTTGAAAACAAAATTTGTGTTGACCTTTAAAAGATTAATGAGATTTCATAAGAATTGGTGGGAACGCGATATAAAATAGTTTTTGTGTAGTCACTTTTCTAAGTGCATTAATCAATCCTAACAACAATCATATTCTGTAAACAGTCGTACAAGAGTACCAGAATAAAATTCATTACTTGCCTTCTTAACAATGCGCTTATCCATCTACCAAAAGTAAGTAAGTAGTAATGAAGCATATTTTGATATTACACAATTAGTACTGTTATTTTAAAATCTATAGGAATATACAAACCAACATAATTTTAGACAGAACTGCAAAACAAAAAAAAAACACTCAGAACAGTCTATGGGGTGGGTGTATTTACACGCTTCTAAAGATTTAGTAGTTTTTGTAAGGAACGGGATTTAGTATTGCTGTTAAAGATATTTTTTCTTGTAATTAAATTTAAGTGAACTACATAATTATCAACTGGCGTTTCTGAATCTGGATTATTACATCAAGTTCCTACTCCCAACCATCAGTATCTGCGCATCTTCAATTGTTTTTGTAAAGGCATTTCATATTATCGGAATATCTAGGGATGGATTGGACTTAGACGAATGCGGAGGCCGTATGGTACTCCGGGTGCTACTGCAGCTGTGCTCGCAGGGGGCGTCAGCCGCGCTGGTCTCCGGAGCCCTAGCACTGCTGTTCCGACACTTCAGCCAACGGCAGGAGGTGTTGGCCGCATTCAAACAGGTAAATCATCTAATTTGGACTTGCAAAACAGCTAGACTTGGATTAATGCGGTGGCAACTTAAAAAACTACAAACAATGTGCACTCTGTTAAAAAAAATCGAAGAAAAAGGACCCAAAAAAATGTTATACTTTTTCAAAGTTGTTTCATCGTTGAATAATAAAAAATAACAAAAAAAAATCTAAGTCCTAAACTACAAAAAATCGTAGAACATACATGGGGGTTAGATTGATGGGTATGATACACCACTTTCAGCGCGCACTAGCTTGACACCCTAAAAGAAACACCCTGTATACAACGCTGTAGAATATTTCTTTACATTGTGTTTATAATTTTCCCCTTATACTTTCTAACAATTAAAATACTAAATGCAAAACTTAATTAGTGTAGAAGATGCATTATTTATGGTTTGCATTGGGCCAGGTAGTGTAGACAATTATTGTCTTTTACTATTGTTTATTCGGACGTTGTTGACAGGAGTAACATATTATCACCGTTTCTTTTGAGATAATTTTTAAAATTGCTCTCTTATGTGCGAAGCAAAGGAGCTGAAATTTCGGAGAGGTTGTGCATGTAGAAGGAATTAAAATCTTGAGAGTGCTAACATTGGTGTCGATTCTGGCATGGATATATACCTAAATTCAATTTGAAAACAGAGTATCCTTTTCATTCTCTATAAAGAATGAGAAGGAGAGATTGATGTTAAATTTAGTTTTAAGTAAAAAAAATCGTGCCAGCATCGACACCAATATTTATCTTCGAAGTTACGTTAAACCAAAGAGTGTTGTATCTCCACCCAGGTTCAACTACTAGTCTCAGACGCGGACGTAGAGTCCTATAAACAGATCAAGGCCGACTTAGACCTGCTCAGACAAAGCGTTGAGAAGTCCGAACTGTGGGTGTTCAACAAAGGCCGCGCCGGCCTTCTAGATGAACATTCAGGTGAGACTTCTAACAATTATGTCACCGTTTAATCGTATAAGCCGTTACTGTAATGGGTAATCTATCTGGGGAGTTTATAAACAGCCGATAGATCATGAACATTAAAAACTAGTCTCTGCCTGTCTCTGGCCTTGTCATAAATATTGATTAAGACAACACGTGACTTTAAAAACATACAATCTATTTGACGTCTGTGAGTACAGCCATAAGCTTTTTTGTTGGTTATTGACATTAACCAGCTCGTTATCTCGTAACACCTATTAAATGAAAAATAGCAAATCCTTACATCAATAAAGTTACAATCTGTCGGCTGTTTATAATCGCACTACATTGAATATAAACAAACGGTTTTGTACAATTAAACGGTGACATCTATAAGCATTATAGGAATGAAAGTTTTCTTAAATTTACTGAATAATGTTAAACCATTGACCCAGTGTTTTTAAAATGAATCGAAAATATTTCAGTTTTTGTAGTGTGTTTCCTGTCTATTAGTAACTATATTTCTTGTCAGATTTCCTTGAGTGTGTTGAATTTTCTATTCTATGTTCGTAATTGTAATGTTACGTATTTAAATTATGTTTATTTCCCTTGTCAATTTATACTTATTCCATAACCGAATTATCTAACTTTTTGAATCAAATCATTATTAGTTCTTACTTTAACATCAAAAATTTACTATTCCCTTGTGTTTTCAATTCACGTTCAAATAGTTTGTACTGTCATTGTATCCCTTTTCACTTCCTGATTCCTCATTTATCTGTAGTGGAACACTCCTTTGGATACCGAGTGAGTTTTTATTTATTGTATTTTATTCATATATTTGTTTACATTTGCATGGCATGAAAACTTTTCATTTATTAAAATACTTAACAATGCTAGCAGTTTAAATGGTTTCTAACATCTCTTTTAGATATCAACAGTTATAATGGTTCTGAAGTTTGCAGAATATTTTTGTAATTTATCATTATTCTAGAATAATTTCAAGGCGTAGCTAACTTCAGAGCTGTTAACTTAAACGAATCTTTGTTTAGTCATGCTTAAATTTTACCATATTTTTCTTTGAACATAAAATTTGAAGACAGGTAAGGCTTGTGGGTTTCCTGCTAGAAGATTAATGTATAACTATACCAGAAGAATGCAGCTGAATAATATTAGTTATTCTATATCACTATATGTGAATGGTTGCCAAAGTACACTATTGTAAGTTTATCTGGTGTTTACAATGGTCAGTTCAGAGCTTTCAGTTTTTCTATTATGACTAGATTGAAAAAGTGTCATTATTAAAATTAAACGCTGCTCTATTACTTTTCGCTTTAATAAAAGCCGTGTTAGTCAAACGTTTTAAAGTTGGAGCTTCTATTTGAAGGCCTGTTGTAAGTACGCAATTCTACATGCATTAAATTGAGAATGAAATGGTCATATATAAATGCTCCCATTCATTTTATTATACACCTGTTAAAAGTAACAAATAAATTATTAGTCTACAAAATATCATAATTAATTTCTCTTAGGTATAACCGGCACAGTCGGACCCGGCGGCGCTGTGTTGGAACGCAACGCGTCTTTGGATAACGTTCTAGATACTTCTAGAACGAGCAAACACGACCACAACGAATACAAGAAAATAAAAGAGGTAAATTTTACTTTTTACTTACACAGAGAACTCTTTGGACTACGCAAAAAACTAAACTGTTTTATGAATAATTTACATTACAAAAAATGATAATTTTAATTAAGATTTTCTTGTAAATTACGATTTGATTTGATAAAATATTTACTGCGAAGCTAAACTACAAACTTTAGAACGACCGAGGAAACTTGGCTGTACCTGTACATTAGTCTAATACTAACGCGTTTGTTTACGAAAATCTGAAACAAGAAAGCACCGAGACTTAACGAGTAAAAAGGGTGACGTACAGAAAAATCCTGCTTTTATTATATTTATATAATAAAGAAGAAACATGTGTTTGTTTGTAACGAATAAACTACTGGCCCAATTTCTAAATATTTCACCATACGAATCTTGCCTGAACATTATTCCTGCCTCCGTAGCATGACCACTGCGATATGATACATAACGCGTTTTTACCACGCTCAATTGTCAAATTATTATGGAATTTGACAGTTAAACCCGATAAAAACGTGTTATAACGTAAATTGAGGTGCTCATGCTACAGGGACATAGTGACTTGTATTATAAGTGTCACTATATAGCTATAAGTGTCTATGCAGGAAGACGGCATTTCCAGACACAAGAAAATTATAAGCATTTGCTTCGCGGTATACAAAAGTAGGGTAATTTTATGTTTGACGACCTCCGTGGCCGAGTGGTTTGTACGCCGGGTTTCATGGTGTCGCCGACACTAGAGGGTCCCGGGTTTGAATCCCGGTGAGGGCAGATGTTTGTGTGATGAATACGAGCATTCGTACTCCAGTCATCGGTGTTTAATATGTATTTCTATATAAATATACTTATATATGTATTCTATCCGTTACCCTAGCATCCCATAACACAAACCTTACAGTGCTTACTTTAGGGCTAAGCTAATTGGTGTGAGTGTTGGAAATATTTATTTTATTTATGTTGCTATAATGAAAGTGACAGTTTCTCGGTTTTTGTTCCAAAACAGATATTGCAACGAATGATAAAGTACTGCACGCACGGCAACAGCGGCGGCGGTGTCACCGGTAGACCTAGGCGGCACGAACAACGCCTTCTCAGGAATATTGGCGTGCACAATATCGTGCTGGATTTGCTACAGGTGCGGTGGAACTAGCGGCGAATATCTTTACCATCATCATCATCGGCCTATTAATGTCCCCATTTTAATGCATAATAGGCAAGGCGTTTGACCACAATCTCGCCTGATGGAAAGCGATGATGAGGCCTAGGATGGTACTCGCCTGCCTAGAAGATGCCTGTTCACTCTGGCCTTAAAGATGTCCAGATTATATTACTCCGGGAAAAAAGACCTCGGCAAGGAGTTCCACTCCCTAGCCGTTCGCATAATGAATGGGGCACAGGCCTTACCTATGGACGGAATAGGGAGATGGAGCCGTGACCCAAAACGCGGGCCCAGTGCGGATTGGTGGATGCTAATGACTGCAGATGCAGCCGGGACCAACGTCGTAATTTGCCTTCCGACAACACGTAGGAGCTCGATATAATAAGTTTTTGGTCACCCATCCAATGACCGACCACTGCCTGAATTACTTAACTTCCACGATCGCAGGCAGAACCCGCGTACAAACTGTGCCATCGAGCTCCTCCATCGCAGAAATATCTTTACCAAATCGCATAAATATATTTACCAAAACCATTGAAATTCTTCGATCTTCGATTTGCTACAGATGCGTAAAACTAGCAGCAAATATCTTTCCTATAGCCACATAGAATTGTCTTTGCGCGATAGCAATTTTAATAATAAAAGCACACAAGCGATCTATATTATATGCTGGTTAATATTGGAAAATGTTTGTCCTATTAATTATGTTTATATGGCAACACTAGCGCTGCGTTGTTGCCAGCTAACCTGTTACCAGATGTGATGAATTAAAAAATTGGAGATCTACTAATTATCTCTTCTGTGTGTGATTTCGAGAGTATTATTGTTTTGTCAATTATTTTTTTTTGTTTGTAACGTTTTTTTTTATTTTATCTCCATGAAATGAATTTATTTTATTGTTTATTTCTATTTGATGCAAAGGTGTACTGGAAGGTAAATACACACTGATATAATTTGGCACAATATGTTAATGTATTGGTAACCCCATATTCTCTCACTGCGTATTGTAATTAACTGCATACACTTCTTCGTAAACAAAAAGATATAAATGTTTCAAAGTACCATGGGCTGCACCTATATAGATTTATCAAATCTTCGCTATTTTTCTTTTCTTTTTCTTATACGATAAATATAAATGTATTTATGACTAAGCATAAAATCAATGCTTGCTACACTGCTTTCTCCCACTTAATGGTGTTTTACAGTGAATTTAGCCAAGTGAAATAATAATTTAATACCTTTATGTATTTGATCTGCAAATGGCATTCAATTTAAAAACAATTTAAAAAAATGGCTAATTGAAAACATTTTTTGTAATCTTAAGCAATTTTATGACTGTAAATCTTAATAATTTAATTTTTAATTCATTAGTATTGATGATTTTTTTTATTGATATTCAATCAAATTATGATTTTAACTTATGAAAATGTATATTAACACATAATGTTACCATCTTGTTGCACCCAGTTTTAACAATGAATAAATGAATCTGAATATGTAAAATGGCCGTCAAAGAAGCTCACTATGTCATTACAATGCCAATACATTTTATCAAGAATACCTTGTTTTTTTCAATAAATATAACAAAACAAGTAAGATGTACATTTTTAAGCAAACGGCTCACACTAATTACATTATTGTCATTAAAAATAAAAATGATTATTATGAAATTATTATTATTAAATAACACAAACAAAGGCTGCTAACCAATGGATTACGATATTATGTTCATTAATACATTGCTGGTTTCCCTCCACATTAGGTACCGCACGATGAAGACGACGCGGCAATGGACGAATTGCTCTCACTCGCGCACGAATTCCTGCAACACTTCTGTCACGGCAATCAACAGAACCAGGCGATACTGCACAAACACCTGGATCTGTTCCTAAACGCTGGAGTGAGTAGACAAGGCACAAAAAATAATACTAGTATATCTATAATGGGGTCATCCATATAGTATGTCACACGTAATGAGAGGGAAGGGGTCCTAATTTTTGTAACGTCACATATCAAAAGCTAATACCTACTTTTACATCATTATCAAAAAACTTTAAAATGTGTGGGTTTTAATTTGTTTTTAATTTCGGAACTGCTGTTTTTATTTAATAATGAACTCCGTGGCCGAGTGGTTTGTACGCCGGGTTTCATGGTGTCGCTCGAGAGGTCCCGGGTTCGAATCCCGGTGGGGGCCGATGTTTGTGTGATGAATACGAGCATTTGTACTTCAGTCATGGATGCTTAATATATATTTATATAAATATACTTAAATATGTACAGTATAAGTATTCTATTCTTAACCCTAGCATCCCATAACACAAGCCTTATAGTGCTTAGTTTGGGACTTTGGTACTTTGTGGATAACCCCTAATACCCAAAGAATAAGAAATTATATTGTAGCATTACTCTCTCAAGGCCGCTAAGACTGGGCCAAAACAAATATCCACCAAAGAATTCGGATATCCATTCATTGAGTAAGACAATTTTAAAAATAAATCCCGACCAATCCTATGATCGGCGTATTGATCGCACTTTTTTTGCCCCTCCCCCTTGAGCGAAGTGTGCTTGGAACTACTTTTTAGCGGAATTCGTATTCTATATTATTTCTGATTCCCTGATTATACCTTTACTAATATAAGAAATTATTGTTGATTTTGTTCTTAAATTAAATAAATAAATAATCTTAACAGGCAAGTTCCGACTTTTCTGTCATTGGCCGGAGTTAGAACGTTAAGTCTGCATTGCCTTTAAAGTTCGAAACGTTTGGGAAAACTGCAAACTTGTTATGCCAATCTCCTGGGAGTATGACGATTTCAAATTCTGCCTTTTGTGGATTTTTTGTTTAACCGTTTTAATTTTTGGCTAAAGGATTAGTTATGTAATAGTAACACTTTTGAAGGGGACGAAAAAGATTTCAAATTAGACAGTAAGGACTATTCTTAGTGGCCAGATACAATAATCAATCTCTATTAAGAGATAGGCTTTAACCCACTAATAAACGGAGACTAGAAAGAAGAAAGAAATAAAGAAAATCATTTATTGGTTGCACAGCATACATACATTGAAAACAAAACAGAATTAAAAGAACATAACAAGAAAGAAAAAAATAAGAATAAACAAAAACAACAAAACTAATCTGCTGGTGTTGCTGTGCAGGGCCAACAGGTCGCTGTCTCAGCTATGCTACTGTGGTAGTAGTTACTTTCGCGATACCACAGCAGCGCAAATTTTCAGCCAGCGCCTAATGACGTCCGAACGCCAAACAAAATGCGATTTAATGCTAAGACTACGCTTGGAATAGTTACTCCATGTTTTGTTTCTCTTTATTGAATGACAAATGGCATTTTAGTGACATGAACAAAACACGGTATAATTAGTCCAAGCTTATTCCTTGTTTATTAATTAGGGTTAGGCTTGTTCCTCATTTTGAAAACTTGAAAAACTCATTCTCTTCCTTCTCCATTGTACCACAGATAAGAGAAGCGCAGACCGTGTGCGCCATATTCAAAGACAATGCTTCTCTATGCGCCCACGAGGGCAACGAGAAAGTGGTGGCTCATTTCGTTCACTGCATAGAGTCTAGGGGGCGCAGGCCGGCGTACTTACACTTCCTTCAGACTATAGTGCATGCTGATACGCAGTATATAAGGCGGAGTCAAGATCTAGTCATGCAAGAGGTATGTGGTAATATTCTTATATTAAAACTAACTGTCCCAGCGAACTTCGTACCGCCATAAAAAAAAAGGGTTGGTGGTAGAAGGGTGAAAATTTAGGGTTGAATGTATTTCTGTATGATGTATCATAAACAAATAAAAATGTGCAAAAAAAATTTAAGGGTAACATTAACATTAATATAACCCTTAACATTTAGGGGGAGGAAAATTAGATGTTGTCCGATTCTCAGACCTACTGAATATGCATATAAAATTTCACGAAAATCCGTCGAGCCGTTTCGGAGTAGTTCAATACGCACACCGTGACACGAGAATTTTATATATTAGAAGTAACTAAGCTGAAAATTTCGTTCACTGCATAAATTCTATGGGGCGCAGGCTGGCTTTCTTATATTTCCTATAAAGTATAGTTCATGCCGATATGCAGTATATAAGGCGGAGCCAAGATCTAGTCATGCAAGAGGTATGTGGTAATATTCTTATATTAAAAAGTAACTAAGCTGAAAATTTCGTTCACATTCTTGCATTACTTTTTTCTTTTACACATTCTTTACTTACAGTTTTGAAGTAGAGTCCTCTGGGATATGACCTTTATTGTGAAAGTAGCAAAATATATCGAACTTTTTACAGGGCGTCCCACGGCCATGCCACACGGAGGGAAAGTATATAAAATATCGAAGACAAAATATTTTACCGAAAGAAGACATCATTTTACTTTTAATAATAAGTAGAACTGCATTCATAGATTTTCTGAAAATCAAAAATTAATCAAATGCTAAATTAAATAAAAAAAAAGGCTTGCACTGTTTCGTTTCGTTTGTGTAAATAAATGTTGTTTAGGAAAAAATAAACCATAAAATTAATCCTTTCGACGGTTATACATGTGTTTTTTCTTTTACATTTCACGAGTTTGATCCCGTTTGTGGCAGGCGATTTTAAAATAACTGTGAATGCAGTTCTGCTTATGATCAAAAATAAAATGATTATCGTATATTCAATATTTAATATACTTTCCCGGCGTGTGGCATGACCGTGGGACGCCCTGTATAGCCGTTGAATTACATTCTATAGTAATACGAAGTAATTATAATGTTGAAGTTCCTCTGTATAATGCTGCTGCTATCCAGATGGTGAATGCCGGCGAAGACGTGCTAGTATTTTATAATGACAAAGGATCATTCAACACTTTCATACAAATGATGAAGCAATTCAAACAAACCAATGAGATGCCAGAAGCTTTAAGGTATGACTTTTATTTAAATAGAACACTGGTGTCGATTCTGGCAGGATTCTCTAAACTTAAAACTAAATTTGACATCAGTCTGTCCTTTTCAGTCTGTTTATAGAATGACAGAGATACACTGTTGTCAAATTTAAATTTAGCTTTAGAGAATCATGCCAGTATCGACACCACTTATTAGATAGACTTGTTCTTATTTATCCATTTGTTATCGTAGATGCAAAAGTAATTTGGTGGCTGTTGAGTTTTCACGTCTAAATAGCTTAATATATTTGTTTCTTAGGTTTTCACGCACATCACTTATTAAATAAAACTAGTTTTTAACGGGTTAATGCACGAAACGTTTTTTTTTTTATTATTTATTTATTGACGTTTCGCAGCCTTTACGGGCTGCTTCGTCGTTATAAGGATCATTCCGTGAACTAAAAAAATAACTAGTTTCATTTATCTAGACAAAACTAGTTTTATTTAGCTTGATATATTTTAAAAGATTATGACATGTAAATAAAGTGTTATTTTGAAAAATAATGTAAACCGACCATGTAAAAAGAATCGCCGACTTTTCATTGCTTAGCACCAGGACACGTAAAACTATTTTTTGGGCTCCAATTTTATGTAATTTCTTTTTTCATTTTTTGTCATTTTCATGTTGGGCTGATAGTTTTAAGCATTACTTTTAAACGTTTAATGTTAAACTAAGAGTAAAATAATCATGCATGCTGTGTTCGTCTAAAAAAAAACAATTACAATTAGTTTTAGTAAAGAATTTGTAAAGTATGTAAGATAAATTTTAACAAATGTTGACAAACCAAATAAAAAAAAAATTAAAAGATTATGACATGTAAACAAAGTCTAATTTGAAGAAAAATGTGAATCGACTGGTCACGATTCTAGTATAATTTTATTAAAGATCCAAGCTCGAATGTTGACAACTCTGTAATGAGGATCATTACTAGGTCAGCAAATCAACTCAAAAAATAAAACAAACAGTATCATGTTCTAATAAGCTTTTTAATTAATATACTTTTAAATTATCGAAATCGAAACGTGTGATGTCATTGAGTTCGATTGTGGATCACTCCGGTCGAACTTCAGTAGCGTCTCTAAGCACGCGCGCGTCCGAGCCCTTGAGCTCTGTGACGTCACAGTCACCACCTGGCCAGCCGAAAATTCGTTTGTAACTTCGTCAATATTTGTCGTAGAACTAAAATTTAACCACTGTATTTTTAGTCAATCCTTAGCTCTATAAATTTGCATTCACAACTAAAATCGTTACGGATCCTCATTGTATCGTCATCGTCAATTTTTGCATGGAAGGAGCTAGTTTGTCCTTACGTCCTGTAGGGGCGCTGCTTAGTTTTCATAGAAACTGACAATGCGATACGATTACGGAGCTGTCAAAATTCGTCTTTGAACCTCTGATCCATAAACTAAATTTGACAGTTATATATCTTTGACACGCTCTATAAATAAAAAAGAAAGAAAAAAACAAATTAGTATCATTATCTGTATAATAAAATTTAAAAAAGGAGAAATGGGTGTAAAACCTTGTTACTCAATTTTGTGCTTTAACTTGTTACTAATAAATTCTACAATCGCAGGTACCACATTCAGCTGGTGAAGTTGCTCACTTGCTGTACGATGGGTAAGAACGTGTATACGGAAATCAAATGCCATAGCCTCTTACCGTTGGACGATATTGTCGCCACGATCACCCATCCCCATTGCATCCCTGAGGTGAGTCAACAGTACAAAATGTGTATAAATGATGCATGTTGTTTATTTTTTTTTGATGTGTGTATATCTCTGTTGTTATAAAGGTGAAGGAAGCATACGTGGGATTCCTGAACCACTGCTACATCGACACTGAGGTAGAAATGAAGGAGATATACTCCAGCAACTACATGTGGGACTTGTTCGAAAGGTCCTTCCTGCAGGACATGCAGGCAATCCTGCAGGACCCAGGTATTAAAATCTATATATATATATATATATAAAACTCAAAGGTGACTGACTGACATAGTGATCTATCAACGCACAGCCCGAACCACTGGACGGATCGGGCTGAAATTTGGCATGCAGGTAGATGTTATGACGTAGAAGGATTAAGATTAAGGCTAAGAAAGGATTTTGATCAATTCTATCCCCAAGGGAATAAAATAGGAAATGAAAGTTTGTATGAAACTTTGTCAATTGTAAACCGATCGGACTGAGACTTTGCATGCAGGTATAAGAAGAATCATAGATGAATGTCATTGTCATATACAAGCCTGAGAACAAAAACTGTAGTCTACACTTCAGCTCTAAACCGAAGCGAAGCGAGGGCGGGCCGCTAATATAATACAAGTAGGCTTAGCTTTAGCGACTTTTGCAATGATGTTGCTTTCACCGGCAAGGAACGTCAAGAAACGGAGATCCTTGTAAACGTCTAGAATATTCTGCCGTATGGACTAGGTTTAAGTGCGTTTTTTCAACTCAGTGGTAAACCGGAGTGTTAGAGAGATTACATGTGTGGCAATGTGGAAAAGTGGGAAAAAAAAATACCAAAAGATAGTTTGTTTCTGTAACATTCTTCGTTTTTTCGCATATTAGTTCTTATTTCGACAATAGCTTTTCATTAATCCATGTAAATTTTCAGTACCTAATTAAAACATATACACAGTTTTTTCAATTTTCAAGTTCAATTTCTAGCCCGTACAATTACTTAGGATATACTGACGATCCTGTCAGGTACCCTAAGCCCAGTCGCCGGCTTAGGTTTGGCAATTTCAAAGGAGCTCATTGAAGCGAGTAGTAAGCGTTTTCGGCTGCGATCGTGGAAATTGAACAACTTTAACAGTGGTCAGTCTTTGGATAGGTGACCAAAAATTTACTATTTCGATCTCTTCCGTGCGTCAGAATGCACGTTAAGCCGTTGGTCCCGGTCGCATTTGCAGTCATTAGCGCCCACCAAATCGCATCGGGCCCGCGTGGTGGCTTATTGCCCAATCTCCCTGTTCCATCCATAAGGAAAGCCTGTGCTCAATCAGTGGGGACTTCGAACAGTCCAACCGCAGGCGATCTTGCAGGACCCAGGTAATAAATCTGATAGCCTACTAGTCTCCGGTCTAGGGTAAGAAACTTTAGCAATGGCCGGTCATAGGATGTTGGTCGATGGTGACAAAGGATGTATTATCACGCGATACTCCATGCTTCGGAAGGCACGTTAAGTCGTTAGCACCCGCCGCACTGGGCCCGCGTGGTGGGTGCAGTGCATGGTTAGATTTCGACACTTGGCTTACATATCGAATTGTCTTTCATTTCGGCACCCATTTTACATGGACCTTAATCACCAAGGCTTTGTTAATCATCATCATCAGCCTATTAATATCCCCACTGCTGGGGCCCAGGCCTTCCCTATGGATGGAATAGGGAGTTTGGGCCATGATCCACCACGCGGGCCCAGTGCGGATTGGTGGGTGCTAACGAGGCTTAACGTGCCTTCCGAAGCACGGAGGAGTTCGAGATAGTAATTTTTGGTCACCCATCCAATGTCCGATCGTAGCCGAACGCGCTAACCACCTGCGCCATCGAGTTCCTCTGACGATGATTATCATTAGCTAATAGGTGATCGAGAGGTTATGATTAGTTTCGTCTCGTAGGTCGATCGTCGCCCATACCGGGTGGGTCGAGCAGCAGTGGGGACAACATCGTGACGGGCGGGGCTGAGCGCCGGCGCGCGTGGGTGGAGTACGTGACGGACGTGCTCATGCACACCATATGCACTTTCTTCAATTCACCGTTCAGCGACCAAAGCACCACCGTGCAGGTAACTGTACCCCTAGCACGAACCAAAATATCCAATTCGAACAGTTAGCGAGTCCGAAAAGTCGTTGTCAAAGGACAATGGGCAAAACACACCCAGCTCCGCCAACAATGTAAATAGTATGAATCGATAGATCTATGAAAAACTAGCCTTTTTTAATATGACACCGTCAAAAAATGTCCTGGTAGTCGAAAGATATGACACATGGGCATATTTAAGTAGCTAAATAAATTCATTTTATAGTACTTTCATTTTATATTATTAGTAGCCATAATAATATGCCATATCGTACTATACAACCAGATATACTACAAAGCTACCATCCTGCGCTTGCATTTACTGAGACACCTCAAAACGGTTTACGTTACGGTTGAAGGACTTGCAGTTGCAAATAGTGCCGACTCGTCTTACTTCGTTGTGATTGTAACTTGATTGATTTTTATCTAACACGCTTTGGACATTGGAACACCATTAACGGATTTGTCAATTAGTATGTATGAACTGCAATCCTGTTTTCTCCGAAGCATGGACAAGTTTGTGTGATTTGTGGTCGCTCCGCTTTACATAGAAGACAATTTACTATAACGAACAGAATGTTTCAAAAAACCCCAACCCATGCGGGAATTTTCGGATTTACTCTAGCGCGGCAGAATAACATAAGGGGGCACCCATGCATCTTGTGAAGTACTCCCATAATACCTGAATCCCCTATGTAGGGTCGAACTAACTAAATTAATTCCCTTGTTTCATTAATGTTCGTTCGATGTAGTAATTGTACCTATTTAACTTAAAATAACTAAATACTCCCGGGATGGAATTTGATGCGCTTTGGCACAGATGATAATTACTATAATACCTTTTAAACAAATGTTTAAACCCTGGCGGACGTGGGTGCAGCGTCCATACATTTTTGCCCAGTGTCCTTTTGTATGGAAACTTGAACAGCAGCGCCAAAACGGACGTAACGAGAACTAAAATTCAGTCCATATTTGGCAAAGACATTTCTAACTCGAAAACGTTACGAATTCGATATTGGTTCATGCTAAGGGTATTGTAGTATGTATAAGAGTCATCCATGAAGTACTTTACACTAATTTCGTGATTTTTTTACTCCTCCCACGCCCTTGTCACATCTGTAAGTACCGTCTCCCTAGCGTGACGTCACATATTTCGCTGTGATGCATCTAGTAATTATCAAATTAAAGCAGTAGATCTGTAATTAGTTCAGAAAATTAGTCAACAAAATAAATTTAAACCCGTACAGAGAGAGTTCTGAATATTAAAAAGGGTTTTTGATAGTATTTCAAAAGTATTAGATTTTGAAATGTGACGTCACGAAACTTAAAACCGCTCCCGCCCCTTATCACACAATGTAGTACTTCGTTGACGCTCTCCTTTCTTTATCTATCTATATTATATATATAAAACTCAAAGGTGACTGACTGACATAGTGATCTATCAAACTACTGGACGGATCGGGCTGAAATTTGGTATGCAGGTAGATGTTATGACGTAGGCATCCGCTAAGAAAGGATTTAGATCAATTCTACCCCGAAGCGAAGCGAGAGCGGGCTACTAGTTCTTTATAAATGACCCCTTAGATCACACATGGTTAATGTGTGAAACTGGAAACTCCCGTAAAAAGGTAAGGACCAGATTAAGGTTCTGTTTCTTACTTGTATAATCTAAGTAATAAAATTATCTAAGTAACAAAGGACTAATAGAGTTATCTCTTCAGAAGTTTGATTATTGAATCTGGCTCAGTTCACAAGAAACATCATTAACTATGTAGTATTAACGCTTGATACGTCAAATAGTGCTTTATGAATGATCTTCAGATTCCCTTATTAATTATTTGAGCAAAGAGAATAGAGCTATCCTATTGCTTTATACATCCATTTTATACCTAGATAGATTAATATTTATTAACTTAATTTATTTATGTATTTTATCTTTCCTATACTTCGATAAACAATAAAAGCATTGTTGTCAATACATTATTATTCAATGCTTATAAAATTGTTATTGTTAACGCTGCAATATTTGCAACTATGGATGTTTGATGTGAGTATATTACATATATTAAAATAAAGAATTGCAGTATCCATGAATTACTACTATGAAGATCAGAGACTTCAAGTGCAAATATTTCTGCACTTTGAAATTATTTCCATTTAATTTACTTAATCATTAAAGAAGTCCAATTCTAGATAACTCTTTATTATAACACCAAGGAATATATAATATAAATTATTATTTAAAATAATCTAGAGGGTTCAAACTGGTGGTCTTAACGCTAAAAGCGATTTCTTCCAGACAACCGTGGAAAGTTTGTCAGGAACTGAAACTTATTGAGGTGTTAATTTTTACTTACCTAATAACTATATGTTAAAACATATGAACGGGGTTTTTCTTATTGAAAGTGTTATGTATTTTGTAGTAGTTTTTATAAAACATATCTTGCGATGAAAGAAAGTAAGATTTTTTTTATTAAACTTTAAAAAGACACAATATGTTAAAAGGTACTTATACAGTAAGGGCTAACCAGGACCCTGCCTCAGCATAAGCTGATGCGACGTGGTGTCGCACCAGCGCTGATATTCTTGGAGGGCACTTACACACTTTAGTTATGAACAAGAATTAATGAGATTAGATGAGAAAATAAACTATAGAATTAGATAAAGTTTTATTTATTACATCATTTTTGATGAGATTAGATTTATCAGTTCTTCTCTCTATTAATTATTGCCTGTCGTGTATATGAATTACAGTAAATAATGAATAATTTTTGATACCGCCCAGACCCGACAGTCAATCTTCGTGAAGCTGCTGCAGACCACATTCAGCATTTACCAATGCCCGTGGCTAACGCCGCCGCAGAAACTCAACGTGGAGAAATGCATCCGTACTCTAAGTGAAGTCGGTACGTTACTACTATAAAATATAGTAGACTTTTTGATGTCAGAAATATTTTTATTACAGCTAGGTAGGCAAGCATTATTTTACATTATGTCATGAAAGGTGACAACATGAATCATCCCTGTAGTAATTTTTGAACTTGACGACTCTGTAAATAATAAAACAGAGAGATAAAACAGTCCTTGCTGAGTAGATATACGAACCGATGGTGTAGCTTCTAGACATTCATGAGTGCTTGTAACAGCCGAAACTGAATAAATGATTTTTATTATGATTATGAATGACTACGTCCCACATGATATATGATATTAAGTGGTGGTAAGGTCCAGACGCGAAGATAGCTCGTGCAGCAGTTATGAACTGCCACACCAACCATCCTCACCTTGTTGGACTGCAGAAATGCTTCTTCACGCCTCTCTTAAAGGATCCCAGATTGTAGGAAGAAGGGAAACACGTACGCGAGCAAAGAATTCCACTACAAAGAAATGAGTCACCAAATTTCTTTGTTAGTGCACGAATAGTGGCCACAGTAAGTGGTTGACAAAGTGAGCCAGCGCGCGTGGTCCTCTGAAGAAAAGGTGAAGGAGGGACAAGGGAGAATAACTCCTCGGAACACTCGCCGTGTCAATTAAGAATTGACCTAATGACGCCAAATTATTATTATTACATATAGTCCATCTATCCCAACCATCGAAAATAGCTTATCGTATTTGTCATTATAATATTTATGATTTCCCTGTCAAGCTTCGACTGTTCGATTAGATCAGTGATATTTTGCGCTGCAAAGGCACGATTCCTAATACAAATCATTTCTGTTATGTAACTTAATAGATATTGTATGGAAAGCAGGTTAATTATGACAAAGGATTTACTGGAAAAACTTAACCGGTGGTTCTATACCTTTCTTTTATTTCCTAATAGTCGTGAATAAGAGACTCATCCCTACATATAATAAAATAAATCCCTCGCTTCTGTCTGCGTTTTAGTGACGAAATCAAAAACTGCTGAACGGATTTTCATGCGGTTGGTATTTTGCATTCAAGCATGTATTTTGACAGTTCTCTAATCGTATCTTCAAATTTTGTATGGAAGGAGCCAGTTTGTTGTTTGACGATGCGATACGATTACGAAGCTGTCCAAATTTCGTGCTTCGACATCAGGTCACTATTTTTATTATAAACATTGTTTATTTTACTAGCCAAAACGCGGAGCATAGCGATCCCCTTAGACCTGGAAGCTAAGATCCAGACGGTATTCGAGAAGGCTGCGGCGTTGTCGCGGCAGACCAGCAAGTGGCTGCTGGCTTCCAAGACCTCTAAGCTGGAGAAGATGGCTTCACAGGTATCGTGGCGTTCAACTTGTATCCTAAGAAAGTGAATTTTGACAAATTGACTTACAGCTGTAGCTACACTTATTTTATAATGTTTTTTTTAAGTCAAAATGGTGGCTGCCTTTAAGTGGCCACCATAGCCTATAGACACTTGCAATATAGAAAATATCATTTGCGCCGTTGCCTACACTGACCCAATTCCCTACCCCGCGATTCCTGGAACCCTACTCACCGACAGAAACACAACACCATCAAAAGGTAGTATTATTTTACTGTGTCTTCTGCGAGGTAGTGGTTGCTTCGCCAGACGGACCCTACCTCTCTTAATAATATTGTTACGTGTCGGGATGGGGTTCGAAATTATATGCCAGTTTACGCTTGACAGTTCTTTAATCACCACACAGTTCACACAATTAACACACAATGTTAATTACAAAACACTCACTAAACACTGTATTTCACTATACAAGTCTCTAAACAATCGCACTTGAACACTTTTGTTGCACTTTGATTGCCTTTGGATTCGCTCCGAAATCGCTGTTGAAACTCAACTGTCTCTGCGCGGCGCCTATCGCGCTTATATACGCCGATCGACGCATTCTAGAAAGTACCTATTAAATTGAGAATTAGCTAGCACCGACGAGAACAAAGTACCTACTTATACCTACGCAGGAAACGCGCATAACTTGTAAACAAGTGCAGATGTCGTTGCACTTTCTCCTTTATGCCGCACTGCATATGGCTCATTTTAGAATGAGCCGCAGTACTCGACCTCTATCGCGATCCGCGGTGCTCTGGCACATTCGATCTCTAGCACTTTCGCGGTTTCGTTCCGAGAGCGTTTGTGACAATATAAATATACATCATTGTATCATCATTATATGTCTTTCATTATGATTTCACTTGAGAAATTAAGCAAAAGATATTCTAATTCAGAATTTCTTAAAGAATATTTAAAGCATCTAATTACTTTTTGCCTTTTTAAATGTTAACTCAACTGAAATAATTCTAAGAAGTAGAGACAGCTGCGGCCGCTTCTTCAGACGGTACTGTCGCTACTGGCCGCCATTTTGTACAAGCCCCACCTCTTGTTCATGAGCACTGTTCCTTTTGTAGAAAGGCCAAAGAAAAGACATGCCTTGCCTTCCGAAGAGATGGAGCTACCGGCGGCTCACAGTATATATGTATGTTGTTCGGTCTCTGTATATATGATCTGTAGCGTAGTATTCGACTTTCACATGTGCTTGTAAAAACCTAAATTGAATAAATGACTTGAATTGAATTGAATGACCACAAAATATGACGTTTACAAAGTCGGCGGCGTTAGTTCCAATTTTCGCCACATTCATAAAATCCTTGTCGCACTCTCAATGTTTCCAGTCGAATCTGCAGAACGACAGATCGGTTATGGAGGGCCTGCAGGAGATAGTCGCTTTACTGGAGGAACAACTTCGGCCACTGCTGCAGGCGGAATTGTCGCTACTGGTCGACATCTTGTATAAGCCCCATCTTCTGTTTACGAGCCCTGGGGAGCTCAGCCAGCCTGACACCAGCGGCATCTTCATATCCAGGTCTGTAAATCTATATATACGTTCTCGGCCACATCTATCGGCCCACTAGGTTTTATAAATTTCAACGGTCTGTAGCAAAAATCTATGTTAGGTGGAGCAATTATAATATTTTTTTTAAAACACGATTAAGTATGGTTAGTTAACCAGCTTCAAAACTGCGTAAAAAAATTTCGCTAAATGTAACATTTTTTTTTCATAATTTAACATGCTAGGTGGGCCGATAGATGTGTCCCAATTCACGGTGGAATATTAAAAAATTCTTTCTCCCTTGATGCCTACGTCATTTAAACAACCTATTTAATATCATGTCTGTACGACCAACGACCGACCTGTGTAGGCGTTTTTTATGAGGGTAGTTTTGAAAAATGAAAACACAGATAGCATTTTTACTTTATACAGAGTAGGTGTGCATAATTTTAATCAATCCTATGCACTTTTGCAATTGCTATTCCAATTTAAAAAATAACATCTTATTACTTGTCTTGGCAATAATAGGAACCTACTCTCCAAATTTCATCACTCTAGGTCTAGCCGTTCCGGCTGTGCGTTGATGAGTCAGTCTGTCAGTGTAGTGTCCTTTTCGTCCTTCTATATAGATATATATAGAGTACTAACAGACCCAAAAACGATGTCTTACTAGATTAAAAAATATAAAAAGTTTTGTTCGCATAAAATACCAGAACTCGATTAAACACACTGAAATGCACACATAAAATTTTCCTCGAAATCGGTCCAGTTATATAGGTTTAGCTCAATAACATACACACGGACAAAAGAAATTTCCTATATTATCATATATTTGTGATTGCGATACTCTGACTCTGTTCTCAGTAAGTAGGTTTAAGTTTGCGATACTTTTTCTTAATTATTATAAATGATAAATCTATGCTGCAGATTGATAAGACACACAGAGAAGCTTCTGGAAGAAAAGGAAGAAAAACTATGCGTCAAAGTGTTGCGCACTCTGAGAGAAATGATGGCGGTCGACCCTGAGTACGGGGAAAAGGTAATCAAATCAACTTTTAGATGCGCTTTAAATTTTAATTACAGAAGTTACCCTTAGATGTTTATTTATTGAGCTATTTTTATTGTCAAGTTAAAACAAGGAAATTTAAACTTGATGTTATTTTTGGTTATTTAGTTTCAAACTTTAGCTTTTTGAAAATCGTACAGGAATATAACATATTTCCGAGATAAAAGTATCCTATCTCTGGTCCAGGTCATTAACTAAATGCCTACCAAATTACATCGAAATCCGTTTAGTAGTTTTTGCATGTTTGTTTAACAAACACACAAACTATTACATCTATAATATTATTAGGATTAGGAACTCGTCATTATTGAAAATTCGAAACCTGTGTATATATTTATGTATCTATATTATTATGTATTAATGATATTGATTAAAAATCGATAATACTTACTCTGCTTAGATTGGGATAAATGATTGTTATGGTTAGCTAGAAATTTACTTATTTACTACATTTTGACGACCTCCGTGGCCGAGTGGTTGTACGCCGGGTTTCATGGTGTCGCCGACACGAGAGTTCCCGGGTCGGAATCCCGGTGGGGGTAGATGTTTGTGTGATGAATACGAGCATTTGTTCTCCACTCATGGATGTTAAATATGTATTTCTATATAAAAATATACTTATATATGTACAGTATATGTATTCTATCCGTTACCCTAGTAACCCGTTACCCTAGTAACCCATAACCTAGCAACCTTACGATGCTTACTTTGGCTAGGCTAATGAGGGCTATCGCGTATGAATCCGCCACTAGAGGCGCTTGTGTAGCGTGAGGTCTCCGAAATGTCAAATGTTATTGGTTGTGGGTTGACTACGCCGGTTTATTTCTAATTAAAATAATGTTGTGAATATTTAGTAATAACTCGGCTTAATTATAGTAAATATGAGTTACGTGGCATTGAATGTCAGTTATTTAAAAGCGGAGCTAAGAAAAATAATTATGTCCTCCTTTTTGCCGTACAAAACGGAGCTGCGCAACACTGTGGTATGGCCAATTATGTTTAGAATACGGTTATTTTGTATTAAAATATGATTTAAATGTATACTTTGATTTCACGCGCGTATTAATAAACATTAAAAGTTACAATTCAGGACCTCACTCAACAGTGGCGCCATCTGGTGAGACAAAAAACGGTAGCCCTCATTGGTGTGAGCGTTAAAAATATTTATTTATGAACCATGCACCATGAACGTGCAGCCGTTTCTAAGCTCCCGTCTCCCCAGGGCAACCAGTTACGCAACAAGCTGTTGTCGCAGTACTTCGTTAGCCGGAAGTCCGAGCCCAAGCTGCAACCCCCGCCCCCGGTTGCCGTCACCACCCACGGGCCTGGAGGTAACCATAACTAGATGAGGAAAGGAAATCTGTAGGCACCGACTACACAGTGTTATACAGGCAGTCCTCGACTTACGTCGTTTCGATTTACGTCGTTTCAAGTGACGTCGGACAAAGTTTTGACACTATTCCTCAAACATACGTCAATTGTTTCGTTTTCCGGCATAGGAGATTCACTTGTCGCGAGGTCAATGTCTGTGGAGCCGGGATTATATGAGCTCTTTTTGCATCTTTGACAGTTTCTTTTATCTTTTAGAATTTTTATCTAACTATGCCACCTAAACATGACATTTTGGGTCCGTGTGGATCCTAACCCTTGAGTTTTATATGTAAATATATGGAAAAACATGCCCCGACTTAAGTCGTTTCGATTTACGTCGATGCGTATTTCGAGAGCCTAACATGCCGTAAGTACGAGGACTGCCTGTATTTTCAGTAATAAATGCATTCTGGCAACTTCTCGAGGCAAGACGAAGCAAAGGGACTGGTCATGATTGACTAATACAAGGTTACATAATGTTAGTAAATGATATGATGCTTTTTGAGCCGTTTGGAGAAAGGAGATTGCTCAGCTTCCATACATGTTTGGCCTAAAGACCAATAATCATGAAAAATTGTTTCCTAGATTTGAAATATAAATTACTGTAGAAAGTAATATTATTGACGGACACCCCTGAGAACTTCTATAAACCATATACACTGAACGATTTTGAGGTTACGTTTGCAAATAGGTACAGGTATTAAAATAATAAAAAACAAATAAGTTATATAGTAAACTAGGGAAATCAAGCCAAGTACCGAAATTATGTATTAGATTCAGGTATATAGAGCATGTAGATTAACAGGTAGTTGCCTGTTTTTAAAGTTAATGCACAAGAGTAACTTTTAAAATCAGGTATCATCTATGCATTTCCGATTATAATATGGTAGGGGAAACTACCCAATCATTGGCACTCTTCCTATTATTGGCACTTTTTGTTTAGTTCGAAAAAAACAGGAAACAATAGATTGTAGGATAAATGCTGCCAATTTTCAAATTTCGAAACCATACTAGGTTTTTCTTTTTAATATGTAACGACCTTGAATAATCTATTGTCTCCTTGTTTTTCCGAATTAAACTCAAAAGTGCCAATAATAGGACGAGTGCCAATGATTGGGTGGTTTCCCCTGGGCGTCCCAGTGAAGTGGCGCACACTAAGGTGCGTCGATCCTGAGAAGCCCCCATATGGGCGTAGGAGGGTACCGGGGGGTTTTAGTGGAGCAGGATCAGTTTAGCCTTCCGCACTGGTCCTGCTTGAGTAGGGTCGGCACTGTTTCCCGTGCCGGCGAGTCCCACACACGCCGTGCGTCTAGACAGCGTCACGGTATGGTGCGTAACTGCATTTCCCCTCGTCACAAAAAAAAAAGGACTCTGTGACAGAAACTGTATGATGATAGTGAATGCGTCACAGAAAAGTCTTTGGTCACAGATTAGAGAGAATTTTTAAACTCTCGTTAACCAAAGAAAGCTAAGAGATTTAGGTTATACAGCCATATCTTCAGTAGCTTCATTATTTTTGTTATGTTTACATTATAAACATATTTTAGATTTTTAGTATATCACACCCTATAATGTGTTTATGGAGGTGTTTGGCGAAAATTGTATGGCAATAGGCTTTACGATGTCGCCTACCATCTATAATAGTTGTCTTAGCACATTTGCATGTAGTGAAAATGATAACATAGTTGTGGATATTAATACCACAGTGTAATAAAAAAAAAAGTTTTATTTTATCGATCTTTAGAAAATAGATTTGATTTTATATTATTTAAACAACTTCGAACAGTCTTTGGCTGAATGTTCCTACACCCATAGCCATTAAAAATGATTCGTATTTTTTTCAAACCGGTAAAATTAAAAGTCCTTATAAAATGAATATATTATACAAAGGTGTCCGTTAAAATCTAATGACTGTAAAATAATGTATAAATTACGCCAAGAATTACCGTATGTGTCAATATTTTTTGTGCATTTGGGCCAATTTGAGCAATCTCCTTTGTAGGCACTGACTACACAGCGTTATATTTTCAGTAATAAATGCATTAAGGCAACTGCCCGAGGCAAGACGAAGCAAAGGGACTGCGCCTTAATTGGCTAATACTAGGTTACATCATGTTAGTAAATGATATGATGATTTTTGAGCCATTTGGAGAGATTTGTAGGCACCGACTGCACAGCGCACAGTAATAAATGCATTATGGCAACTGCCCGAGGCCAGACGAAGCAAACGGACTGCGCTTTGATTGACTAATACAAGGTTACATAAAGGGTGTATTCCGAAATATAAACCAGTACGCTGGCCAGTGGTAATTACGTCAAGATTTCGACGCCATATTGCACTGGTGTAGTAGTAGTGCTGTCAATATGGCGTCGAAATCATGACATCATTACCACTGGCCAGCGCACTGGTGTTTGATTCCGAATACACCCAATGTCAGTAAATGATACGATGATTTTTGAGCGATTTGGATTTTTTTGCACTCCGAACGCGTGTCAGCCGGTCACGAAAGTGGTCGTCACTGATTAAATATGTCCCTGCGGGATTATCTGATTTATAATTCAGATGTATAGTCAGGCGATGTTTTATCTATCATTAGGCGTCTAGGAGCTGTGTAGTCGGCGTCCGTAGGCTACTGTCGCGCTTAAGATTATTTTCATATATGGCGCGATGAAATTCTTAGGCCCATTTGCACCAATTTTATAAATAGTGGCGTTTTGTGCAGCTTCCGTAACGCTATCGTATAAAAAAGTGATAGAATGATGCTTAAACATGTAATTAAAATATTTGAGAGAGATGAAGCACAGAGCACCCCCACTAAGTTCGGATTACTCAATTTTTGTTTGAAATCTAAATCGCCAAATCAGTGTCGTAAGGGGAGGGTAAGCCGCATTTCGTTTGTTGACGTCAGTGTGACGTCACGTTCGAATGTCAAATTAGGTGCAAACTTGTATCTCTACCTTATAGCGGCTCAATTTTGGTTGTTTTCTTTCTTAGTTTACGTGTAGATTTTTCGTTTAGTTTGGACACGAATATCGTTAGTAAGATTTAATGATTTCTTATTTCAATGATAGCTTATGTTTTGTTACGAAGTAAGTGCGAAGCCGGTACCCCAAACACGAATTTTGACAGATCTGCATTCGCATCGCCAGCGTCCAAGTTTCTATGGAAACCTAAGCAGCGCCCCTACCGGACGTAAGAACAAACAGACTTTTCAATAGAAACTTTGACAATGGCGATACGAAAAGTTCATTCTTAGGGTACAGTTAAAATAATTAAATGACAAAATATGCTATCGTAATTTCTAAAGTGAAACTTCTTTACGCACGCTTGACTCGGGGGGGGGGGTAAGCTGGCGAATGCGTTACGCGTTACGAAAAGTGTGTTCGGGCTAGGCGAACGGGAGTTGAGTGGGTGATATTAGCAAGAGAAAGCAGTACGCGCGCACATTTTTTCTCTCTTTCTCTTATAGCTAGTAAATGAAATATGTATATGGACATACATGTATATATTGTACACACAAATATGTATATATCTATATATGTATATACATACAGAAGGAGCGAAAGAAGTTTCATTTCAGTCGTGTGGTCATAAGCACACTCGTTTTTTTTATATACACTGGTAAAGTATGAAATAAATATAGATTCATTTTAAAGAAGATTTTTCACATTAACTTATTTAAATTTTGAATGTGATAAAATTTCACAGTGCACCTTATTTCTTTTAAAACCTATCTTACTGCGTATCATATTTCATTCAAATGCGATGCCGTTTTTATAACTGTGCAATTATACCACATTCATGATAGTAAAGAAAAAAAAACTTATATGAAATTTAGACGCACTTAGTCTTGTGATTTAGTCCTAGATGTGATTAGAGGTCACTGTAAGTAAAGCTATAAGTGAAGGTTGATAGTAGTCAACATAGATACAACTTGGAATTCAGTTAACATTTGTCTGTCTGATTGTCAGTTGAAGTTAACATTTGTCTGACTTGAACAGCGAATACTTCAATGAATACATAATCTATCTTCGTTACGTTATTTACGATGTTGTTGAAAGTGATTTAATATATTATGTTTATTTTGAATTGAATACGTGTTTAGTTTAACGGTAATAGTATATATTAGGTACTCAAGTTTGCTAAATATTTTTGACGAATTATAGCGAAAGATTATTAAATTTTCTATAAGAAAGCTTGATTTTTATATAACGGTAATATTATTGCGTTCGAAAGTAACCTTTATTGCAACGAATTTTCATTTACTAATGTGTGGAACTAATACTTATCATTTCCACTATAATGCACAAAATAACATCTTTTAATGCCGCCACTTCAGTTGGTTTGTCGTATTTGCTATTTGTAATTGTATATGTTTACAAATAGCAAATAAGAATAGCCAAGTGAAGTGCCAGCATTATATATTTTTTTATTTAACAACTTAAACAGCACTCAATTTGTAAGTTAATTGACGTGTTTTATTTTGGGTTTTTGATTTATTTAACTCCTTATTTTAAATGTCATTTTAAAGTTGTTTATTTAATAGTCGATATTTTATCGAAATAACTTCCTTACTTAACGTAATGTAACGAAGATACCTGTACGCACATAACTAGATTAGACTTAGAAACATGTTTTTCTTTATTTCACCGCGCATGCGACGCAGAGATTCACCTGCATCAGCCGAAGACAGGTGGGTCAATACGACAGAGGGTAGCACTGTTTGATGTTTGTTCACCATAGACAAGTTAACTTTAACAGACTGTCCATTCGTTGTTGCTTTTTTTAATACAAAGTTTGTGATTTCAATAAGCAATCATTATTTATTTGTTTGGTTGCATTCTGAAACATTTTGACATAAAACTATTTTTCATTTAAATGAATACATTTCATACTATATATCGATTTATTAAGAAAAGTTATTATTAATATTATTATATGACTATTAAGGTTAATTTGTCCTTCAGATTTTTAATGTTTTTAAATGTTGTATTAATAACAGTGCACGCAATTTTATCATCACAACAAACTAAGAGCTATAACTGTTTGAAAACTAAAAAAAATACTATGTCTGCGTTTGTATATGGAACTCTTTCTTGATGTGATAAAGGCTATATTCGGTTGACATCAAGTGAGACAGTTTACATACTTTTTTTTAAATTACATTCTGTATTCTTCTGCGTTAATATTGCACGCCCTTATTAGACAGGAGTTAATCAAATAGATAGTATCGATAAAATCTTGAATACATTAAAGCTGAATCAAGAGTTCTCAGAATATAGACAGAGAACTCGACGATTTAATAATGTTTCTGTACTTCTGCTATATTATCTCTATTAACATTTTTTTATAAATGTAAGTAAAAGATAATTCAGAAATAGCTCTTTATTAACAGCGGAATTGACTGCATTTTATTACCCGCTATTAAAGGCCAAAGCACTAGGTTTTATGCTTATAAGCTACCATATACGTTTTATTATATTGATATTAAATAAACTACAATTTCTTAGGTGCCCCTATCTAGCTTCAGTAGTCGGACTGGGTGTTATTGTACAGCATAGTAGAGTCAATGTATAGCTGAATGTTATTCGAATTACAGTTACAGCCGTAGTCAGATACGTCAAATTCATTTAATGTTTCACTAAAGGTGATTTTAGTTAACCTGCTGTAAAAGATAAGGATAATCTGGTTTTGTTTCTTAGCCACAGATGTTATTATACTTATCTAATGCCGGCACTTGGCTATTCGTATTTGGTATTTTTCTAAACTTGGCAACAGTCCGTCCTTATCATGCTTTATAAGAAATGAACAGGACAGACCGATGTCAAGTTAACAAATAGCAAACACGAATAGCCAAGTGAAGCCAACTAAGCTAAATAACAACTGTTGCTAAGAAACAACCAGATTATCCTTGCCTTTTATTACTATAGGTTGATAATTGAAATTGGCCGTAAGTCATGTTTTGTCATAGTGCCTGTCCACATCTCCACGTCTTGACGTCGTCAACGTGGAATGGCGCTATAAGCGGCACAGTGCGTTGTGATAACGTGCAAATTTACGTAATCGTATCGTAAAAATGCACGTCACGACGCCGCAACGTTACTACTGCCTTGTAATATTCCGGTACATTCTTTACTAACGTAGTACCAGAGAAAGAGCAATCAGCACTGTGCGTTCTTCAACAAGTGAAATCAATATTTTCTGAAGACTGACATATTGTATTCGCAACGTTTAACGCCAAGACAATGAAATTTCAACTGAGCGAGTGCATCGTAGCTAAATCTCGTCTGTAGTAGCACAACGCGTGACGTGCCATTCAACGCCCTCCACGATAACGGCCAACTAGAGCCGAGGTCCGAGTCTCAGAGACGCCCTCTAGTTGAGCCGACCCCCTCATGTTCGAGTGGTCTAGAGGCTCCAGATGGAGAGGAGACACCCCCCGTAGGGAGATGCCATCCGCCTTTAATACCTCAAGAGGCACTCGCCAATTCTCGGCTTTAGGTCCCCTTAGGATCTCGCCGCCTCCAAATCCGGTGACGCTGTAAAGGTCATCTGCGACCAACAGCATACACACTCTAAAAAAAAAAGTGACGTGGCGCGACACCACACCATTCCACGTTGATGTCGTCGTGACGTGGAGATGTGGTTAAGCTCTTATTCTTTTGCTATCGCAAAGGCAGAAATAGCTTCAACTTTTATCGAACTTAAAAGTTCATTGACTTCGCTGAATGCGGCTGTGAATGTTGATTAATAAGGTATTGAAACACTTCTTGTTTGTTTAATGTCATCGGAATTTGAACCTTAACGTCTGTGTAGTAAAACGCATAATGGTCTGTACAGCCAAGGTGTTGATGCGCACGGGCCAGACTTTGGCGCAGGTACAAGCGCACCTGGACAAGGAGGGTGCCTCCGACTTGGTGGTAGACCTCGTCATTAAAAGTACGAACAGACCGGCCATTTTCCTGGAGGCCATACAGTTAGGTAAGTTTTATTAAAGTGAAACATTTATTAATGTCGCATTACATTTTCAATTATTATTAAAAAATCAATGGAGCTCGATGGCGCAAGTGGTTAGCGCGTTCGGCTGCGATCGTTAAACTTAAGCAACTTTCGCAGTGGTCGGTCATTGAATGGGTGACCAAAAATTACTATCTCGAGCTCCTCCGTGCTTCGGAAGGCACGTTAAGCCGTTGGTCCCGGCTGCATCTGCAGTCGTTAGCACCCACCAATTCGCACTGGGCCCGCGTGGTGGGTCATGGCCCAATCTCCCTATTCCATCCATAGGGAATGGGGGAGTGCCCCAGCAGTGGGGACATTAATAGGCTGATGATGATGATTAAAAAATCAGACCTAATCAAAACACCCGTCGATGGTTCAATGGTAAAAAGCAGCGCCTGCTACACGGGCGACCCGGGTTCGATTCCCAACCAAGGAAGGACATTTTTATTAATGATTTCAAAAGTTATACTTGCATGGTTGGTTCATGAAACCGCCCCTTGCCATCTTACTAACTGATTTCTTCTACTTCATTGAATGGCTTGTTATGCTTTACCACAATTCCACCAACAAAAGTCACGTTACAGGAACAGGATTCTCCTTCTGATTTATTTCAGTATACAAAAATTAAATGATGTTGTGGAATAATAAAAAGTATTGAAGAATACATTTACGTGGTTCAAAAGCATAGTAATTAACTCCCTTAGTTTTGAACAAAATATTTGTATGGATTATTTTAATTATATGATTATTTAAGCAGGAAATTAAGAAAAGTGTATTTCTATGCTATTAAAATATTCTATTATTATTAACATATGTTCAAATATGTAATAGATTTCTATCTCGTCTCAATATAGGTATCGCTCTCCTAGAAGGTGGTAACCCCATCATCCAGCACAGCATTTTTACGAAACTACAGAATGGCGAGATATCGCAAGCATTCTTAAAGGTAAGCTGAAGGCTGTTGAGGCTTCCAATCAGTTTGAAATCGATTATTCAATACAAATCTTTTCAAAACAAATTGAGGGACTTCTTGTTGAAGAAGTGTTATTACAGTGTTGACGAATTTATGAGACAGGACTAGGTTGACATGTTTTTTTTTATATATGAATTTTATCCAATTTGACATAGTGTATTTGTATTTTATTTTATTATTTATTACAATTTAAATAATCCAATTTGACATCAAAAATTTGTAATATGATTTATTATTTTATTTATGTCTGCTTTTATTTTGTATTATAATTATTTCCTACACAATTATATTGTTTAATGGAATAAATGAATTGAATTGAATATTATTACAATTGTGAATATGTGTTCCTGTTCACATTACTCTTGTGAACAAAAAATGAATAAGTAGCATTGAAGATTATTTATTTCTGTCTTAAAAAAATTGCTCCATATTAGACTAATTATCAATTAACCATTATGGCCGCGGTGTTTCATCAATAGTTAAATTTGACTATACTTAATGTAAGTGTAAACGAGGAGCTCGATGGCGCGAGTGGTTAGCGCGTTCGGCTGCGATCGCTGAAGTTAAGCAACTTTCGCAGTGGTCGGTCATTGGATGCGTGACCAAATATCTTCTATCTCGAGTTCTTCCGTGCTTTGGAAGGCATGTTCAGCGGTTGGTCCCGTATCTGCAGTCGTTAGCACTCGTCAATCCGCACTGGGTCCGTGTGGTGGGTCATGGCACAATCTCCCTATTCCATCCATAGGGAAGGCCTGCAGGCCCCAGCAGTGGGGTCATTAATAGGCTGCTGCTGCTGCTGCTGATGATGATAATAGTTAATGTCACGTCAAATACATGGTAAATCTGTCAAATTGTGACAAATGGTTATTTTTTTCTCTAGTATTTCAACTATAGTCAAATTGAACTATAGATGAAAAATCGCGTGTCGACGTGTCTTGACTACTCAGCTGTAAAAAAGGCCAGTTACAGTCATTTTTAATCAGTAAAATCTTTTGTATCTTACCGGAGATTAACTTATTTAACTCCTTTGCATAATGCCATTAGGTATTCTACGACAAAATGCGTGAGGCTCAGCAAGAGATCCGCTCGATGGCCGCCAGCAGCACCGCCGCCGCCAGCAGCGACAAGCAGCGGCCCGGCAACGACAAGCAGAAACCACCCGCGGACGGTAAATTGATAATATAATAAATAAATATTTCCAACACTTACACCAATAGGAAAGATGCATATATAATATTTATGAAAATTTTATGATTAAAATGTTAAAAAAATATAAAAGAAATGCCACTGCAACGTTTTTATTTTACATAATGTTTTTTTTTTTTTTCTCTCTTTATTTAAAGGACTTTTATCTTTACAGACATGTCAGTCCCATCGTGTACTTATATAAATTAACAAATCATCTAAGCCAATTAACCTAATATGTTATTGTCTGAAGAAAGTCGCGGCAGACATATAAAGCGATACAGCATTCTGGCCTCTTCCGAGACCGGTTGGGCCAGAACGCTGTGAAACACACCAATGTCTGACATATTCAATTTACATTTTTTAATAAACTCTTGTCTCTCATTCTGGTACCGGACACAATCCATCAACAAGTGCTGGAGATCTTCTACAACACAGCATACTTCACAGTTGGGAGACTCAATTTTTTTCATAAGATGTCCAAACTTGTTACATGGATAATGTCCAGAACGAAGTCTATTTAAGGTCACTGCAAAGTGTCGACTTGATGTTAAATTAATAAACCACGGTATTCGTAGAGGCTGACTCTGTATGGTTTTATACCATATTCCTTTTTCTTTTGATCTTTCATCAAAATATTCTTTCCAGTTAAGATAACAACTCTTTATATATTTTGACAATGTTTCGGAATAAAATGGTTTCACTGATGCATTTTCACCTTCAATAGATGCTTCTTTACATAATGTTGTTTTTTAACAATTATTACGAATTAAAAATACTTGAAACGGAACGTATTTTAAAACACCAATCAGCGTTTAGTGACGTCACTCCTGTTATGACAACTTCTTTGAGGTTATGGTTGTTAAAGTAAATATTATTTTATGGGAATATTTATTGCGTTTTTTACATTTAATAAAAATGGAAGTTGCGTTTATCAAAGCAGACTCCAGGAATTTACCAAGAGTTAGCGTTGACATGGTTATAACTTTGTTTTGTCCAAAGTGCAGAGTTTTTAAGTGTAGAAATGAAAGGGACTAAATTACTACGGTATGTAAAAATCGTAGTTGTTAAACTTCGTATTTTATTCAGCGGCTTCTACAAATTTTACGGCGATAATGCAATCGGCTATGTCCAAATTAAAAGAGATGGAAAATTCGAGGTCGAGTTCTCCGGAGCATAAAGTACGTAAAGAAGGTTATTTTAAATGAAACGCAAAGCTTGGTCAGTCCTGCCAATGTGAAGATTGTGCCACACATTTTAAACTTTACTAATTTTCGACGTCATTCTCCAACTGTAAAATTAAAAATATGTTATAGACAGCTTTTGTAAGTATTAGGTAGGTTACTGATGCGTTTTTACGTACAAGCAGATTAATTAAGCATATAACAAGTATATTCGCCGACTTACGTCAAAGTGATTTTCTCAGCATCGAATAATGGTCTTTGGAGAATAATTGTCATTTCTCTTCGCAGCTTGAAACCACTTTTTTTTTCAGTTTTGGGTCAGAAGTTCCAGTCAAAAACAATTTATTTGGGAACTTTGTTGAAGTAGATTGTCACAAAACATGAGTCAACACGGCTTTTTTTCGGAATATTAGTGGTATTGTTATGATCACATGATGTTGATGGATAGGCAATTTTAAATTTTTCAAAAAAATATTTCAAAAGTCGAAAAAATATGCAAAAGTATGAAAATTTGAAACCAGCAACGAACAATTACGACCAGTGACAGACAGGAGTGACGTCATCGCAACCATAGGTTCGTTTTCGCGCGAAAATTTAAATTGTCAATTTAGAACCGCATTTTTGCCGATAAATCACAATGTTTTAATTTTTTACTTTATCTGTGGTTTATTCTACATGGAATTCTTTAAAATGAAAACTTAAATAAAAATATTGCATCTTCCCTATTAGCCTAGCCCCAAAGAAAGCAAAGTAAGTAAAGCTTGTGTAATGGGATAAACAGGGTTAACGGATAGAACACAATATATACAGTACATATATCAGTATATGTATATTGAAAATACGTATTATACATCCATGACTGGAGTACAAATGCTCGTATTCATCACACAAACATCTGCTCCCACCGGGATTCGAACCAGGGACCTCTAAAGTCGGCAACACCTTGAAACCCGGCGTACAAACCACTCGGCCACGGAGGTCGCGACGAAAAATTAATTTCCCATACAAACTTTATCCCCTTTTCGAACCTTTATAGGACGATCTCTAGGATAAAAAAAATACTAAAAATTTGTGCCTGAGACTTATTTACTAGGAGTCCCCAAACTAGGTATTCCTGTCTATGGGGACCCGTTGATAATAAACTTATTATGTTTTTGATGGGCTTAATGTACATGTAAATATACCCTTCCAACATTTTACATTCTAGTTCACATTTATGTTATTTTCACAGATATATATAAACACAAAACTATAACATTACTAAATTTCATATAGATCGGTTCAGTGGTTTAAGCGTGAAGAGGTAACAGACATACAGACACACTTTCGCATTTACAGTATTAGTATATAGCTCGATAGCGCAGGTGGTTAGCGCATGCGATCGTTGCAATCAAACAACTTTAGCAGTGGTTGGTCATTGGATGGATGACCAAAAACTTATTATGTTGAGCTCCTCCGTGCTTTGGAATGTTCGTTAAGCCGTTGGTTCCGGCTGCATCTGCAGTCGTTAGCACCCACCAATTCGCACTGGGGCGGCGTGGTGGGTCATAGCCCAATCTCCCTATTCCATCCATAGTGAAGGCCTGTGCCGTAGCAGTGGGGACATCAATAGGCTGATGATGATATTTTTGTAGGTCGCTCTACGCCCGGCCCCCTAGTGGTGGGCGAAGAGATGGACGACGAGGTGACCAACGCTTGCGGATCTGCTGTGCACGCATACTCGGATATACATACTATGTCGCATGGTGAGAAAGTAATATAGCTATATATTTGTTTCTTAGGTTTTTACGCACACCACTCATTAAATAAAACACGCTTAAAGGTGTAAATTTATTACCTTTCTGAAATTTCGCATCCTTTTTTAGGCTGCGTCGTCAGAATTGTAATTTTTATTTACTTTGTCGAGCTACCTTCGAAAGACTTTTAATGGCCGTTCGAATACTTCATTGAAAGATTATTAAAAAAATGTATTGTGTATGCACGAATTTATTACCAATTTAATTAACATAGTACTTTATTTAATTCTTTTTTTTTAAGTAAATAAATGTCATAATTCTGACGACGCAGCTTGAAAAGTAACAAATTAACGCATTTCAATCCGTTTAAGCGTGGTTTATTTTATATAGCTATACTTTCTTATATAGCATTCAAGGCTTTAGTTTAACGAAGGCAGGAAACACGCGAGTATTGCGACGTTGAAGTGGGTTTGACGTTTGCGGATCACTTCTTGAAATGACTGCTTCTGCATACGACCATTTATGGTTTTGACTACTGCTAAGACTACCTCATTACAGAAATTTTAAAAGATTTTTTTTACTAGCAGCACAGACACTTCTTTAGGTTTAAACATTTAGCAGTTAAATGTTCAAAAAAAACAAAAAGTTTTTATGCTGGGTTTGGTAGATGGTATTCGCATTTTTTTTTTGTTATGGTGCCGCTACAGGGTTCATCGTTTACTAGAGGAAATACCTATTGTACAACCTAAAACAACCGCACGAACGTAATATAATTAAGCTTTTAATATGATCTGATGATAGGCACGACAGTTCTGGAAGAAATAATGGCAGAGAAGAAACGTGAGGCAGGCAGTTCCGACGTGCTCCCCGCCAAAGTGGCCGTGATGCGACCCATACTCAGGTTCCTGCAGCTGCTCTGCGAGAACCATAATCCGGACTTGCAGGTACTGTGAAATAGGCTATTTGACAGTATGAAAAATAATGTACCAATCGTTGGCATCTGTATTCTAATTTGTCACACGACTGTCATGAAAACGTCAAACGATACAATGTAACGTCACTTTGGCCGGAAGTTTACTAGCGTGTGACGTCATTTTAGTCTTGGCCAATCCCAGTCGTTTTCGGTCACGTGACTATGGAGCAAAAGCATAATTTCTATTTAATTACTTTTTAGAAAAGTTATTCAATATTTGTTCTTGTAGAATTATTAAATCGCTCTAAATGGTGTACATTATGCTTGACTTAATAATAAATTAACAATTAAGAAAAAAAAACATAATGAATAACAGCATTTAGAAGGTAAAAGTTGTAGGTACCTATCAAATATATTAAAAATCTTAATAACTAGGTACTTATATTTAATTACAAATTAAAATAGTTATAAATAGTAATAATAGAATTATATTGGTATCGACTCTGGCATGATTCTTTAAACTTAAAATTAAATTTAACACCGGTCTCTTATATTCAGAGAATAACATACATATTTATAATAATTACAAATATGTATATGCTTCATATTTTAAAACTGCGAGCGTTTTCAAACGGACGACGCCGTTTGTAAAACGCGGAATCATACAAATTGTACACACATACACTTTTTTCAAATTTAATTTTAGGTTTAGAGAATTATGCCGAAATCCACACCATTTCCGGTGTTAGGTATTTTGATAATAGTATAAAAACATTTTAGCGATAATCAAGGATAACATTATATCTCAATACACATCCTTGCAGAACCTGCTCCGTAACCAGAACAACAAATCGAACTTTAACCTGGTGTCGGAAACGCTGATGTTCCTGGACTGCATCTGCGGCTCCACCACCGGGGGGCTCGGGCTACTGGGGCTCTACATCAACGAGGGGAATGTGGCCCTCATCAATCAGACGCTGGAGACCCTCACGGAATACTGCCAAGGTATGGACGCGGGAAGAATGAGCCATCTGCGGTTTAGTTATGTAGGAATACAAGCACTTGAGGGGTGTTCAATCAAAGTCGGTAAAGTCCACATTGCTAAAATGTTCAGTAAACGATAAAACGATTATTTTAATAATTACAGGTAACTATTCTAATATTAAACATTGTTAAACTTTTTAACATTAATAAAGGTACATTATTAAATAATGTTTAACATTAATACAGGTACATTATTAAATAATGTTTAACATAAGCATAGTTACCTGTAATTGTTAAAATTATCGTTTTTATCGTTTACTGAACATTTTGGAAATGTGGACTTTACCAACTTTAATTGTATACCCCTCACTTCCTGTACTCTATCTCTCCTGGCCGCAAACTCCACGTGTGACCTGTTAGCAGATGCGTGGTCAAAATATTGTCAGAATGCTTGCGCTTTGTTTTTCGTTGTGTTTATTATCTGTGCCTTTAGTTATTGTTATTGGTATTTCCGTAATAATTTAAGTAAATTAATAAATTAAATATAAAATAACCAACCTATAAGGAGTCGAATCTTTCGAATTCTTATCGAATATAATAGTTAATATTGGGTATTGTTCATGTTTGAATTAGTATTTAATTGAGTACAGAGGTATTCAAACTAAATCAAATTAATAATCAATTTGGTTAATTATTGTTTAATGCGATTGCAATGAATCACAAAAGGCCGGTAACCGTCTCAACTTTATGAGTATTGAATTTTTTAAAATAACCCTTACGATAACACTTTTCACCGTGTTTATAATTAAAACAAGCTTTCAACCATGACTTCGTCCGCGTCAATTTTGGTTTTCAATAATTTTCCTATTTCTGTCTAGGTAACAAGCTATATGTTCGCCAAATTTAATCCAAATCCATTCAGCTGTTTCTGCGTGATCGAGTTATAAACATACAAACCTTCACATTTATAATATTAGTAGCATTCACTTAGGTAAAATATTTAAATGATCCCCCAAAAATAGTAAATGCTCATCTAAAAATGCAATTCGTCACCTAAAGGCTAGGTTAGGTTTTTTAGCATCAATTACTATTTCTTAAGTTATTTATTTATTTGTTAAGAACATAAATAACGGAGACAACTTATACATAATTAATACTTTGCTCAAAAGACATTGACGTCGAGACTTCTTTCCTAAGTATGTGTTCGTAGCATTCATAAACATTTTAGACAACAAATAGCAACAAAAATAAATAAGAGTCTGATTCAATTAAAATTGTGCAACGATATTGAATACCCTAGATACACCACGTGCGCTCAAAATGTGTACCAATCAAAAAGTGCTTGAACACCACTCAAGCATTTCTTGGTTCACAGTCACGCGCGGACCGTTGGAAAGTTAACATTACAATGATCATTTCTATGTGACGTGTGTTTATGTGTATGGCCCTAATTTTAATCGTCGTTATGCGTACTCTTCAATGAAACTGAGTTGTTTCTTATCTAATGCGTATATAACGAATATAATTACAAAATGAATCGAAATTTGTGAAAGTAAGTAGAGTGCGTACTAAATTTTGAATTGCGTAGAGTGTCAAGAGTAGAGGTTATTTTTTTTATCACGTGGCTCAAAGGTTCTCCTATTGGTAGAAATGGTGCGACATTCCGGTGCAGCCAGAACTTTTTAATTATGCGTTAACAATGATCAAAGTGCGGCCACAAAAAAATGCGTACTTGATTGGTCTGTCAGTTTCGTATGGCGACAGAATTTTATCACGAATGTTTGAATATGTATGACTGCAAGCATGCCTATATAAATAAAAAAATAAAAAGTCCTCTTTATCTCTAGATCGATAATGTACTTTATTTTGTCATCGTAAGGTATTGACACGACCTGTCAGACTCGCATTATTTCATTAGCCGCAATATATGGCATACGGTAATAAAGTGAAAATGTTGTCACTTTCGGCATGTTTATCTAAAACTTAAAACTAAATTTAACATCAGTCATCAGTTTCCTCTTTATTCTGTACATAGAATGATAAGAATACACTGTCGTCAAATTTAATTTTAGGTTTAGAGAATCATACCAGAAACGAAATCAATAACAATTAATTGAAATTGAATTGGGAAAGTTAAAAATCAGCTGTTAACAACCAACCGTTCACCACCAGGACCCTGCCACGAGAACCAGAACTGCATAGCTACACACGAGAGCAACGGCCTCGACATAATCACGGCTTTAATTCTCAACGATATCAACCCACTGGGCAAGACGCGCATGGAACTCGTGCTAGAGCTCAAGAACAACGCCTCCAAGCTCCTGCTGGCTATAATGGAGTCCCGCAATGACTCGGAGAACAACGCCGAGCGAATTTTGTACAACATGAACCCGAAACAGCTAGTGAGTATTGACCCATAAATAGTGCGACAAGGATCTTTTTGAATGTGGCGAAAATTGGAACTAACTTTGTATACGTCATATTTTGTATGTCATTTTCGATCTTACCTAGACAGTGGCGCCTTCTCTGAACTGTCTATTTATTTATCTTTAACAAAGTTACTACCTACAGCGATTTTTGTAAATGTAGTACAATAAAATATATGTACAATCTTAAGGCCAATTACAGAAACTTATTATGTATACATTAGATACTAACGTCGTTACTATATATCAATATCACATCAAATTTTAAAAATAGATTAAAAATCATATAATTATAAATTTACTAACATAGTCACATGGCACTCACAAAGATCCTTGTCGCACTATATAAATGAAAATGAATCGCCGAAATGTATGTATTTACGCATATAAATTTCGCGAGACTGCGCTAAATTGGATAATTCTTTTTTTATTTTTACATAACACATCACACACTACCTTACTTTTTAAATTGAGAGTTTGTAATTTCTGATATTTAAGATAATGATACTCATGATACTATTACATTTTTACCGAGGGTAATATTAAATAATCATACCTTCAACGATGCTAATACACAATCGCAGACATAATAAAACTAGAAATGGGTGAATATATGTGAAACTTGCTATTGGTACTATGCAGAATAAATTCTAGGTAAAAAAAATATGAAATCATAATACTATGACTTCCACAATACTTCAGATACCACACACTTAAAATGCAATACATTGATGCATTAAACGGGAATGCATGAATATGCCGCTAGAGGCGCTAGTGTAGTGTGAGTTCTCCTTAATGTCAAATGTTATGGCTGTGATGTGGCTACGCGGGTTTATTTCTAATTAAAACAATGTTGTGAATATTTGGGTAATAACTCGGCTTAATTATGGCAAATTTGAGTTACGTGGCAATGAATGTCAGTTATTTTAATGCGGAACTAAGTTAAATTATTATGTCCTCCTTTTTTCTGAACAAAACAGAAGTGCCAAAGTGATGCACTTTGGCATGGCCGATTATGTTTAGGAAACAGTTCTTTTGTATTAAAATATGATTTAAATGTAAACTTTGATTTCACGCGCGTAATAATAAACTTTGAAAGTTGCAATTCAGGACCTCACTCAACAGTAGCACCATCTGGTGAGACAGAAAACGGTAGCCCTCATTAAAAAAAAATACTTGTCAACGTATATATAGAGACAGCTTAATTAAAATAACATGTATTTTTTCCACCTAGGTGGATGTTGCCTGCTCTGCCTTCCACCAAGAACACGCAATGGACGCCGACTCAGAATCTGAGGACGAAGCGCCCGTACAAGGAGTCTCACCAAAGGAGGTCTGTTAATATTCTATTTTATCAAAATTACATAGTCCCACAAGAATAGAATTGCTCTCACAGCAATACATAGTACAATACGATATGACAGTGTGAATAGCAAATGGATGTGGCTCAGCATAAACTGCTTCGTTACGGAAGGTCTCGGGCAGCGCTGGTTTTCAGCCACACCCACTTCTCTTTAGATGAAAAGCGAGACAGGCAAAAGAGATCCAACAAAAGTAGGTGGTACTCCTACGGTCAGATTGTGCGTGTGTGTATTTGAGTGTACGTGCTTTGTTTGTGTGTGTATGCACGTATGAGCGGGTGTATACGCATGGATTCGTTTATGCATGTGCCAAATCTATTCAACACAAGGAAACTTACTAGGACCAATGTCTCTTCCTTGTAACAATATAATTATCAAACAAAACTAGTTTAACTAATGCACGAACCTTATTTATTTATTGACGTTTCGCAGCCTTTTCAGTTCTGCGTCGTCAGAATAATGTTTTTTTATTTACTTTGTCGAGCTTTGAAAGACTTTTATTGAGCGTTCGGATATTTCATTGGAAGATTTTTAAAACTTTATTGTCTATGTATGAATTTATTAATTAATTTAGTTAATAGAGTACATTATTTAAAATTATTTTTTGTAATTTTTAGTTAATTTATTTGACCCTAACTACCGTAAACTACCACCGGTTCCAAAATTGGGAGACCTTTCTGAGAAGAACCGGTGAAACAAAGTCAGAGAGGCTTTCTATCTCCTTCCTATAAAGTTCGTACCCGTTAAAACTAGTTTTATTTAATGAGTGTTGTGCGTGAAAACCTAAGAAACAAATATAATGATCGTTCACCTTACTAATGAACCAAGAATAAGCATGGACTGCAATGGTTGTCAGAGACAAGGCAGTGTAGTTTAAATTACAAAATGTTTTTTGAGTAATGTGAACAAAACTATGCTTTAATAAGTCTGTCTTTTTAAAAAGTGTTGGAGTAAATCAAGAAAAGCATCCCACGGTTATCGTTTTCCTTGTAATTACATAATCATGGATAAAACGCCCACATATGGCTAAGCAAAATTTAGCCTGATTGCCAACCGTCATGTAATGACGAATGACTATGACTAAAGAAAGCATACATAAAGTCGTCCACATAACTATACAATTATAGTAAGCCATTCTCATAACACATACTACAGTGAAGCATAGTGGTGTCACTATTTATTTTTACTTCAAAATTTGCTAAATGTTTTTATACAAGACCATATTACTTGAAGTTAAGTGGAATTCTGACGCGACATAAATGTGTATGAACCGTTCTAAGCATCTTCATCTTGCTGGTCTAAAACTAACTAAGACAGGGAACGCATGGTCTATTCTCTACCCCCCTTACTATTAAAAAAACAATAAGTTTGGATTTGTTACTCTATGTTCTGTCTCTGTTCATTGAATTACAAATGGCACTTGAGTGGCATGAACAGAAAAACCGCGTAACTAGTCTAAACTTATTCCTCGTTTATTTATAAGGGGGAAAATTGGTAAATATTGACATTCGTTTGTTATGGGGCAGGTGGGGCACAACATCTATATACTGTGCCACCAGCTGGCGGGGCACAATAAGGAGCTGGCCGCGCTGGTCAGGGCTCAACCCGCGGGTCCCAATGCACCCGCCCTGCAGTACTACCGTACTCACACGGCGCAGATAGAGGTAAACTTGGTCACTGATTGTGTAAACGATTCGAAACATAATAAAGAAAGTTTAAAAAATCCAAATATATTTTGTTTGTACAAAATTAGAACTGCTCTCATATAAGGTTATAGTCCAGTCGGAATAGCCATAATTTGGACCGACTTCTATTCTAAGACACCAGCGCTTAGCCAATTTTTTCCTAGGTAGTATAGACTCCCACGAATATGCCCTCCATTTGTCCCCGCTAGAACCCGTGTTTTGTAGCCAGGAAAATTGTTTAAACAAAGAAAAACCGGTTTTTTTGAGTTTTTTTTGCTTGTAAACGGGGATTTTGAAATTTTTTTTGAATCAAAGTTGTTCATTAGCTTGCCCTCTACAAAATCAGTTCTATGAAAAAATAACGTGAGATGTTAGTTTAGCAGTAAATTGCAATTATGCCGGTTTTACGTTTGCAACAATTCAACATGTTATAATAAACATTTTGATTTCTAAAGTAGTTTATCATGTGGGTAACGCCACTCCCAAGAGAGTCATGTAAAATTTATCGACCTGTGTCGCAAACTTTAGCAACAATTCTCAATCTCCGAAAAAAAAGTACTTGCCTGTCCCGTCTTTCCCAGAAGGCGCACAGCGGGAAAAAAAATTCAGGTGATTCGATTCACCAAGAATTTTGAGGAATCGATCGAGTAGAAAAAAATCGTTAGTAAAAATGTTCGTTTTTGGACGATTTAAATTTTTTTTAAACTAATGTATTTTTCTCTCCTCAACTCGAATATACTATTCTGAATATATATATATATATAATATATACTGTTTTTTTTGTTTAAACAATTTTCCTGGCTACAAAACACGGGTTCTAGCCCCCGCTAGACTAGGCTAGGCTTGTCTCCACAAATGGAGGGCATATTCGTGGGGGTCTATACTATCTAGGAAAAAATTGGCTAAGCGCTGGTGTCTTAGAATAGGTCTCATGTTTATTCCGACTGGACTATTACCCCGTGTTGTGAAAAGCAGGCTCATCCTTACTATATAAATACAAAAACAAACATGCAATTATTATACTATGTTACTGGAAAATTACAAACAACCAATTATGTATAATAAGAAAGTTGCGATGTATACGAAAGCATTTCTCCAATACTATTTTGAATAAACGATTTCGAATTTTGATATTGCAGAAATACGTGACAAAAATTAATAAAAGCTAATGTGTTTGTTTGAACTTATGAATTTCGCGTACGAACTTGGCCCCTCGGGCAAACTACATTCTACTATGTGAGACCCGAATTAACGAACTAAAAGACTGAACTAGGAGCATTTTATTAATCTTCTATCTGTGCCTCAGCATTGGGGACATTAATAGGCTGATGATGATGATGATAATATTAATTTGATAATGTTTATGCACTGTATCGATGGCCCTTTATATACCTACAATACTATATATCAACAGATAGTAAGAACGGACCGCAGTATGGAGCAGATAGTGTTCCCAATACCGGAGATATGCGAGTATCTGCCAGCCGACAGTAAGCACAGGGTGCTGCAGAGCGCCGAGCGCGACGACCAGGGCAGCAAGGTGGCCGATTTCTTCGCCAGGCTGGACAACCTGTTCCACGAGATGAAGTGGCAGAAGAAGCTCAGAGGTCAGTATTATTGATGCTCGATATAGGTACTAATGTTCGTATTCATCACAGCAAATTGGCTGACTTCTTCGCCAGGCTAGACAACCTGTTCCATCAGATGAAGTGGCAGAAGAAGCTCAGAGGTCAGTCTTATTGGTGTGAGAAAGGAACTTGATGTAGGTACTAACGTTCGTGTTCACCGTAGCAAGGTGGCCGAATTCTGCGCCGGGCTGAACAACCTGTTCCACGAGATGACGTGGCAGAAGAAGCTCAGAAGTCAGTCGTATTGGTGTGAGAAAAGAACTTGATGTAAGTACAAATGTTCGTATTCATCACAGCAAGGTAGCCGACTTCTTCACCAGGCTGGACAACCTGTTCCACGAGATGAAGTGACAGAAGAAGCTCATAGGTCAGTATTATTGATGCTCGCTGTAGGTACGAATGCTCGTATTCATCTCAGCAAGGTAGCCGACTTCTTCGCCAGGCTGGACAACCTGTTCCACGAGATGAAGTGACAGAAGAAGCTCATAGGTCAGTATTATTGATGCTCGCTGTAGGTACGAATGCTCGTATTCATCTCAGCAAGGTAGACGACTTCTTTGCCAGGCTGGACAACCTGTTCCACGAGATGAAGTGACAGAAGAAGCTCATGGGTCAGTATTATTGATGCTCGCTGTAGGTACGAATGCTCGTATTCATCTCAGCAAGGTAGCCGACTTCTTCGCCAGGCTGGACAACCTGTTCCACGAGATGAAGTGACAGAAGAAGCTCAGAGGTCAGTATTATTGATGCTCGATATAGGTACAAATGTTCGTATTCATCACAGCAACGTGGTCGATTTCTTCCCGAGGTTAGATAACCTCAGAAGAAGCTCAGAGATCAGTTATTTGTGTGAGAAAAGGACTGAAATCTTAGCAATTATGAAAAAGTTAATAAAACGTGCCACTATCACAACAAAAGTGTGTTTTATCAAATGATTGGCGTGCATGAAAACTCAAGTATCCCTGCAGTTAGGCTCAACTTGGACGGATATTTTAACAACTATTTCATCAAACGCTATTACAGATATTTGTTTATTAGGTTTTGACGCACACCACTCATTAAATAAAACACACTTAAACGGGTTGAAAATGCTTTGTTATAGTGTATGATGTATTATCGGAAATTTGTATAATCCAGGTATTCTATACAACACCTAGGCAATGTATAGAATGCCTGAAGCGTCTAATGTATGAAATATTATACTTTGATTTTTTTTCTTTTTCTAGATAATGTGTACCTGGTGGTAGACCGGCCATGTGTAAAATAAACAAATTTTTGCCTGTATTAATCCTACCTAAACCTTGTACTATACAATATGTAATAGTAATTTGCAATCGTGGTAGTAACTGTAAATTAAAGGTCGAGTTATGTAAAAAAGTAAAAAGAAGCATCCGAAACCTGTTAAAAAGTACTTTAATTTCATGAATGAATATGTAAATTATACATTTATCAACTGTATATGTTTTGTTTCAGGGCAACCTTTCCTGTTCTGGGTATCTTCTTACATGTCGTTATGGAGCAATATTTTGTTCAACTTCGCCGTTCTTATCAATGTTATTGTCGCCTTCTTTTACCCTTTCCAAGATGAAAACCCAAGTGAGTATAAAATAATAAGTTTTATTTTAATTCCTTGAATACCAATTCCATTCAAATAAGTTCACAATAGTAGTTTATGCGACTGTAATATAAGAAGGGGATATTGGCATTTGGCTTCGCCTCATACGATAAACAGACTCGTGTTTTAATACCTAAAATTATATGCTGTTGCATACTTTATCTTCACTCTTAGCAACAATTGAAATTAAATAAAGTAACTAGGTAACAAAAAAGTATTTTACAAAACTTTTCTGCAATCCCGAAAACAAAACACGATCGGTAGAAAATTGTATCGGTAAAATGGTAATGCGTGACTTTTTTTCACATTCAGCCTAATATCATGGCCTAATAGATTAAATTAAAAGTATAAGTGTGCTATAATGATAAAAAAGTTATTTGACGATACAGCTAGCAGTACTGTAATCACACTAATATTAAAAAGGCGAAAGTTTGTGAGTGTGTATGTTTTTTACTTCTTCACATCAAAACAGCTGAAGCGATTTTAATAAATTTGGTGTGGAGGTAGCTATCACCCTGGATTAACACATAGGCTGTGTTTTACTGCGGGAAAATATCCCTAATAAACAGCGGGTAATATCGCGGGGCACAGCTAGTGAGTTGTATTTTATAATTTTGTTTATGTGCGTTTTAAAGCAGTTACGTCTTTATAAAATCATCTTTGAATTCTTAATTCGAATATTTCGACATGAATGTAGATAATTTTATTTCAGTCTATTTGTAGGTTTACAAATATAATATATGTGTTTTATTTACGCTTTATAAATTTTATATACGTTCTATACCTCTAGCACGAACCAATATCCGACGATACCGAGTCCGAAACGTCATTGTCAAATGTGTACTGATTTTTAGTTCTCGTTACGTACTTTGTGCCGCTGCTGTTCAAGTTTCCATACAAAATTTGACATTGACATTACGGTTTGCAAACTATTCGAATTCGATAACGGTTCGTGCTAGGGGTACTGTTTGTGATCGTAGAAATTGAACGATTTTCGCAAATAAACTGTCACCAAGTAATCGCATACTCGAACTCCTCTCGGGGCAGCAATTGTCACCGGTAGTAGTGTGGTGCGTGTGACGATATATTTATTGGTATTGCGCAGAGCTGGGACAGCACCTGTCGCTGGTAGTGTGGTGCGTGTCGGCGCTGGCAGCGGCGCTGGTTACCTGGCTGCCGCGCTCCTCCGGCGTGCGCGCGCTGCTGGCTAGCGGCATCGTGCGCCTGCTGTACTCCGCCGGGCCCGAGCCTACGCTGTGGGGCCTGGCTATGCTCACGGTGAGTGACCGCAGCCGGTGACCGCAGCTGCCGCGCTCCTCCGGCGTGCGCGCGCTGCTGGCTAGCGGCATCGTGCGCCTGCTGTACTCCGCCGGGCCCGAGCCTACGCTGTGGGGCCTGGCTATGCTCACGGTGAGTGACCGCAGCCGGTGACCGCAGCTGCCGCGCTCCTCCGGCGTGCGCGCGCTGCTGGCTAGCGGCATCGTGCGCCTGCTGTACTCCGCCGGGCCCGAGCCTACGCTGTGGGGCCTGGCTATGCTCACGGTGAGTGACCGCAGCCGGTGACCGCAGCTGCCGCGCTCCTCCGGCGTGCGCGCGCTGCTGGCTAGCGGCATCGTGCGCCTGCTGTACTCCGCCGGGCCCGAGCCTACGCTGTGGGGCCTGGCTATGCTCACGGTGAGTGACCGCAGCCGGTGACCGCAGCTGCCGCGCTCCTCCGGCGTGCGCGCGCTGCTGGCTAGCGGCATCGTGCGCCTGCTGTACTCCGCCGGGCCCGAGCCTACGCTGTGGGGCCTGGCTATGCTCACGGTGAGTGACCGCAGCCGGTGACCGCAGCTGCCGCGCTCCTCCGGCGTGCGCGCGCTGCTGGCTAGCGGCATCGTGCGCCTGCTGTACTCCGCCGGGCCCGAGCCTACGCTGTGGGGCCTGGCTATGCTCACGGTGAGTGACCGCAGCCGGTGACCGCAGCTGCCGCGCTCCTCCGGCGTGCGCGCGCTGCTGGCTAGCGGCATCGTGCGCCTGCTGTACTCCGCCGGGCCCGAGCCTACGCTGTGGGGCCTGGCTATGCTCACGGTGAGTGACCGCAGCCGGTGACCGCAGCTGCCGCGCTCCTCCGGCGTGCGCGCGCTGCTGGCTAGCGGCATCGTGCGCCTGCTGTACTCCGCCGGGCCCGAGCCTACGCTGTGGGGCCTGGCTATGCTCACGGTGAGTGACCGCAGCCGGTGACCGCAGCTGCCGCGCTCCTCCGGCGTGCGCGCGCTGCTGGCTAGCGGCATCGTGCGCCTGCTGTACTCCGCCGGGCCCGAGCCTACGCTGTGGGGCCTGGCTATGCTCACGGTGAGTGACCGCAGCCGGTGACCGCAGCTGCCGCGCTCCTCCGGCGTGCGCGCGCTGCTGGCTAGCGGCATCGTGCGCCTGCTGTACTCCGCCGGGCCCGAGCCTACGCTGTGGGGCCTGGCTATGCTCACGGTGAGTGACCGCAGCCGGTGACCGCAGCTGCCGCGCTCCTCCGGCGTGCGCGCGCTGCTGGCTAGCGGCACGAACCATTATCGAATTCGAATAGTTTGCGATTGAGAAATGTCAATGTCAAATTTTGTATAGAAACTTGAACAGCAACGCCACAAAGTACGTAACGAGAACTAAAAATCAGTATACATTTGACAATGACATTTCGGACTCGCAAACGTTATGAATTTGATATTGTTTCGTGCTAAGGGTACTGTACTCCGCCGGCCCCGAGCCTAGTGAGTGATAGCACGCTGCGCTTCTCTATCTTAAAAACTTTTAACTGTTGTATTTTTGATTTTTCAGCATTTAACTGCTAGATATTTGAATGTAAAGAAGATTTGACTAGAAAAGAATCCATGCGGACCAGACATCGGACGGAACTCGAACCACCTCCGCTATCCGGAGTCTAGAGTTCAACAGTGAGATTATCAAAAAATAACGCTTGTTTTTATCTATGGTTAATCAAACAAAATATTACAAAAATAGAGCATGTAAAAGTTGAGGAGTGGAGGCTTGTGACGTCACTGCTAAGTAAAAATTGTACCAAGACGTGACGTCATGTCGGTGATGTGTTGAAATCAATATACCTCTGTAATATGTTCAATCCCTATTGTTGTGAGTAGTCCGGAATTCTTTTATTTCTTCAATACATTTATAATGTAAATATTGTTGTCACAGATAGTGGTGAAGGGGATTCACCTCGTGAGCATAATGGGCAACCAGGGCACGTTGTCCAAGTCGACGCGGAACGTACTCACCGACCCCGAACTCCTCTACCACTGCGTTTACCTCGTTTTCTGCTTCTTGGGCATATGCTGCCACCCGTTCTTCTTTTCCGTCCTTGTGAGTATATGTTAATTACTATCTAATCTTTGATTATTTATACGCTAAGATCAGTGATGAGAAAACTACAACCAGCGGGCCATCTCCGGTCCTCGAATAGTTAATATCGGGCCCCGCGATCATCAAACAAAAATCAAAGTTTCTAACCAAGAAGTACAATATTTTTACATGTTCCGCCAACACGCCACAAGACCCACCCTCCTGCCGAATCTGGTTTTTACTCTGCTGCTGAGCTGCAGGGTGAGAGGCATTCCTTTACTGGGTTTATTTTGATTCGATTGAAATTAAAAATTTAAATGGGGGCTTAGAATCCGATAGTAGATATTGGCACGATTAGGAAAACCTTTGCCCATCCCTGGCTTAGATAAAGCAATCCAAATAAATCACGTAAAAACACTAGTCATGTTGCGGGCAATGTGTGCGTGATTTTAAAGTCAGGTTATATTAAACCGTCAATGTGTGCATGTGTACCGACGAGTTTATCTACCATCTACATGATGATGTAGATATTTTTTGTGCCGCATCCGTGCAGTTAATACGGCATCTAGGTTATATAAAATCAAAGTTTCTAATGTAATATAGCTATAAGCACTTAACAATTTTCGTAATGTCAAGTCTAAGGATGCGTGACCAAACATTTATTACATTCGGAACTCAGAACAAAAACTAAAGCATAGAAAGAGTTTAAATTCATCTCTTAAAATCGAGTCATGTAGTTGTCTTATTTTTACATATATACAAAAAAAACGACAGATATATGTTGCTATGAGCAGCGTGCGTAACACTATAGAAAAGACAAATGGGATACCTTTGTATGGCTTGTAAATACGTTACCTTAAGGATACTGAATCAAAAAGCGATCTTATGTCAAATACAACCTGCCAACACGTCACAAATACTATTTGGTTGGGTAATATTTTGTTTGGAAATGTTTTCGTAAATTCGTTGTCTATGTGAGTGTATACTCAAACGTCGTGGCATTACTTCTATGCTTTAGATCTTGCTCTGAGCTGCGGAGGGCATATAATTCCCGGCTGAATCTGCAGTCAGTTAACATTCACCAACCCTCACGGGGCCTTATGTTATGGGCCAATTTTCTATTCTATACATAGGGAAGGCCTGTGTACCAGCTGTGGGGATAATAAAAAAAAGACTGAATAGATAACAGCCGTGTAACGTCACAAATGGGTCAGGAATTTTCAACTGTATTACATACTCGTAAAGCTGTCTGTCCAATGGAGCGGAGCGAGGCTGCGGAGCGGAAAAATGGGAGAAATATTATCCAATAGAGTTGCACAAAATCTCCGCTTCTCTTCAGTGGACAGATTTCGTGCAATATCGTCAATATTTCACTGTTTCTACGCTCCGCAGCTTGTCATAACCGCGCAGCTGCCGCGTGTCGTATAAACGCGACCTAAATGATGATTTTCTGTCCCAGCTGCTAGACATTGTGTACCGCGAAGAGACGCTATTGAACGTGATGCGATCAGTGACACGCAACGGGCGGTCGATCCTACTGACGGCCGTACTGGCGCTGGTGCTGGTCTACATGTTCTCCATCGTCGGCTACATGTTCTTCCGGGACCACTTCCTCGTGACCGTCGACCGCCTCGACGGTAAGTTTACTATATATTTTCTTTCTCTTCTCTTCTTCTGCGCTACACTCTTGGCAGAGTGGTCGTCGTCGTTACATCAGGGTTGGTGGCGCGCTTCACAATACGCTGCCATTCGTCGCGCACTGCGGCCTTTCTCGTGCATTCGTGAAGTGAACCGTTCAGTGCCGCTTTTATCTGGATCTTTTCTTTAGGAAGGCTTAAGGGAAAGATCCTCTTTCGAGCTGGGTATGGCTCGGGGACCGCAATATATGATGTTGACTACGAATTTCGTAAGCGCGATGTAGGCATTCCATACTATTGAGATCGCTGGTGGTAGCGCCATCTCTTGAGAAGGCAAGTGATGTCTGTCCTCCATTTAGTTATATGTAGGGCGTATAGATTTCTCGGTCACACTTTTATCATTGAGACCGGTGGTTGTAGAATTATGAACCATGTCAGTATACAGATAAGGTCGATCCTGCTGACGGCCGTGCTAGCGCTGGTCTATATGTTCTCCATCATTGGCTAAGTACATATTCTTCCGGGACCACTTCCTCGTGAGCGTCGACCGCCTCGACGGTGAGTTTACCATCGAAAATGCCGACGCAACACATTTTGTCTCTCTCGCATGTTATTTAGGGTAGCATGTGCAAGAGGGACTGTCTTACGACAGGTAATCGGTACTTTCTCCTCTCGGTAAACAATGTACTATTACGGGTTAAAACGCGTACAACTTAGATTTTTGTACTTACTTTATCCCGACGTTTCAACCGTTAACTTGTCGTCATGGCCCTCGCGAGTCGACTGATTCATTGGTACAGGGTTTACAATCTACAATATTCTAATCAATGTACTGGTGGAAAGGCCTAGGGAAGAGATCTTCCTTCAAGCTGGGTGATGTGTTGTGAGCTCGTCCGATGCTGGTCCGGCTCTGTATGAATATGATGTTGATTCGGAGATTCGTAAGCGCGATGTATTCATTTCATACTATTGAGGACGCCGGCGGTAGCGCCATCTCTTAAGAAGGCAAGTGATGTCTTCCATTTAGTTACATGTCTGAGACCGGTGGTTGTAGGATTATGGACATATAGATAGGTCGATCCTGCTGCCGTGGCCGTACTGGCGCTATTGCTCTTAACATGGCTCTTAAGCGCTAGTTTAATAGTAATTCTGTTCTAAAACTTTGCGCTTTTTGCGTCCAGACATAGATAAAGATTTGATTTGATTTTTTCATCCCATATTTTACTTATTACGGCTCTATTCAAGCGTTGTGTATGTTTGAATTGTCAGATAGCGGTGCAACATTGCACTGCGGATATAAATCAAAAAGTTTAAAATTAGACGCGTTAGTCACTGACAGACATATGAGAACTATGAAAGCGAGAAGCGTCTAGATACATTTGATCTACCCGCACCTTCATTTGGCTTTACTCTTAAAAGAACACTGACGATACCATTTCGGTTAGTTTACCCTGTCAACACCCCTGTTGAGCCACCATCCAACCAACACTACCTTTCTACCAACAGACGACGACGACCCCCGCTACGACCTCGACAACTGCAACGACCCCTCCTCGAAGTACCTCCACGACGCGGGGGAGTCGTGCAAGGGCCGGGGCCGCGGGCGGTTCGTGTCAGTGGGCGGGGAGGTCCGCGAGAGGAGCTGCGACTCGCTCATCATGTGCATCGTCACCACGCTCAACCAGGGCCTGCGCAACGGCGGCGGTATCGGGGACATACTGCGTGCGCCCGCTAGCTTCGTGAGTATATATACGTCTAGGGACATACTGCGTGCGGGGAGGGCAGCGAGAGGAGCTGCGACTCGCTCATCATGTGCATCGTCACCACGCTCAACCAGGGCCTGCGCAACGGCGGCGGTATCGGGGACATACTGCGTGCGCCCGCTAGCTTCGTGAGTATATATACGTCTAGGGACATACTGCGTGCGGGGAGGGCAGCGAGAGGAGCTGCGACTCGCTCATCATGTGCATCGTCACCACGCTCAACCAGGGCCTGCGCAACGGCGGCGGTATCGGGGACATACTGCGTGCGCCCGCTAGCTTCGTGAGTATATATACGTCTAGGGACATACTGCGTGCGGGGAGGTCCGCGAGAGGAGCTGCGACTCGCTCATCATGTGCATCGTCACCACGCTCAACCAGGGCCTGCGCAACGGCGGCGGTATCGGGGACATACTGCGTGCGCCCGCTAGCTTCGTGAGTATATATACGTCTAGGGACATACTGCGTGCGGGGAGGTCCGCGAGAGGAGCTGCGACTCGCTCATCATGTGCATCGTCACCACGCTCAACCAGGGCCTGCGCAACGGCGGCGGTATCGGGGACATACTGCGTGCGCCCGCTAGCTTCGTGAGTATATATACGTCTAGGGACATACTGCGTGCGGGGAGGGCAGCGAGAGGAGCTGCGACTCGCTCATCATGTGCATCGTCACCACGCTCAACCAGGGCCTGCGCAACGGCGGCGGTATCGGGGACATACTGCGTGCGCCCGCTAGCTTCGTGAGTATATATACGTCTAGGGACATACTGCGTGCGGGGAGGGCAGCGAGAGGAGCTGCGACTCGCTCATCATGTGCATCGTCACCACGCTCAACCAGGGCCTGCGCAACGGCGGCGGTATCGGGGACATACTGCGTGCGCCCGCTAGCTTCGTGAGTATATATACGTCTAGGGACATACTGCGTGCGGGGAGGTCCGCGAGAGGAGCTGCGACTCGCTCATCATGTGCATCGTCACCACGCTCAACCAGGGCCTGCGCAACGGCGGCGGTATCGGGGACATACTGCGTGCGCCCGCTAGCTTCGTGAGTATATATACGTCTAGGGACATACTGCGCGCGCCCGCTAGCTTCGTGAGTATATATACGTCTAGGGACATACTGCGTGCGGGGAGGTCCGCGAGAGGAGCTGCGACTCGCTCATCATGTGCATCGTCACCACGCTCAACCAGGGCCTGCGCAACGGCGGCGGTATCGGGGACATACTGCGTGCGCCCGCTAGCTTCGTGAGTATATATACGTCTAGGGACATACTGCGCGCGCCCGCTAGCTTCGTGAGTATATATACATCTAGGGACATACTGCGCGCGCCCGCTAGCTTCGTGAGTATATATACGTCTAGGGACATACTGCGCGCGCCCGCTAGCTTCGTGAGTATATATACGTCTAGGGACATACTGCGTGCGGGGAGGTCCGCGAGAGGAGCTGCGACTCGCTCATCATGTGCATCGTCACCACGCTCAACCAGGGCCTGCGCAACGGCGGCGGTATCGGGGACATACTGCGTGCGCCCGCTAGCTTCGTGAGTATATATACGTCTAGGGACATACTGCGCGCGCCCGCTAGCTTCGTGAGTATATATACATCTAGGGACATACTGCGCGCGCCCGCTAGCTTCGTGAGTATATATACGTCTAGGGACATACTGCGCGCGCCCGCTAGCTTCGTGAGTATATATACGTCTAGGGACATACTGCGTGCGGGGAGGTCCGCGAGAGGAGCTGCGACTCGCTCATCATGTGCATCGTCACCACGCTCAACCAGGGCCTGCGCAACGGCGGCGGTATCGGGGACATACTGCGTGCGCCCGCTAGCTTCGTGAGTATATATACGTCTAGGGACATACTGCGTGCGGGGAGGGCAGCGAGAGGAGCTGCGACTCGCTCATCATGTGCATCGTCACCACGCTCAACCAGGGCCTGCGCAACGGCGGCGGTATCGGGGACATACTGCGTGCGCCCGCTAGCTTCGTGAGTATATATACGTCTAGGGACATACTGCGCGCGCCCGCTAGCTTCGTGAGTATATATACGTCTAGGGACATACTGCGCGCGCCCGCTAGCTTCGTGAGTATATATACGTCTAGGGACATACTGCGTGCGCCCGCTAGCTTCGTGAGTATATATACGTCTAGGGACATACTGCGTGCGCCCGCTAGCTTCGTGAGTATATATACGTCTAGGGACATACTGCGCGCGCCCGCTAGCTTCGTGAGTATATATACGTCTAGGGACATACTGCGTGCGCCCGCTAGCTTCGTGAGTATATATACGTCTAGGGACATACTGCGCGCGCCCGCTAGCTTCGTGAGTATATATACGTCTAGGGACATACTGCGCGCGCCCGCTAGCTTCGTGAGTATATATACATCTAGGGACATACTGCGCGCGCCCGCTAGCTTCGTGAGTATATATACGTCTAGGGACATACTGCGTGCGCCCGCTAGCTTCGTGAGTATATATACGTCTAGGGACATACTGCGCGCGCCCGCTAGCTTCGTGAGTATATATACATCTAGGGACATACTGCGCGCGCCCGCTAGCTTCGTGAGTATATATACATCTAGGGACATACTGCGCGCGCCCGCTAGCTTCGTGAGTATATATACGTCTAGGGACATACTGCGCGCGCCCGCTAGCTTCGTGAGTATATATACATCTAGGGACATACTGCTCGCGCCCGCTTGTTTCGGTAGTTCATGCAAATAGTTATACAGAACAACCTCTTTAATCTGAACCCCGTCTTATCCGAATTTTATATCAAATAGTCTAGGTTTGTTGTTTTCGAGTAGATAAACCCGGAAAAGACACAACAAAAGATAAAACACAATAATGAAATAACACCATTAAGGTACGGACCAAAAGTCTGTAGACTATAGAAATAATATAAAAAAAAATCCTTTAACGTAAATTACGAGAAAACAGAGACAGCTTTTTATTTATTCTCAAATTCCTCCCGACATACTAAAATAGTTTAATAAATGTATATTTATTACAAAATTCTCAATTTGAAATAAATATTAAAAAATCCCTATAAATTCTCTGTACTTAAAATCCGAAGGCTCCACGAATCTGAACGGTGGGTCGGAGTACGGATTTAACAAGTTCTGCTGTAAAAAAGAAAAACATGAATAACCTAGCAGTATGATATTTTTAAAAATAATGAAAATCTCTCAAAAAAATTAGTCCAATACAGAGCACGTTCGCTCCGTCCGAGCGTCGTCGCGTGTCTTTTTTCCCATAGACGGGGAGGCGGGTGTGAACTTCTTATGATACCAATAATACCTTACAACCGGCTGCAGGGTCAGACTCTTAATGAATTAAAACACACCTGTGGGTGGACACCTATGGCCTTATAGGCATTTCGGCATGCCTGCGCGGCGAAGCTTCGGCTGGCTTTGGTACTAAATGCCCTAAAATTAGCGTTTGAAATTTAAATTAGTTCTTTCGTAATGAATTATCGGGCTGCGGCGAATAATTGATTACGACAGAACGCGAATGCTATAGACGCTAGACGAAAGCTTGATTGGTGATAATTTGACACGTATAACAGAGGTTGTTTAAGGCGATAAATTTCTATGTGCAGCTGAAGGAGCGTACTTATTTAATACAAAGTTCGAATGCTGATTTTAGCGTCGGTCCAGAGTAGGGTTACCTACTATTTTATATCAAATATAGTGTTTTTGAATCTGTTAGCCCAAAAATTTTTGCTGTTTGTCTGTTTTATTTCTGAATGAATGCTTTAACTGGCAAAAATCTGCTTTAAGCAAAATATAGTAGTTTCGCCTACTATGTTTTTTTAGAAATATAGTATTTGATCCCCTAATATAGCAGGATACTATATTATTAGGATATATTATTATGTAGTAGGGTTAGCAACCCTAGTTCAGAGATTCAGAGCAAATTTACTGTGACAGATGGACAGACAGACAACCGAGTGAACCTTTAAGAATTCCAATTTTGCCGATTGGGGTACGTAACCCTAAAAACTGAACTTTTCCTAAATTGTCCTGTTAAATGTTATGCAATATATGTAGGAGCCCCTGTTCGTTGCGCGGGTGGTGTACGACCTACTGTTCTTCTTCGTCGTGATCATCATCGTGCTGAACCTCATCTTCGGCGTGATCATCGACACCTTCGCAGACCTTCGTAGCGAGAAGCAGCAGAAGGAGCTGATTCTCAAGAACACCTGTTTTATATGTGGTCAGTGGTAATATTATTTATGCAAAATAAATAAAGCACAACCCAAAGTAATTTGATTAGAAATGGGTTTAGAATCGATTTCAATTAAAAAAAACTTAAAATATGCAAAATAATTATACCAAAGTATATGATAATGTAATAAGGGCTATTTTATAATGCAAGGGTTCACGAAATAAAAGTTATTAAATCGTGTTTTCATGCACATTTAATACAACACTTTAAGATAGTGTTCTATTAAATAATCCTTTAAGAAAGTGTTGTATTAAATGTGCATGAAAATAACGACAAATTCATTTACGGCCAGTTTTAATAATTAAACTGAGTTAGGCCTATAAGAGCTTTGTTGTCTAGATATTTTGATTATTAAAATTACTTTATAACTTTTGATTATATATATATATATATACAAGCCTAGACATCGCAATTCAAATAAACCACGCAAAAAAAACGGCTTATATTACGCGCAATGTGTGCGTGATTCTTGTCAGATTTTTTGAAAGCAGTCAATGTGTGTGTGTGTGTGTAGCGACGAGCGTATCGACCAGATGTAGTAGATAATTTTTGGACCGATTCCGTGCAGTTAATATGGTATCTAGTGTGTAAACAATTAAAACTTAGCTTTGACTGCAAGTTAGTTATTGAAATTGGCCGTAATAGCAAGCACACATCGAGCCACTAAACGCGACCACTAGGGGCTCAATTAAGCCACTAGACAAAGCCACTAAGCCACTAGCGGCTTTGATTGGTGGCTGCGTCTAGTGGCTCAATATACTTGGTCTAAATGTTATCTATTTAATTTTGGTTCCATTTATTGTTCGCACAGGATTGAACAGGTCAGCCTTCGACAACAAGACGGTCTCATTTGAGGAACACATAAAAAGCGAGCACAACATGTGGCACTACCTCTACTTCATGGTCCTGGTGCGGGTCAAGGACCCCACCGAATTCACCGGGCCAGAGAGCTACGTGCACTCCATGATAAAGGTATCTCTACCATAAACAACTTCATCTTTATATCCTCTACTTCATGGTACTAGTGGGGGTCAAGGACCCCACCGAATTCACCGGGCCAGAGAGCTACGTGCACTCCATGATAAAGGTATCTCTACCATAAACAACTTCATCTTTATATCCTCTACTTCATGGTACTAGTGGGGGTCAAGGACCCCACCGAATTCACCGGGCCAGAGAGCTACGTGCACTCCATGATGAAGGTATCTCTACCATAAACAACTTCATCTTTATATCCTCTTCTTCATGGTACTAGTGGGGGTCAAGGACCCCACCGAATTCACCGGGCCAGAGAGCACGTGCACTCCATGATAAAAGTATTCCCTACCATAGACAACTTCATCTTTATATCCTCTACTTCATGGTGCTGGTGCGGGTCTAGGGCCCCACCGTATTCACCGGGCCAGAGAGCTACATGCATTCCATGACAAAGGTATCTCTTTCAAGGTCAACTTCATCTCTATATCCTCTGCTTCATGGTGCTGGTGCGGGTCAAGGACCCCAATGAATTCATCGGGCCATAGAGCTACGTGCACTCCATGATAAAGGTATCTCTACCATATGTAGGAAGGCTAAAGGGGAAGATCTTCCTCCGAGCTGGGTGATGGATTATGGAGGCTGACTGATGTCGATCGGGTCTTGTATATATAAAGAGATAGCCTCCGAATTTCATTTGCGCGTAGGATTTCATTTCATGTAGGATTCCATATTTTTGTGATGGCAGCGCCGGTAGCGCCATCTCTTGACGAGGCGAGTGATTACTTCCTCTGGTTAGTTATGTTGGTTATATGTGATGCTTTCAAATGTTGTCGCCACACATAAACAACTATATCTTTATAAAAAAATCCTCTATTTCATATTGCTGGTGTGGGTCAAGCGCCCCATTGACTTCACTTTCCCTAAAAGCTATGTGCACTTCATAATAAAGGTATCCCTACCATAGACAATTTCATATTTACTTAAACAACACTACTTTCAACACACTTTCAATCTATTCTCTATTATCCAAACACAATAATTAAACTTAATATACGCCACACTTGTTATAGAAAAAAAACTAAATTATTACGTTTTTTGTTCAGTCGAACAATTTAGATTGGTTCCCGCGCTTACGAGCCCTATCGTTGATGGGCGGCGGCGAAGGCGAAGGCGGAGAGCTTGAGCTCAGAAACCTTCAGGCTCAGCTCGAGCGAGCGCAGCGAGCAGTCGCCACGCTCACCGACATGCTCACCGAGCTACGGGACCAGGTATGAAGACAACCATCATTATCAGCCTATTAATGTCCCCACTGCTGGGGCACAGGCCCTTACTACCACGCCCAGTGTGGATTGTTGGGTGCTAACGACTGCAGATAAAACGGCTTAACCTGCCTTCCGAAACACGGAGGAGTGAGAGATAGTAAATTTTTTGGTCATTCATTTTATAACCGGCTATTTTGAAAGTTGAAAGTTGCTTACATTCACGATGGTACACCGAACGCGCTAACTAAACATGCTTCTGTACACTCTACATACCAGCCACTTTACCAACTAACTCCATTAGTATTACTATTTGATGTAATATTTGACATTTCTAACCTATTTCAGCGGTTCGTCGTACTTAATACCCCTTATTAATAAACGAAGACTACGCATGGATTAGTTACTCCATCTTTTGTCTCTGTCTATTGAATGACAAATGGCATTTGAGTGACATGAACAAAACACGGCGTAACTAGTCTCAGCTTATTCCTTGTTTATTTATAACGAGGAATAAGTTTTGAAGCTAAAATATGATTGTCGTGTTAAGAATATAAGAAAGGTAGCTAGTTTCGATGAATTATTTTACAATAAAAATGGGTTGCAATTATTTCATTAATTTACATTACGAAGAAAATAACGTGGTAGCCCTCATGAATAAACAATATCAGCAACAAATAAAAACAAAAAAAACTGACTATTGCTTTTACGTTTTTACAACTTAACCATTAGACAGATCGCAGAATACAGAAAGGGATTAGAAGGGTGCTTATAAACCGTTTGTACAGGAACCGAAGTCGCCGGCTCGCCCCTCCTACACTTCCACCTAATAGATAATAGCCAATAGAACAACGCGATATGAAACAATCGAACCACTCAGCGCTCACACGAGAAGCCACGACACGATCAGAACCAAATTTTGGTTAAGTTTTGAGCTATAGCTATATGATCTCACACAACAGTTCCAGACCGATACTCAGTGTCAGCTTCTTCGCCTTTAGGTAAGTCTGACCACTGTCTGGTGAAATCTGTGTCTGTCTACTCTCCGTCCGATTGCAGCCCTAGGGGCACCCGGAGAATGTGGCGATACAAGTCAGCTGATTGGGATGGAATGCGGTCGTTTTTAGCGGCGACCCATCAATTTGCGCGGATGCCGTGACTGACGTACTCACACTGGGTATGGAGTACTTTATCCCGTACTCGGATTTACCTCTGTCCGGCAAAGCGCCCCTGGTTTGGACCTCAGTGTGCTCGTGCGGAAGCGCAAAAACATGAGGCTTATCTGGCCTGGGCCAATGCTCGACACCGCAAAGCAAATAATATACACCAAAAATAACAAGCGTATAACAGGGCTGCCAAGTCCTGCAAGAAGGTGTTACAGAAGGCTCGCTTTGACCATATTAGCCGGATTGGGAACAAACTTGCTTCGTATCCGACAGGTAATAAAGCGTTTTGGTCCCTGGCAAAATCGGTCGAGGCGAACTTCTGCCGTCCCTCACTGCCTCCACTGCAGAAGCCTGATGGGACTCTGGCTCACACTGCTGAAGAGAAAGCAAATCTTTTTGTCTCTCAATTCGCGGAAGCCTCGAGTCTTGATGCTGGTAGCGCAGTACCTCCAGTATTTGGCTGCTCGACAGCAATGTCGAATATTCGCATTCGCCAAGCGGAGGTGCGTAAATTCCTACGCAATCTCGACGAGAACAAAGCCAGTGGCCCTGATGGTATTCCTGCAATAGTTCTGAAGACCTGTGCACCTGAATTGTCTCCTGTTCTGACACGCCTCTTCCGGCTCTCCTTGGAAACTGGACAAGTGCCTTAATCCTGGAAGCTTGCTAACGAGCAACCGGTGCCCAAAAAAGGTAGTCATGCCGACCCTGCGAACTACAGACCAATATCAGTCACTTCATTACTCTGTAAGAGCATGGAACGTGTTCTGAACCACAAGATCCTAGCGTTCCTAAAAGCGAATAACCTCCTCAGTGATCGACAATACGGATTTCGCCGAAATCGGTCCACCGGGGATCTTTTAGTGTACGCTACTCACATTTAGAGTGAAGCCATTGAGAAGCACGGAGAAGCGTTGGCCGTGTCTCTCGATATCTCGAAGGCTTTCGACATGGTTTGGCATGATGGCCTTATAAGCAAGCTTCCTTCATACGGCTTGCCCACTGCACTATGCGCCTGGATATCGGACTTCCTGCGTGATCGGTCTATAAGAGTAGTTATAGATGGCTGCCAATCACATCGAAAGGCTGTTAATGCCGGAGTTCCGCAGGGGTCGGTACTCTCTGCAACTCTTTTTTTGCTTCATATCAACGATCTGCTTAAACCCGGTACCTTTGGGTATGCAGACGATAGCACAGTCGTAGAGAGCTATATATCGAATGCGCGTGCCAGTGCGGCCGAAGTTCAATCACTCCCGAGAAGCCATGGTCAACCGCTTAAACTTGTCCCTTCAGGCAGTCTCCGATTGGGGCGATGCCAATCTGGTCAAGTTTAATGCTTCTAAGACTCAGGCGTGTCTGTTCTCCGCTAAAAAGAGGGCGTTTCAACTGGCCCCTTCTTTCCGAGGTGTAACCGTGCCGGTAACCGAACAGCTCGAGATTCTAGGTATAACTCTCACCTCATCTCTCAACTTCGGTACCTACATTGAGTCCAGAGAAATTCAGACAGGCTGAAATCGCTGAATTTCCATAGCGGATATAATATTTTCAAAATAGATGTCTAAAGCTGAACTAGTGATTCACCAAAGAAAGAAAATTAAAGTATTTTTCTTTAAAGCAGTACATTAAATGATTACATTCAATGTAGAAAAAATACATTGTTGAATATAACCCCATTTATATTATTACCCCTAACATGTGAAAAGCAAATTAAAAAAGTTGCCATTTCTGCACTTTGCAGAAAGGTTGCTTTGATTACAAAGTCAGTTTATTAACGGTAGTATAACACTAAGGCATAATATACACATATTATAAAATAAATTCAATATTTTACCCTCTCATTTTTATCTATACTTTGAGTAATTAGGTGGGCCCATAAGTAGTATTAGCCCTGGGTCCCCTAAACTCACGGTCCGGCTCTGACCGGAACAGATACTCACCTTGTACCAAGCGCAAGTTCGCTCGTGCATAGAGTACTGTTCGCACCTTTGGGATGGTTCTGCAAAATATCAGCTGGAGTCTCTGGAGTGCATTGAGAGGCGTGTAAAGAAGCTCATAGGTGACGACAAATTATTCGAGAGTAGACTCCAAAGTCTTGAACACAGACGAAAAGTTGCCTCTTTATCGGTTTTTTACCGGTTACATTTCGGTGAGTGTGCCTCGGAGTTACACAACTTAATTCCACCTTCACCTTTTTACCACAGAACCACCACAGAGACGGCAAAACGCCACAGATATACCGTACAGGTCCCTCAAACTCGTACTAAACGGTTTGCTTCCACCTATATCGTCAGAACAGCTGGGTTGTGGAACTCTTTGCCGAAATCTCTGTTTTCAGTCACCTACAATCTGGGGCTCTTCAAGTCGCGAGTGAATCGGTTTCTTCTAGGCAAGCGCGTACCACCTTAGGCTGCTACGTCGTTCTTAATCAGTCGTGTGGCTGTCAAGCGTAAGCCTATTTAATGTAAAAAACAAAAAAAAAAGTGGCGTGCCTGCCCCGCCCACAAGGCCCTTCTAACTCCTTTTCTGTGTTCTGTCAGTATTTGCCTGACTTCAATAAGTCATTATTCGTATTCTACTTCACACATCTGAAATACCAATTCCTCTTCTAGATGACTGAACAAAGAAAGCAGAAACAACGCATCGGATTACTAAACTCCACCTCTGCGTACCTCCAGAACCTGCAAATGAACCTCCCGCCGTAAGCAACGCTGGGACGCGACACTATAGCTGTGACTTGTACTACTCACTCATTCACTCGTCTACGTATCACTCACTCATTCATGCAAACGAGACAGCACTACAAACAGATTAAATGTTAACAAACACGTGCATAGTGTACTTTATGCCCGTCAGGTTATACAAAACTGTCCAGTTCATTGATATAAATTTTGTATTAAAATAAGTGAAAATTAAGTTCAAAATTGAGTAATTCTTTTGCAACAGGATGGGCTGTTGTCTCTAGGTTTCTGTATAACATTGAAACACAATACTCACTTTAATTGAAATGTTGTTTAATCATAGATAGAAAATAGAATCGCATTTTATCAACATTCATGCTTTTGCATTTATAAATTATTAAATAAAAAAATAAGACTATATATTTTGTAAATACGTACGTACACCAAATGAGTGATTCAAATAATTTCAACGTTCAATAAACGAAATTGTTTGTGAAGTTCAGGGTACAGTCGTTATCTTTATAAATTCAATTATAAAATTATATATATCACAAAACATTTATGTATTGAAGTTATTTTATGTTTAGTCAACTTTCATATTATTATTTTATTTATAACACTTTAACGAACTATCGTGGATTAATGCAAGCTTTTTTTTCCACCATTTCTATCAACGCACTTTACAAATAGATAAATACAAGTCCTCTATATAAATATTAATTTTGTAAACAAAAAAAATATAAAGCGAATGACTGTACCTTTTGCTATAGTAGTTTGCTATATAATACAGACACTGTTACTTTTTCTTTCAAGTAACATAAATGTTACTTCATCGCATCGCACAATAGTTTAATATTATAATATTTTACATAATCACAATGACAAAGGTCGTATTAATTCGATCGACAAACATTTTTGAAATAAGTGACGACTTTGACGAAATTTTGAAATCATAATATATTAAACATATAAATATATCATCAGCAGATATGGTGAAGCTCAATCAGTACTTACAAATGTTGATTTAAGGAAGCAATCAAAGAAAATCAACGTAATTCTTGTTATATAATAATTACGGAACAATATATTGTTATGAAAATTGGAAATTTAGATTTCCTACATATCTGTGCATGATATTCGAATTTTAGCTACCTTGTGATTAGCCATGGATTTGAGATATAGAACTATATAGATTTATGAATATTTATATTATAATATATATTCCCGCTAGTTTCCTCGTAGAAACTGATGTTGTATATTTTTAAAATGTGACATTATGAAGAAATATTCATGTAAGTAAGTAGATAGAATCGAAGACTTTTCATTAGTAACTTAAGACGATTTGTTTTTACATAATTTAGATTCATAAATCAGTGGGTTACGAGTGAATAGTCTTAATTTTTGCATATTATCTTAAAATAAAATTTTGTTATGAATAATTCAGAACAAATGTAGGTTTGATTTTGTACCAGTCTAAAACTGGTTTTTATTAAGATGGTGTTACAAAGTCGACACGCTGGAGCAGATTTCCTTTTATATTTTATTAAGTAGAAGTGCTTTTTCTTCAAATCTTTCTTCTTATAAATCTCCATTCCAACTGATCTGTATTTTGAATTTTTTCATATATTATCTGCATTTTTAACAATTCTATAGAAATAGCTCCTGTCATTAGAAGCAATATTTTAAAGTGCAATTTGAGTAGTGCAAAACTGTGATTTAAGAAATGAGAATTTTATTTTACTTATACAATTTGAAAAGTATCTATTTTAGAGATCTGATTTTTTCGGTCGATCATTGTGAAGTTATCTATTGCGGATTGTGTTATTTTCGTTATCTACCTTTTATTAGGTTACGCGGGCAAAGTTGTTGAGTGATTCCTACATACCAGAGAATAAAAAAGTTGTTCAATTACGCAACTTTCAACTTAAAACTGTTGCAGCAGGGATTATATTAGGTTAAGTTAATTTAGAATGTTGCGTGATCATTGACGGTATAATGAGGTATTTGACTGTTGGCAACACAAAATGATGATACGTTAAAAACTTTAAAATATTTACTTTTAAACTGCCACTGTCTGTTTCATTCTAAAACACTACTACTTAAATTGAAGTGTGACGTCACATGCTAGTAGTTCTTTCTTTATCTAATCTGGAAATTCTAATTTCTCTCATAATTTTATCATATCTCATAATTTTCTTTGAACAATTACAACGGTTATCATGTTGTTATTTCCAATGTTTATTTGAATGAATTAAAAAAAATACAAGTCAAATACCTAGTTTAATATGATAGGTAGGTTTTAAAATGCGTTTGTACCAGTGCGACAACGATATAATTTACAGAAGGGATGCAATATTTAGTAGAATGTCACTGTCACTTACCTAAAGAAACAATTTCATTTAAAATTGAACCTTATTAACGAACCAACACGTTCTCAAATGGATATTAGCTTCAAGTTCATGTTCGATTGAATAATATTGACACGCATCATATCTTTGTTTTAGAATATAGATATTTGAATAAGGTTTTATCTTCGAATAATTCGTACGATTACGCTTGTGCCATTCACACACAATACCGTTAATTTATCTGATAGATAAATAGTAATAAATGAGATACAATGTATTTTAACAAGTAAATAAATATATACATAATGTCATAACATGCCAAATATTAGTGGAATTTAAACGAACGTTGTTTTGGTGTTTTATTTTGTACTTAAAATCTTGTCTCTCTTAATCTTAATCATAATAATAATTGTTTGTTACCGTTAATTATTATTAATTGTAAACGACCAAAACCTCACGCCGACTACATTCCTAATGCAGTTAGAATTTTGTCCAATTCAATCGAATATTAAAAAAAATCAAACGTTACCCTATTGTGTATACATATACAGTTTTATTTTTAATAACTATTTTAAAACAATCGTTAAAATACATTCTATACTATGTTTAGCAAATTTTTCTTAAATGTTAGATTTTGGTAATATGTTTGTGGGGTACTTATGTTTTGTTATATAATTATTATGTTTGTTTAATTTGTGTTTTGTGACTTATTAACGGTCGATTGTTCATGTTTAATAAGCTTTAAGTGTTTGGGTGATTTTTATTAAAAAATAAACTGTCTGTCTTTTAATTATCGTGATAGATTTATATACATTGTATATACAGATAAATATCATTTTTTATGGATACAAACAAAGGTTTTTATTGATTTTTATTTATTTATTTCATGTAATTGACCAATAAAACTGTAAATTTCGTATGTCTTGAAGAGATCTATCTATATTTACAATAACTCTTGAATGTTATGGAGCTTTATATCGATTGTATTTATCATACGTATACATTCCTAGCATATTTTCATAATTATTGTTTAACAAATCTCTATTTTGGAATCTAAAATCCTATGGTGTAATTTTCTTGCATACGGACTTGGGACTTAAACGTGCACCTGTTATTTTTTAGTAAATGAGATATGTAGTTGATAATCGCATACATTTTTAATCCAGCATTATCTGTTCCTCGTATTTATAAGAAAATAAAGATAAGGTGCAATTGTTCGGGTCTTATCTTTGCACAGTGGCGTGCACTGAACTTATAGACGTGAAAGTGAAAATATACAAAGTTTAAAATTATTGCAAACTTTTCTCTGCGTCTGAACCTTTTCGGGTGAACGAAGTCTGTTTGTCTTTCTTTGTGGGTTCACGTTAATGGACCTGTGAGAGATTATATTTGCACCATAAAATATCCATTAATAGCTCCATAATTTAACTTTTATAATTAATAGGCTATTTGACAGTATGAAAATAAATTACCAATTTTGGCATGTGTATTTAACATGGAAACGGTTTAGTATTCGGACAAAAAAGTAGTAGATAATATAACTAAAAATCATGAAAGAGAAAAGCATTTTTTGGTCTTTTTTCACGTGACCGAAAACGATTAGGCGATCAAAAGAATTATACATTTTCACTAACACTATTGAATAACGTATGAACGCTTTTCAAAAACTTGTCAAATATGGCCTGTTTAAATGCAATTGTGATAACAAAGTTCGGAGACAAGTCCCAAGTCCAATGTTTCATTCTTGTTAGAAATAGGCATAGCGGATATTACGACGGTATAATGTCTTGTGATTCGTAACTCGGACAACCGCAATAATGTTTTGTTTTAATGAAAAATAAACATATGGCACAAACACTTTGTTTCATTTTCGACCTTATATCTAAGTTGTTAGGGTATTTTTTCGTTGGTTGTTCATACAGATGCGTAATGTCATCTGTAGTATATATTTTTTTTATAGATAGGTCCGACAAATGACTCCACCCCACCTGATGTTAAGTGAAGGTGAAGTCCAGACGTGAAGATAGCTAAAACAGCAGTTTTACCTGCCACATCAGCCATCCTCACCCTGCCGGCCTGCATGTTGCCTCTTCACGCCTCTTTTAAAGGATCCCAGGTTGTAAGAGGGAGGGAACACGTGAGCGGGCAGAGCATTCCATTTACGGATAGTGCGACAAAGAAATGAGTCAGCAAATTTCTTTGTACGCGTTGGAATTGTGGTCACAGTCAGACGGTGACAACGTAGGCCAGCGCGCGTGGTCCTCTGAAGGAAAGGAGAAGGTGGGATAAGAGAGAATAACTTCTCAGAACACTCGCCGTGGTACAGACGATAGAACGCGCTTAGTGACGCCACGTCACGGCGTAATTGAAGAGGCTCGAGGTGTTTAGTCACCTCCTCATCGCCTATGATGCGGATCGCGCGTCGCTGTAACCTATCCAAAGCATCGAGCAAGTACTTGGCGGAGCCATCCCAGAGGTGCGAGCAATATTCCACGCAGGACCGCACTTGCGTTTTGTACAACAAGCACAGTTGATCGGATATATAATGTTATATTGTGTATAGTTAGTAATAAAATATGATTTCACGTAAAGTGACTACAAATAGCACTATCTTTGTTATCAACCATATAGGAATGGGGGTTTTTCTGTTCGATAAGTGATAATTACTATCATTTTTTCTGTTCCGCGGTAATTATCATAAAAAATCTAAAAGCGTAACTAACAAAGAAGTACCTTTCGATATATAACATTAATGAGTATTCATAAGGCTCAATTTATCATTCTTCCATTGATCCTAAGTCTCGTAAAACCCTCCGAGATGGCTGCGTTTGTGACAGACGCAGTCATGACTACAGTCCCGTCCCGTCGAACGGAGGAGCATCTTCAGATAATAATCAACTATCCAAAGACTGGCCAATTTTTTATTTGACGAATGAAGAACTGGGGATATTTTAACTTAGAACAAAATTAATAATATAATAAAGAACTTCTTTATTACTCATGATCTGAATTACTGGAGGAGCCCAGAATGTTAGCTAGCATTCGATCTGCAATCGCGGAAGACTTGCTTGTTTGTTTCGCAATGGCCGATCATAGGATGGGTGACAAAAAATGTTTTATCTCGAGCTCCTCTGTGCTTCGGAAGACACGTTAAGCCGGCTGCTTCCTTTAGTACCCACCTATCTCTAGCCTTTATAACGCTCGTGTGCAATCAGTAACCTAATCGCGCGATCAAAATGTAATGGTGGCTAGTGACATTGCGCCCCCAGAGAACGCAGCGCCCCTTTCTTCCCAGACATTTCCCCCACTTCAATTTTTTTTATACCCATTCGCCTTCGGTGGCAACTGCTGCGGGGGTAAAAGAGCTGGGTCCGTGTTCAACGCTCACCCTGCACTATGTGTAAAGCCGCCGCTGCCAATCAGTATTAGGCCCGCGTAGTGAGTAAGGTGTCAGATGCTGGCTTATCAATTCCGGGACATTTTCACCCCCCCCCCCCCCCTGAAAAAATTAAGTATCAAATCAAACCCCCCCATCACCCCCCGAATTAAAACATCAAACAGGCCGGCGGTGTCATTCGTTATTAGTTTATTTTGTTACGAAACTAGCACATTATCGGAATCCGGGACATTATGGTCTCATTACTGGACACGCAAAGTTCCGGTACAAGACGCAAAATTCCGGGACAATCCTGGATTTCCTGGCCATCTGCTTAACCCATCAATAGGGATGGCTTGTGGCTTATCTTTACATGAACTTAATTAAATCGTCTTATCGCGTATTTTACGTTTTGGTAAAGGGAAAAACGTATATAATGTTGATTCCGATAGTGATATTATCATTTTTATCGATAACGATAGTCGCCACATTGAGTGAGTGCGGTGCAACAAGCGGTCATGTGTCGTTATACTGTGTCAATATTTACGTTTACGTACCTGCGTAAGTATTTGTATAAAATTAGTGATTATTCAAAAGTTTATTAAGTACTCGACTTTGGCTTTTAGGGTTTCTGGTTTCTATTAGCGTGACAAAGGAGCATCTCTTTGCATGACCTTTGCTATCCTGCTATAAAAGTAAATTAATAATGAAAATGATGTAAAACACAGTTAAGAATGCCCCCAATTCTCCATCTTCTGCTACAGTGCGGAACCCGGAACCTCACGTTTGCATATTTTTTTGCATACATAATTGTTTATTTGGCGCTTTCCTCACTTCGTTTCTGTAAGCCTATTCGCTTACTGCTTTTAACAAAAGGAAGTGACAATCACTGAGCTATTTAGTGATCCACTACTACTTTATTATAACGCCACTACGATACTTGTTCTGAAAAGCATCGCTGGATATGCATTTTTCTCTTTACTAACACACAAAAATATTAAAGAAGTTTGCGAGTAGGCTGGCTGTACCTGTAAATCTGTACCCCTAGCATGAACCATTATCGAATTCGAATAGTTTGCAAACCGAAATGTTAATGTCAAATTTTGTATGGAAACTTGAACAGCAGCGGCACAAAGTACGTAACGAGAACTAAAAATCAGTACACATTTGACAATGACATTTGGGACTCGCAAACGTTACGAATTCGATTTTGGTTCGTGCTCAGGGTACTGTACAGATTCTTTACCAAGTACTATTTCATGACTGGCTCGGTTTCTGTGCGGTATCGTTTCGTTTTATTTGCTTCGGTGTTCGTCATTTATTAAAGAGTGACGTCACGTCGGGCAGGCGAGTCGAATGGTCCGGCAGCACATGCATGTGTGAATGCTCTCGGTAAAAAATCTGTGCCCAAACTCTAGAAGGAATCTCTTATTCAATTACAAGCACTCAGTAAAGAATTTGTACCGCAGTTTATGATGATAGTTATTTTGTAGTTCTTGCTCAATTCTCTACCTATTATAGAAAAAATGTACTATTGAACAAAGAATATAGACATTTTAATAAATACCAGTAAGCTGCTGGTTCTTTCGACGTATCCTGTATGACTTTAAGACAGGATAAACGCAAGCGGTCTGGCCTTATCGTCTGCGACTAATCCCTGTTATTTATTTACGATAAAAAAGCACTAGGTATTTTCTTATATTTGTCATCGCTTAGGTGGTACCAATTTATATATGATTGATAAACATAATATACTCATATATATCATTACCTATCAAAATTTCATTCATTTATCACTTCACACCATATCTGCAGCGAGGTTGATCGTTTGTATGGTTGACATCTAAAAGCCAAACTTGCCGCTCAACTAGTCCAGACATTTGAATTGGAAAGCCAGACATACCTTCTATTAGTATCTACCCGCCCATTTCGCACGCATGCAGTATATGTACAATGATACAACCTTCTACTGACAAATTGACAATAACGAACACAAGAAAAAGGAATTATCCAACAAGCAGCATAGGTATTCTGCAAAATGCAATCTTACTTACGATCTATTTTTTTCGGCTTTCTAACAAATGACGAATATCTAAAGGCGATCACAGACGGTGAAGATGATATAATATTTTATCTTAAGATTTCATAAGATAAAATATTATAGCATACCAAACTATCACACACTGTTAAGATCCGATATATTTTAAAATCTTTTCACTCTCTTGGAATCCGTCCTAGACCTTTAAACAGGATTATCAAAAATGAGCAATACAGATTTGCTATTAGACTTATTGGACAGTTCATCAGACCATGATTCGGACCTGGAATTTTATAACAAAATTGCTTTAGCTCATTCGAAATCTAGAACCATTTGCATAGAAGATCACATAAAATTCAGAAAAGAACGCGGGGAATTTAATCTTTACAAAGATCTTTTAACGAAAAAATTTCAAATGTATTTAAGGGAAAAAATCCCCACCCCGCAGTCCGCACCGAGTACAGGAACAACCCTGTATACACATCTTTTCGTATTCAAAATATATATTTCGATTGTTAAGATAGTATCTTATGATATGCTCGTATGCCCCCTATAACATAAAAAAAAAGATGCGAAATATATATTTCCGTATCGCTTAGCATCTCAAGTTTCTAAAAATACATCTTATCTTCGAAGTGTGTGATGGCCCATTGCCCTCATAAATTTGTTTCTGTTGTTGTTAAGCTATTATAACCCATACAATTAAATACGGACTGGGCACAAATTTTGGGCTTACAATATATTTTTTAATTTCTTGTAACTTCCAGTATGCCAAGCAGTATGCTTGGCGGCACCGCAAACCGATGCTACGACAGAGAACTCTGTTCGTATCATTGGAGGAAACCCTACTACCATTGAAAGATACCCATACGCAGTCCAGGTAAGTTACATAGTAAAAACACTACGCATATATTAGTCTAAACACATTGATTCCTACTATAGGTAGTATTTTGTAATAAGTAGAATACCTTGTACCTATTTAATCAAACCAGACAGCACGTGAGATTTGTTAGAACGTCAATTAAGAGAAGACACGTTAATATATTTTAGGACGGTGATTCTAGTTTCCGGCAATGTTGCAGCAATTCCTTGTATTATATATTATATGACTCGCTTGGACTTGGATAGTAAAAATATTTATAAACGTTACTCGCAGCCTGCCGCCCCAGGCCATAGCCCTTTAGGGCATTTTTTATTACGCAGACAAAGCCTCTATTTACTGACGTTGGCGCCCTTAAGGGGCACACCAATCTTCTTAAAAGTCTTCACCGCGTCTCCGCACTCAACAGTCGGTCCAGTCTGGGCTCGAGGGCAGGGATTACTGGGGGTATTTCTGTGTCTTGCAGACGTGCGCAGGACTGCTCGCGCTAGGAGCTAAGTGCGCGGTCTCTTGCCCACTGCACCGCTCCCCGTCCGCTGCGAAGGTGTTGCCTAGGTTTTCTCCTCGCAGGCCCTTCCGCGGCCCTCTCATGTAGGACAGAACTACAAGAGAGGGCTGCCGTCACGGAGTCTGTCAGTGACTGGCATAGCTAATGCCATGCCGGGCAGCGAGGGATTCTCTCAAGTTGGAGGTTATTGGGCGGGCGCGGCCAGGGCGCGCCTTCGCCTTCCCCTACCCCTATCCTTCTGCGTTCCTTTTGGCCCCATGCTAAATACGCCCCTGGCTGGCGGCATTGTTTTTCTTATGCTCTTTATCCAGAACGGAAGTTACTTGTATATAAATTATTTGTAGTTGTAATATATTTGTAAACGTTGCCAGGTGAACCAGCATAACCAGCTTATCTGCGGGGGTACGCTAGTGAGTCAGCGATGCGTCCTGTCCGCGGCGCACTGCTTCGTGAGCAGGTATTCATCATCATCGGCCTATTAATGTCCCCATTGCTGGGGCACGCGCCTTCCCTATGAATGGGATAAGGAGACTTCGCCATGACCCACCACGCGGGCCCAGTGCGGATTGGTGGGTGCTAACGACTGCAGATGCAACCGGGGCCAACGGCTTAATAAGCTTACCGAAACACGGAGGAACTATCCAAAGACCGACCACTGCGAAACTTGGTTAACTTCAACGATCGCAGCCAAAAGCGCCAACAACTTGCGCCATCCATAATTGATTTCTCACGCTCCGCGCATAGACTAGGATAAGGGTCCTATGGGGACTCTAAGCTCCGTATTACAGAATGACAACTAAGTTTTGATCTTTACTTGAGCACAATAAGAAAGGGATGTCGCTCTGTATAGCACATAGCGCCGTCCCTTTCTAACTGTGCTCAAGTAAAGATCGACACTTAGTTGTCATTGTGTAATACGGGCTTAAATGACGTGGACTGTAAACATAGGTGAAAAATGGTATATTGTTAACTAAAACTGATTAACATTGATGAGGTGCTCTTTACAATTTCTGAATGCGGTTGGGCCCCGTGCGACGCTGTGCGTGGAGCGTAAGAAAGTGTCCGCCACCGTGGCCGCTCGTTCCCTTGGTCGTGGTCCCGCCTCCCGTGCGTAAGCTTAGATTAAAACAAAAAGGGTAGATACGGCACTAACCTCACAAAAGTGATCCGCATAAATTGTGGCCCAAGGCCACAATCGCTTTAGTCACAACTTGACATGCAAATGACGTACATGTGAACGTCAAAAAGAAATATTGCTAAAATTTTGCGATTATATGATAAAACAATGCCTAAGTGTTGTTTTAAAAAGTGCTCAAATTGCTCAAGTACTAAAAATAAAACCGACGGCATCACTTTTCATTCGTAAGTACTATAAAATATATTTTTTCATAAAAATGCTGTTTGTTTTGAATCTTATTCGGTATTTGTTATTAATAAAAAGACAACAACACTTGTAAACGTTTGTATGAGGGAGAAAAAGCATAAGCGCGAATACTTGCCATTGTAATGTCAGGCGAGACTAAAAATTGGGTAGAGTCAACAAAAAAAATATTTCGTAATTTTTTTTGGAATATTAATTTATGTAGGTAAGATATCGATATCGATTATGATATATGATATAAAAGATATCAAAAAGAACCATTTATAAAATAAATATAATTTAAATGTAAATATATTTTTTACGTTTATTTCAGACCGCCGTGGAAAAAAATTACAATAATTCTCCTTCGAGGTCTGATTCTCAAAATTCTCTAAACAGTATTTTCATCTCCGACTTGGAATCTATTCTGGATACCCCAAGAAAAGCTTTCTTGAAAAGAAAATTAAGGGATATGACAGTAAAAAAAGGAAGATTACTACATGAAAATAAGTATTTAAAGAATAAAAATTAAAAGATTCTTTATACACAGTCATCCCTTAACCTGTCAGTACCTTAAGACTTCTTTCGATTTAGAATGGTTCTATGTTTTGGAAACTAATACCAAAAGGATAGAGCGCGTGAAAGTTTAGGAGAGAAGGCTTGTAAAGTCACTTCTAAGTAAAAATTGTACCAAGACGTGACGTCATGGGAAATTTCATATCAACATGTCTCTGTAATGTTTTGATTATGTCAATAAGAAGTAAATACTTGTCCAATACTTTTATTAATCTACCTGGCCGACGAAGAAAAAAAGGTTTTGTCATCAACCCTATTGCCACACAGTAGGTAAGTACCTAGTAAGATTCTTACTTCTGTTATAAAGCCCAAGGCATAATTTATGTTTATTTTTATTTATCGATGATGATTATTGTTTTTGTTATTTAATTTTACCTTTATATTTTTTTTATTATTTAAATGAATAATTTAAAGTATGGTTTAGATTAGATTTATAAAACAAGCAATTCATGCTTAGAAGAGAAATATAATAAGTGTTTCGGATTAGATTCTTTTAAATACTATAGACGATGAACATTTCCAAATCCAGCAGTACAAGGTATCTTAAAAAATTGTTGACGGTATCGTATAAAAAACCTACTTTTAGTAGGTACGCTTGTTAACTGATTTTTTATCAGGTGATATAATAATGTGTGTCTGATTTTAACTTAATAATATTATTTTAGTTTTCTTTTTATTTATTGAACAATCAGTTTATGATTGGTATTGAAATATAATAAGTGTAAAGTTTCTAGTAAAAATTGTATCTCGATTAGATTCTTTTAAACTCTGAATACAATAAAAATGACCACATCCAGCAGTATAAGATACCTTAAAAAAATGTTGACGTTATCATGTAAAAAACCTACTTTTAGTAAACAGTTTCATTCCCTCAGCTTTTCAAAGTAGATTGAAAATTGCTCAATGTGGAATTTTTTTATTGAATTTTAATAAAAAACTTATATTTAATAAAAAATTCTTTTATTTTTTTCTCTGACGCTACTCTGTAGTGACGTCGAGTACTGGTCGCGTGATTGGTCGGTAGCGCAGTGACGCGGATCTTGCCGTCCCGTTCGCGCTTCCGTTGAAACTTATATTGCTGTTTCGTTCGTTCGATTGTATCTTTACAAACAGGTGGATGTGTGAGTGTTGCATATGTAGTAAAGTGGGATCAGTTTTTGTTTGATGCAAGTAAGAGCGTACCGTATCTACCCTTTTTGTTTTAATCTAAGTGCGTAAGACTGGTCGGCCACATGCTCCCCGAATTGAAGGCTGCTGAAGAAGGCTTCAAGATTTCTAAAGGGGACAGATGTTATTAAATGCCCTCCGAATGGTGCCTCGTTTGGTCTTCAGCTCAGCTACTCTGACGATTCCGTCATTCCCAGGGTAGACATTAACGATTCTTCCCAATCAACACAGAAGAGGTGGAAGAGTACCCGTGGCCCCGTGCGACGCTGCGCGTTGAGCGTAAGAAAGTGTCCGCCGCCGCGGCCGGTCGTCCCCTTAGTCGTGGTTCCCTCCCGCACGTGTATAGGTATAGGGTTCGTTAACTAGTGTATAGGGTCCGTTAACTAGTGTATAGGGTTCCGCGTTAAAAAGCTCAGTCAGTATTCGTTCACACGGCGGGAGGCGGCTTTTAATCGCGTCGTTTTCCGCGCAAAGGTAAATACTGTACCCCTAGCACGAACCAATATCGAATTCGTATCGTTTGCGAGTCCGAAATGTCATTATCAAATCTAGGGGTACAGTAGCCCTACCCTAGCACGAACCATTATCGAATTCGAATAGTTTGCAAACCGAAATGTCAATGTCAAATTTTGTATGGAAACTTGAACAGCAGCGGCACAACGTACGTAACGAGAACTAAAAATCAGTACACATATGACAATGACATTTGGGACTCGCAAACGATACGAATTCGATATTGGTTCGTGCTAGGGGTACTGTAAATGTGTTTATTATTAGCAAAAGCGCAACCTTGGCCCCCAGAATTACTGTCTTCGCTGTCAACTTCTTCAGAGTCTTAACTACAAACTGTAGTACAAGAGATAATAGAAACCCAGATTTTTTTATATTTGCGTGCATTGAGCATTTCATAAAAATATGAATATAGAAGAAAAAACCAAATGATACTTCTGAACGGCTTGTGAAACACAATCACCACGGAGATCCATATCCTTTTGCATTTCATTTCACGCTTTTCAATCGGCAATATATTATGCAGAGCGACTGCTGTAGGAAGGCCAAAGTGGAAGATCTTCCTCCGAGCTGGGTGGTGGTAGCTCGGGGGCCGCGGCCCGACTGGTCATGGTCGGGCATCGTATATATGAACTGTTGGCTACCGAATTTTACTTGCGCGATGTAGGCTTCCTTACGTTGTGAACGCAGCGCCGGTAGTGCCATCTCTTGAGGAGGCGTAAGATTGTTTCCTCTATGTTATTTATATTTGGGGCGTGTAGATGTCGCCGCCACACTGCTATAATTAACGCAAGCTGCAAGTTTGAAATAACAACGTGAAAAAACAATTTTGATCCATATCGTCCAATCTAAACCTTGTAATTTTTTTTGCTACCAGGGACATTCCTAGACCTACCGTTCGTCAGTACTCGGCGCGAGTTGGATCCGCTGCACTTAATTCTGGTTAGTTTTTTCTAAATTTATTCTTTAGCTTAAGCAAATGATGTTCATACAGTGATATAAGTCATCACCATAATCAACATACATTATGATAGGTAAGTATTAGAGAATAATCTTTAAATTATAACAACTAATACCTAGGTATAGTTAAGAATAATTTAAGTAACGTTGTTACAGTTACTTAAGTCGAGTGTAATATTTTTGTTAGGTACTGTAACCCTTAGTCGAACCAATATCGAATTCGTATCGTTTCCGAATCCGAAATTTCATTGTCAAATGTGTACTGATTTTTAGTTCTCGTTACGGACTTTGTAGCGCTGCTGTTCAAGTTCCCATACAAAATTTGACATTGACATTTCGCACTCGCAAACTATTCAAATTCGATAATGGTTCGTGCTTAGGGTACTGTAATTTTGTTGTTAGTGACTTGTGTACTGTTTTTTGGTAAACTATCTGTCATACTTAATAGTTGTGCCAATTTATCGGATTCCCTTGGCGTAAATGTTGGCGAGAGGGGGCGATGGTTAGGTGTTTCGTAACGGCTCATTTTTGATGATACTTCTCGCGTGATTGTTGAGGGAGAACGCTCATTTGCGCATTATTAACAGTTTCAGTCAATTCGGTTGAAATCAAATAAACTTCTTCGTCACTAGAATAGCTGCGTTTTACTTACCACTAAAACGCATGTTGTGTCCGGAGACTTATTCGGGGTCATTTAAACATAATTTTGAGTCTAGCATCTTGCGTTTTCGGTCATTCATCTCCATAGACAAGTAGGCTGAACATAACTCCTTTGCTCTATGAACGGTGGGTCACGTGACGATGACGTAATTTTCCCGCCACTCTCGTTTACCAGGTCGAGCTTTGCAGAAATTTGCACTCATTGTGACCTCAAAATTCTAAAATTCTAAAATCAAAGACACCAGGCAGCACTAAAAGTGATGACCCCGAATAAGTCTCCGGACACAACATGCGTTTTAGTGGTAAGTAAAACGCAGCTATTGTGTCCTACGGCCTTATTCGGGGTCATTTAAACATAATTTTGAGGCATTGTTTGTTATCGCCTGGTGAACCAGGACGCCAATGTGTTGTGTTAAAAGGAGTCATGCTATGAAAGTTAACTATATTTCTTTAATATCAACCAGCTAAATCAAATTTTATTTTAATCTCACTAAAACATATCTTCATAATGTACCTTCTTTCCATATTTTTATGAAATTCATTGTTTACCTAAAGGCTGAAAGAGATGAACTAAAGAATTCCCTTGTGGACGTAAAATTTCCTTTCTGTAATGATTTTTAAAAGTATTACCCGACCTCCAGTTTGCTCTGGCCATTATGTCTTCAAGCGGGTCATTGTCTAACCAACTACTAGACGCGACAGCAGAACGAAAACTACCTGGAGTTGCATCTATTCCAGCTTCTTTTAAAACCGTTTTAATCCAACCAGCAATAATTGTTCTTGTAGCTGGTTTCGCTTTTCCTGTGACTGTGACAAATAAACGATCACTGGAACAAAGTAACCTGCGAGCCGAACCTAGGTCAACCAGCTTTTTAAGCCAACGTATTGGATCTAAAACAGCACTTTCAGAATTTCTTAACAATCTCCATCCCGATTGGATATGAGTTGCAGAATCAGTCTTAGAACCAAAATGAGACCAAAACACTATAGAATCCTCTTCAATTATAATTCTATCTGTAGCGACGCTCAACAGTGTCAAGTCATGCACCCTACGTCCCGAGCATAGTAATAAAATAACCGCACTTATTCGAGATACTTCATATAAGGTGGGATTTTCAAGAGTTCGTTTATCTAACCACACCACCAATGAGTTAGGGTCCCAAATCGGCCCTGGATGACTTTTTGGCTTAAGTAAAGAAATAGATTTAAGCATTTGTTTAACAAGTTGGTTTGAACTCAATCGAACTTCACTATTTGCATTGCAAAGAGTAGATACTACCGATTTATGTAACAAAATAGTCCGATAAGACAAACCTTCTTTCAGATGTAAATCAGCTAAAAATCTAGCTAAATCACTACCCGTTGGATCTGAAAAATTTACACCATGCTCTGAACACCACTTTAACCACCTCAACCACGCTGGTTTATAGGTATTAATAGTGGAGGATCTCCAGCTACCCTGAAGAAGACGTTTTTGCTCCTCTGACCAATCACCTAACGATTGAGACCACCCCCACATCTCCAAACCTCCAGAACCAAATCCCCTACCCGTGGTGGAGGTAGACCCGACGCCGTGTCTATTAAAACTCTCTCCAGTCGGTGAATTGTGAAGGGTGGTGCGATTGCCCGCGCCTTCAAGTCTGCCCTCCAGAACGCCTGTTTCCATCTGGGTGCCACTATCAGATATATGCCTTGTGCATAATTCAGATGCATAAGAACTTGGGGCATTAAGCTCGGTGGAGGAAACACCCACGCCAGCTTGAAATCCCACTGAATCGCGAACGCATTGTGCCTCCAAGCTTGGCGATCTTTTTGATCCAATGTCACATATTGAGGCACCACGTGTGCCGTGATGGACGCAAATAGATCGACTTGTGGAACCCCCCACTTCGCAAATACTACCTTCGTTCCTTCTGAAAGCAGGTGCCATTCCGATATCATCGACCTTTGACGTGATAGACTGTCCGACACGTTGTTGTAACGACCTGGAATATGATAGGGGCTTATGTGAATGTCGTGTTTTTGTAACACATGAAATATCTTGAAAACAAGTCCTAAAAGAATTTTGGACTTGTTCCCGCCTTCGTTTCTGAGGTAAGCCACAACAGCTTTGTTGTCGCATTGAATCAAAAGTGAGGTACGATTCAGAGAGGGAGCGAATTCTGTAAGACATTTGAAAATGGCCAGCATTTCTTTGTGATTCGAATGATAACGCTCTTCTTCTTCTGACCAGGTTCCTCTCAGGTGAATCCCATTCAGCTCCGCACCCCAACCGGTATCTGCCGCATCTGTAACCAAAAAACTCTTTGCTAACGGTGGGTGAAGTCTGGCTCTTTCCACACAATGCTCCTTCCACCACTGCATTTCTTCCAAAACCTGTGTGGGCAAGGGGTAAGTACCCTGAACCGGTAGTTTCAACAGACAATTGCTGTGAGCCAAGAGATGACGAAAATTTAATCGACCCGTTGGTACAACCAGTCGTGCGAAATTCAAAACGCCGATGATGCTTTGAACCTCCCGCAGTGATGCCTTCTTCCGCTGTAGAAATCCCGATAGCATCCTTCGTAGACTCGTAATCTTGTTCTCTGGCAAGAACTTGCGGTTGTTCCAGGGATCCCAAATCAAACCTAGATATTCTATAATCTTTCTTGGCTCTAAAATGGATTTTTCTTTGTTGACCTGCCAACCCAATTGTTCTAGAATCTGTATTACGATATTCCTGTGCTTTATCAGCACGTCCCGGTCCTGAAACACAAGTAAATAATCGTCCAGAAAAACAACTACTCGAATCCCTAGTTCCCTGAACACCTCTGCTGTCCAATTTGTCAGCGAAGCGAAAACTTTTGGAGCTGTCGCCAGACCAAATGGTAAACACGTCATTTGCAGGAGCTGGCCTCGATAAATGAGGCGTAAGTAACATCGATGTGCTGGCGCAATATTCACGTGATGATAAGCTTGTTGGAGGTCGATTTTGATCATCCAATCTCCCGTCTGCAAAAACCCCGGTATACGATTTACCGAAATCAAACGAAATTTGGTTATTTTTAGGTAATTGTTCAACGCTTTTAGGTTGAATATAGGTCGCAAGGTACCGTCGTTTTTCGGAATTAGAAAATAATTTGAGATGAAGCTTGGAGTCCAGGGAGCATACTCTAGAATTTTGCGATTTATTAAATTTTGGATCACCACATCCATCTCTGGAGATGGACGTGTGATGTTGCATCTCTGCTTGCTGTTTGGAAACACCAGGGGCGGTGGTTTCCGGAAAGGGAGTCGATAACCTTTTATAATTTTTAGTAAGGTGGGCGTTGCCCCCCTTTGCTCCCACTCCGTTATATAATTTTGTAAACAACCCCCCTGGAATAAACTGTTCGAGTCAGTATTGTTTATGTTGCTTGCCAGGGATCTTGCCTCGTGGCAGATTGTTTTGAGGCTCGTTTCGCCGAGCCACATTTGACTGAGAAAAACGGGGACCTGCCGTTTGCGACTTGTGTGGTCGAAAAAGTTTTTGGGAATATTTACTGTGGGGGTAGTTATTATAATATGATCCCACACCCTGAGGTGGCGGAAATCGAAAAGCCGTCAGTGCAGGGGCGCGACTGGCCGGCTGTGTTATACTAGAACTAGGAAAGTTTGCCTGAGTCCTAGAAGATTTAGTTGTCAAAAATGGTTTGTGTGTATTGAAAACTTTAGAGACACCCCCATTATTCTTAATAAAATTACTAAACTCTTCTTTGTCAAATAAAAATTCATTCGAAGGGGGTATCTTTTTTAAACAAAGGTGCAAAGATTTATCTTTTATATTTTGCATTATATTCTCTCGCCGCTGCCCAATTATGTCTGCTCTACGACCACATACTAATTGAACACAGTCACGTGTAATCTTCTGAAAATCACCTGAAAAAACCTCTTTAATTTTTTCACCTAGCAAATCTGCCTTTAAATTTTCTTGATTTTTGGCCCAATCTATAATATTATTTAGACCAAATGTCATGGCATCACTCTGCATAACTAAAGCATGAGTCAGGGCACCTAAAAACTTATCCGACCCAACCAAGTAATTTGGTTTATCAAATTGTTTTATTTCGTCATTTACTTCGAGGTCCGTATAACCAGGCGAAGCGTTGTATTGTTTCTGATAATCAGTGTATCTTACATTATACCAAATTTTATCGTTAAAGTATTGTAATGAATTTATAACATTCAAACGTTCGTCGGAAGTAGCCGGCATCGAAGGTTGTCGCAGCTGTGATGCCAAACTCAAGTTAAACGAATCGGTGTTTTCTGGCTCACGTGATTCTTGCACATCAAAATTATCATCT